TGATCAGAAACATCTTGCGAAATATTCAACTCATTTCTATTATCATTAACTGTAACTGAAACATAACTATTAACTGGAACAAAATTATCAACATTAACTGTTAACGTATTTACATTTGAAGTATCTGAACGATTGTTATCTTTACTTATCTGGGGCCCATGGAGGAATCCCAGATTTCGGCAATTCAACTATCTTCTCTCGACGAATGGCCCAACTCCTATGGGGAAAATCCTTTTTCATCTGACCCAATTCAATGCGTAAAGCATTATTGCTTTCTCTCTGTTTTTTGTGAGGTCTCTGCCTATACCTATTTTCTTGTGTGCACCTATCTTGGTGTCTTTCAACTTATAAGCGTTGCGGAAGAGGTTATTCCGAGATGTATTATCTTTCACAATTAACCTAGTAAGTCTGAATTTCCTCAATCTCATCAATAGCAATGTTATCAATCCCTAATGAATCACTACAAAGCCCCTGAATAAATTCAGTATCTTTAATTCTCGAATCCCCCTCCTCACTTTCAGGTATACCAAATATAATTATATTGGCTTCTCTTTTCTCTTCTTCTGACTTATCATCAATAATCTGACTTATTTGTTTCGATACTATCATAGGTAAATTTTCATTTAGCTCGGATATATTTTTATCCACAGAATTGATTCTTTCATTACAATGTTTGAGACTCTGCTGTATAGTCTTGATCCGACCTGCTGGGGTTTTGGTTTGACCTGCTGTATAGTCTTGATCTGACCTGCTGGAGTTTTGGTCTGACCTGCTGTATAGTCTTTATCTGACCTGCTGTATAGTCTTGATCTGACCTGCTGTATAGTCTTTATCTGACCTGCTGGAGTTTTGGTCTGACCTGCTGTATAGTCTTGATCTGACCTGCTGTATATTTTTTATCTGACCTGCTGGAGTCTTGATCGGACCTGCTGTATAGTCTTTATCTGACCTGCTGGAGTCTTGATCTGACCTGCTGTAAAGTTTTGGTCTTACTTGCTGTATAGTCTTTATCTGACCTGCTGTATAGTCTTAATCTGACCTGCTGTTAAGTCTTTATCTGACCTGCTGGAGTTTTGGTGTGACCTGCTGTAGTCTTGGTCTGATCTGCTGTAGTCTTGATCTGATCTGCTTGAGTCTTGATCTGACCTGCTGTAAAGTCTTGATCTGACCTGCTGTATAGTCTTTATCTGACCTGCTGGAGTCTTGATCGGACCTGCTGTAAAGTCTTTATCTGAACTGCTGGAGTTTTGGATTGACCTGCTGTAGTCTTGATCTGATCTGCTGGAGTCTTTTCCATATGACCAGCTGGAGTCTTGGTCTATCTGACCTTCTGGAGTCTAAGTTTTGGTCTGACTTGCTGTATAGTCTTAATCTGACCTGCTGTAAAGTCTTTATCTGACCTGCTCGAGTTTTCGTGTGACCTGCTGTAGTCGGTCGGATCTGCTGTAGTCTTGATCTGATCTGCTTGAGTCTTGATCTGACCTCCTGTAAAGTCTTTATCTGACCTGCTGTATAGTCTTTATCTGACCTGCTGGAGTCTTGATCTGACCTGCTGTTAAGTCTTTATCTGACCTGCTGGAGTTTTGGTGTGACCTGCTGTAGTCTTGATCTGATCTGCTGGAGTCTTGGTCTATCTGACCTGCTGGAGTCTTTCCATATACGAGCTGGAGTCTTTTCCATATGACCAGCTGGAGTCTTTGTCTATCTGACCTGCTGGAGTCGTGTTCTATCTGACCTGCTGGGTTCTTCTTGGTATATCTGACCTGCTGGAGTTTTGATCTATATGACCTGTTGGAGTCTTAGTCTGTATGACCTGCTGGAGTCTTGGTCTATCTGATCTGCTAAGGTCTTGATCTATCTGACCTGCTGGAGTCTAGGTCTATCTGACTTGCTGGAGTCTAGGTCCATATGACCTGCTTGAGTCTTGTTCTATATGACCTGCTGGAGTCTTGGTCTTTCTGACCTGCTGGAGTCTAGGTCTATCTGACCTGCTTGAATCTAGGTCTATCTGACCTGCTGGAGTCTTTTTTCTATATGATCTGCTGGGGTCTTGCTCTATCTGAACTGCTGGTTTCTAAGTCTATCTGACCTACTGGGGGTCTTTATCTGACCTGCTGGAGTTTTAGTCTGACCTGTTGTATAGTCTTGATCTGACCTGCTGTATAGTCTTTATCTGACCTGCTGTAGGGTCTTTATCTGACCTGCTAGAGTTTTAGTCTGACCTGCTGTATAGTCTTTATCTGACCTGCTGTATAGTCTTTATCTGACCTGCTGTATAGTCTTTATCTGACCTGCTGGAGTCTTAATCTGACCTGCTGTATAGTCTTGATTTGACCTGCTGTATAGTCTTTATCTGACCTGCTGGAGTCTTGATCTGACCTGCTGTATAGTCTTTATCTGACCTGCTGTATAGTCTTAATCTGACCTGCTGTAGGGTCTTGATCCGACTTGCTAGAGTTTTGGTCTGACCTGCTGTAGTCTTGATCTGATCTGATGGAGTCTTGAACTGACCTGCTGTATAGTCTTGATCCGACTTGCTAGAGTTTTGGTCTGACCTGCTGTAGTCTTGATCTGATCTGATGGAGTCTTGAACTGACCTGCTGTATAGTCTTTATCTGACCTGCTGGAGTTTTGGTCTGAGCTGGTGTAGTCTTGATCTGATCTGCTGGAGTCTTAATCTGACCTGCTGTATAGTCTTGATCTGACCTGCTGTATTATCTTGATCTGACCTGCTGTATAGTCTTTATCTGATCTGCTGTAGTTTTGGTCTGAGCTGGTGTAGTCTTGATCTGATCTGCTGGAGTCTTGATCTGACCTGCTGTATAGTCTTGATCTGACCTGCTGGAGTTTTGGTCTGACCTGCTGTATAGTCTTGATCTGACCTGCTGTATAGTCTTAATCTGACCTGCTGGAGTTTTGGTCTGACCTGCTGTATAGTCTTGATCTGACCTGCTGTATAGTCTTAATCTGACCTGCTGTAAAGTCTTTATCTGACCTGCTGGAGTTTTGGTCTGACCTGCTGTAGTCTTGATCTGATCTGCTGGAGTCCTGGTCTATATGACCTGCTGGAGTCTTTCCATATAACCAGCTGGAGTTTTTTCCATATGACCAGCTGGGGTCTTGGTCTATCTGACCTGCTGGAGTCTTGGTCTATATGCCTTGCTGGAGTCTTGGGTCTATATGACCTGCTTGAGTTGGTCTATATGACCTGCTGGAGTCTTGGTCTATCTGACCTGTTGGAGTCTTGGTCTATATGACCTGCTGGAGTCTTGGTCTATCTGACCTGTTGGAGTCTTGGTCTATATTACCTGCTGGAATCTTGGTCTATCTAACCTGCTGGGGTTTTTGTCTATCTGACCTGCTGGGGTCTTGGTCTAAACTGCAGGAATCTTGGTCTATATGACCTGCTGGAGTCTTTGTCTATCTGACCTGGTGGGATCTTGGATCTATAAGTTTGGGAATAATTTTTACGGATTCTTCAGACTTGTTAGATGTTACAAACTTCAGTTGGGTGAAATAATTTATCAAATAGCAAAATCATGACTACAATAGTCCCAGTAACATCCATTCCGAAATATTGGTGTCCACGGTGGTGTTACCTTGATATTAAATCTGGTGAGGGACTGAGGGCGGATTACTTTATAAACCTTGTTGTCAGGGAAATGGGATATTCAATACAGGAGATTGTAGGATAGGATATTTGTACTCTTTATATGTATAGGAATTTAGATATTCTGATTTATGGGATATATGATAGCTTTGGCTATATCCCTTTAATATTTAAGAGAATTTAGATGGCAGATCCTATTTAATTTTTTCTTCATCAAAATAAGACCGAAGCTTTTTTATTCAGAATGTAGTGGTTTGGTATTACAACAATGTAATCAATTGGTGACATTGTGACTTTCTAGACTTCATTTATTGAACAAGCACAAGATGTCTTAAATATTGGTCATGTACATTGATACAGACTTAAAAGTTTGTATTATATTTAAAATTCTAAAATAAAGGGGCATAACTCTAGAACGGTATAAGTGACGCCACCAATATTCAAACTTGATCTGTGTTTTGTGGTAATAAGCATTGTGTATAAGTTTCATAACATTTGGTTGAGGCAAACATAAGTTAGAGAACAGAAACTAAAATTTTTTGCAATTTTTCCATTTATAAAGGGGCAAACTCTAGAACGGTTAAAGTGACGCCACTTCAATGGTAAAACATAATGCCCCCACCGCTACAGCAGGGGCATAAAAAGGTTGAAATAATACCTATTGTAATATACAGCCACTGTGGTCAAATCAAATACTTCAAAAGATGTAGTTACTGTTTCTCTGCTTAGCATGCCGCATATTGAAGTAAGAGCATAGACTGGTTGGCTCAGAGTCAGAATAATATGTTCTGGTAGGGTGACAAGTCTTAAAGTGGACTGTTACATTGTAAAATCAAATTTAAAAATCTTAGTCAGTGTGTCATTCTTCAAAGCAGAATTAAATTCATATCAAATTAACATGCCTTCTTCTTTGCATGTAATATTTGCCACTGGACATTAAACACCAATCAACCCATCCATCCCATGGTAATAATACCCTATATAAATGACATTCTTTCTTTAATATCTGTTTCTTGGTGGTTGAATTGATGCAAACGGATATGTCACAATCAAGCATTCTACAGTTATACAAGTAATTGTCAATAAGAAAGAGCAATATATGAGAAATAGATCCATGGAGATCCATAAAACTAACAATGACGGCAGCAGTATAAAGACAATAAAGGATATATTAATACATCCAGAATATATTAGTCTTACTTTTCTATTCTTTGCTGTAAAACTGAATGTCATTCTATTATTTATTTGGATGTTGGTCAAGGATGGTATATTATTACTAATCATTATATTGATATATTTTATTCAGCTTATATGATTGACATAAAGATATAAAATAGAGATTATCTTATTCTCAATAATCTTTTCTTATATGTTATTTATTACTTTATAGGATCGTCAAACATAGTCACAGGAGAGACAAAAAGCTTCTTTAGTTTTGCTAAATCGGTAAGAAAAATGAAACCCATTAAAATGGTTCACCATGATGTGGCTTAATTGCTCTTTATGCACCAACATATATGCCTAGAATGGAGAAATTGAATATTTGAAAATAGGAAAAGCATCATTTTATAAATAATGGAGCTCATTACTCAGCTGATGACAACCTGAAAGTAAGGACATTATCCCTGAAATACCTGAAAAATACCATGTTTTTTATAAAAATGTGATGCACTGACATATACTACAGACTAAAGAAAGGACATTCCTAGCATCAGCTTGAATTTAAACTTAAACAATGTCAAAGGAGAGAGTAAATTTTGCGGTCTATTTCACACTGTAAATCAATTAAAAATACAAAAAAAAACATCATATAATACCATCATTGTTTACATTTTCTTCCACATGATTTGGCATATAATATTGTGTTCAAGATACAATGTACACTGAAGTTTGATTGAGCAAATGGCTCACAAATGTTAGAAAAAACAAAACTTTTTTTTAGCAATTAAAATCAATGAAATAAAGTTAAACAACTTTATATTTAATGTATAGACAAAGTATTGAATTACTGATAAAATTTTTAAACCATAGAGACTACTATCTAGTAAATACTAATACACTGAGTTTTCTTTCGTTCATGTCTTACAATGTCTGTTTTACAGTGGTGGCAGGTTGACAAGATCAGTCCAATAAAACTGTATGATGAGAACAAATGTATAGCTGGTTTCCAACTCCGTCATCTTGTCTTTAAACAAGGACAACACCTATATGTTAAGGCAGTCATGGAGCAACTTTTCAAACTGTATAATGATGGAAAGATCCGACCAGTTATAGATTCAGCATGGGCACTGGAAGATGTTAGTTTTTATCAATGTTTATTCCTAAGTTCATTTTAAATTTTAAAAAGATACCTCTTATGAATTTGTTTCATAATTTCTTCTGCTTCCTTATAATTTGGTGAAAACATAAAACATTCTTTGAAGCTAAATACTAGTATGTAACAATTAAAGCTGGGTAAAAATGTAAGATCTACACTTTTGGTAACTAGAAATATCTATAAATCTCGGGATGTCAAACTTAAAGTGAGTTTCATAGTTCAATAAAACAGTTACATTTAATATTCAACAATATGTGCACTCATTTATTTTGATAAGTGCCTTTGAAACAAAAACTGATTTATCAGGATTCACAGAATTTAAATGCAGTTATCTATCAACCACTGATGTATTCTATATACATACATTTTTTTTCTTTTTTTGGTACAGAATGGGTAAATAGATTTTACATATCATTTACAGGTTGGAGACGCAATGCAGAAACTACATGACAGAAAGAATGTTGGCAAAATAATTTTAGATCCAAGCTTACAACCAAAACCAAAGGTAATCTTCATACAAAATAATTCTAGATCCAAGATTACAACCAAAACCAAAGGTAAACATCCTACAAAATAATTCTAGATCCAAGCTTACATCCAAAACCAAAGGTAATCATTCTACATTGGCTAGAGGTATAGGGGGAGGGTTGAGATCTCAAAAAACATGTTTAACCCCGCCGCATTTTTGTGCCTGTCCCAAGTCAGGAGCCTCTGGCCTTTGTTAGTCTTGTATCATTTTTAATTTTAGTTTCTTGTGTATAATTTGGAGTTTAGTATGATGTCCATTATCACTGAACTAGTATACATATTTGTTTAGGGGCCAGCTGAGGGACGTCTCCTGGTGCGGGAGTTTAATGCTGCATTGAAGACCCATTGGTGGCCTTCGGCTGTTGTCTACTCTATGGTCGGGTTGTTGTCTCTTTGACACATTCCCCATTTCCATTCTCAATTTTATCATACAAAATAATTCTAGATCCAAGCTTACATCCAAAACCAAAGCATCATACAATATAATTCTAGATCCAAGCTTACATCCAAAACCAAAGGTAATCATCCTACAAAATAATTATAAATCCAAGCTTACAACCAAAACCAAAGCATCCTACAAAATAATTCTAGATCCAAGCTTACAACCAAAACCAAAGGTAAACATCCTACAAAATAATTCTAGATCCAAGCTTACAACCAAAACCAAAGGTAATCATCATACAAAATAATTCTAGATCCAAGCTTACAACCTAAACCAAAGGTAATCATCAAAGTTTGGTTGATAAAGTCAAAAAAATCTTGAAGTCAGTGAACAATATTAAATGGATTGAAAATGTTACTTTTCTATTTCATGTTTTTTTCAATTCAAATTTGTTTGTTTAATTTATATATCAATTTTTATTTTTTTTAGCTTGCTGGCCAAGGGAGACAACATACAGAGAGTACATGTAGTGATGACAACAAAGAGAAGGAACCAGTTGTTAATGGAGAAAACCAGTCATAAATGGTGAGCAAAGCTTATAAAACATTATGTTTGTATTAAATGAATGGGAGATAACTCATGAACTTTTATAATTCCTTGTAAACAACATGTGCTTATCAATGAGTAAAATTAAGGAGGTTAGTTAAGGTAAAGACATTTAAAAAATATGTTCCATTTAATAGTACATTAACTTATTTGAATTTTGTATTTCAATACCAATTACTTTATGCTACTTAATTTCCAGTAAACATAAAATTTACATATTATAGAATAGCTATTTCTTTTTCTAAATTACTGCCTAACTAATTTCAAGTAGCACAATCATTACTCATATTGATAATGACTAGTTTCTATTGACAGCATTTTGTGGAACAAAACAGTTCACACATCAATTGAAAATCTGGTTTATTAATTAAAGTCTCTAAATGAAACAGTAAACCAACCTTATTTCCATAATGGAACAAATATTATTCACAGCAGCAGAAACCAGATTTATTTAATAATGTCTTCAAATAAAAAAAAATATAGTACAATGAGCAATGTTTGTCCAAGAATCATGAAAATAATGTCCAGATCAGTTCTTCCTTACCTGCAGTTAAACCAATAAACCTGATATTGGTTCTAGTTGACCTTTTATTTACAGTAATTGAGGATTGATCTGATCATCAAAATAAATCAAAAGTGAAAAGATCACAGAAATGAGATCAATGCAAGATTAATCTGGAGAGATGGTCATTTTGATGGTAAATTGAAAAATAACCTGTCGAAAATGAGAAATTCCAATGCTTATACCATTGACCTAAACACAAACTTTAACATATAAACTATGCAAAAGTTTAAAAAAAGTCAATGAACCATGATGAGGGGGCAGGGCCAAATAATCTTCATGGAAATGAGATGTGCTATTACAAATGCATACCAACTATCATTCACCTACCACTTGTTCCATTTTGACCAGTGTAATACACTGTTGACAGCACAGCTAAGTCTAATTTTTTCAAACTTGGTCAAGGTGGGACAAAAACAAGATTAAATGAATCCTGAAACTTAGATAAAGATCAGTTAACCAACATTAGATGGACATAGATATAGGAAGATGTGGTATGAGTGCCAATGAGACAACTCTCCATCCAAGTTACAATTTATAAAAGTAAACCATTATAGGTCAAGATACAGCCTTCAACATGGAGCATTGGCTAACACCAAACAGCAAGCTATAAAGGGCCCCAAAAAATTACTAGTGTAAAACCATTCAAACGGAAAAACCAACGGTCTAATCTATATAAAAACGAGAAACGAGAAACACGTATGAACTACATAAACAGACGACAACTACTGTAATCAGATTCCTGACTTAGGACAGGTGCAAACATTTGCAGCGGGATTAAACGTTTTAATGGTACCAAACCTTCTCCCTTTTCTGAAACAATAGTATAACATCACAACATAGAAAAACACACTATAAAATATCAATTGGAAGGCTTACCTCAATCAAAATAACAAATAATAATTGAACAAATACTGTTATTAAACCAATAAATTTTCGTGACTTTTGCGATTAGAAAAATAACACAATAATAAATTGTCGCAAATATGTAAAACTTGGATCTTTCCTTATTTAACTACAGTTAAATCGCGAAATAAAATTGCCGCTTAGTGGGCTAGAAAAGACTAAAGGTAAAATATAGTATCCACGATATGGTTTACAGTAACCTAATTATAAAATCTTAACTCTGACTTTAATTAGTCATTAAACCATAAAGGAATATGCATATTTGCCAGATGGAAACTTCAAAACAAGACATCTGTGTCAAAATAATAGATTGTTTTCATCTTTTACCTTTTGAAATATTAACAAATAGTTATCAATATTGCTACTGCCACTGCCAGATTAACATTCTTGTCTTCAAGGACAATTATCACAGACAAAAATCAACCAGAAACCAATTTTTTAGTTTAGCCTCCAAATGGAACAATGTGTTATACAGAAGAGCAAAAACCAGACTTAAAACAATCCTTGTCTCCAAATTGAACAGCAACTAAAACAAGGTTTCAAAATAGAAGTCCTTTAACTAATTAAACAATACATTACACCACATCTTGTTTGCAGAAGACAGGCTAATGAAAAATCAATCAGCCACAAAGAATTTTGTCACAGCTAATTTAGGCTTGTATAAAACAGCAGTAAACATTGAAGAAGATAAAACAAATTACAGCAAAGAAAATCAATATGTCTAGAAGCAAAGTACTAAATTTACATTAATGTGGTAGTATGTTAATTAAGCATTGACACTTCATTGTATTACTCTTGCAGGTAGGAGGGATTCATTAAATAATCAATAGATGTAATACAGTGCTTAGACTGGTATGTTCTAAATGTAGATATTGAATTTCATAAACTCTTATAGAAACTTTAAAGACATGTATTAACAACAAGCCAGGCACTGATATACAACATAGTTGGAAAGAGTTTATTATGAAATTGACTTTTTAAAGTTTGGAATTCACTTATTTGTTATTAATGATACCAATTTTAACAAAAACTATATTCTATGTTTTCAGAAGATGGTGTAGTGTAAAGAACTGTGTTACCAGGAACCATGCTAAATCATTGCATTGTCAAGATTACTACTTATTTTGCTATAATGAACAGCATGAAGTACATGAATGCCATGTACAACAAACCTGACCAAACTTTTGTGGAAGATAAATGTCATTTATTATTTGTATGTTAGTAAATAGATTTTTTTATGTTGCTAGAATTGTTCCATCCATCAAAAATGGCATAGTACTTAAAGTGACTGAGCATATAGTACTCATAAAACGCCTCTACTTAAAACCATATAACATGTAAAGTCAGAAATGTTAACTATACAAGTCATTACTCCAAATGACTTTGATGGATTATTGTAAACTTCTTTTAAGTATTTTTTTTAAATATTCTACAAGTTTAATCGTCAGTTTCAAAGTAGAACCCCTCGTTTAAAAGTTCTCTTAAAATAACTGTCTTACCATCTTATCTATATTTCTAATTGTTGGATTAGTAATTTCTTGAATACTTCCTTGTGTGTAAATTTTTATACCATACCTAATACAGTGAATATGAATGTAAAAACTTATTCCAAGTCATTTGTAAGTCTACTGTTTCTATTGTTTAGACTATTAATGAAATCTTTCTCCAGTCTCTTGGAGAAATAAAACTTCTCTTTTGGCAGTTTTAAATATCACATGAAAAGTGCTCTTGGAAATATTCATTGGACTTGTTCAAAAACTAATGGAATATCATTTGTTAAACATCAACATTTTAAATTGCCAAAGTTTGTAGCTAAATTTTGTCAAAATTCTATTTTTAGATATTAACTGCTGTATGATTTGGTGCTGTTTATAGATGTTTGTGTTGTTTTACCGGGATTAAAAGGGCATTCGTTAAAATGATCCAACATGTTTGTTATCTATACCCCCACAAGTATTTATAATTGTTTATTATTGTTGTGCTTTATTAAGCATTATCAATGCATATATTAGAACCACCAGTTCACATGGACTTTTAATAATTAAAGCTTTACCGCTTCATAATTCATCAGCTAAAAATAGAATTTGTATCTGTTTGTTATGCATTCACAATATGATGACACTTTACCATGCTGCACTTTTGACATATCTAATACTGCTACTCATCATCCTACTGAAAAACTAATTGTTTGTTTGGTGGAAAAAAATAATGAGCTCAGCCTACATTAACTTGTAAATGGATTATTAGGCTACCACCATAACAATTATCTTGATAAAACTCCATGTGAACTAGAAGTATTTTATTGTTGTCAGAAACTGTGTATTCAAGTTTTACTATATCATATACATATTGTTACCAAATTTTAAAACTATATTTTGTGATAAATATTGATTTGTGTCTAAAATATCGGAGTTGTGAATGAATTCCCTATGTGAAAGTATGTCAATGTAAGACATTTAAAATATGTAATACTGTGTGAGCCATGTATAAATGGCATTATTCCTGCATCAACTCTCAATAACAATTTAACAGGTCAGCTGGATTTAGTATTTCCACTTCTATTTGATTATCCCCTAACATTAATTTATTCACATGAGATTTTTAGTCACAGTCATTTACTTGTACCTTGTGAAACCATTAAACCAGACATATCCAAAGTGATAGACAGTGTGTGAACCTAAATATTCATTTGGTGTAAAAAATAAATCTGCCTGGCCAAAATGATATTAAGTGGTATTTTTTGACGGAATACATCTGCAACAAACTTGTCAAACATGTCAGGTGATCAAACAGATGTCTTTCATCGATGGTTACAACTTACTAAACTTTCTTGGAGAAATATTACATACTGTTACTTGTCTTTGCAGACACAGAGAACGTCAAATGAGGATATTACCTTACCATAAAGTAGTATCTTTCTTTATTTCATTTTTATTATAATAACATTTTGAAATGTACATTATTCTCCAACCAATAGGTGTGCTCAAAGATGGAATAGGACCAAAACCAAAAGGTACATGTTGAAAGTATGTTCCAAATGTTGTGATATATATGTTATATGTATTTGTTGATTAAACAAAACAAAAAACCAATATAAAAATTTGTTGATTTTATTTCATTTCACTTGTTTGTGATAACAGGTAAATAAATCAAAATTTTGAACACTTTGCAATTTGTAATGTAATGTAAAAATTAACAAACAAAAAAAATGCTGATATACAGACACAGATTTCAGGTCCAAAATTTTCCTTCCCACAAATGGTCATTACCTATATGTAATTCATTTAACATGTATTAGAATACAAGTTCAACTTTACAAATATTTCAGTTTTTGTGCTGTTAGTACTTCATCTACATGCATGTTCAATCTTAGAGCAGTTTGACCTGAGATTGTTGAAATTTTATATTCCTATCTCTTGTCTCATTCTTTATCTCAGAGGGTAATGAAGAACCTCTCACAAACATAATTAAAATTACAAATGCAAGATTACTTGATACCAAAAGTGTAAATAATTATACATTGTATTATAAAAAGTTAACAATATTTGTCCAATATAAATCAGAAGTTTGGTTGAACCAGATCACATAGTATACTATCTTACAACAGAAATTTCATATCCAAAGTATTTCATTACCTATTCCTTATATCTAATATCAGGAGTATTTATCATTACCAATTTTTCAATCACAATATACAGTAAAAATGTATCAAACAATAAATTCATGTAAACAATGGAAAATTTTGTTCATTGCTTTTCTTAGCAGATCTAATTCACATAATGGCAAATTATGAACATTTTCTTCTCAATGAGATTGTGTATGGATTGTCTATAAACCAATAGTATAAGATCTGCCTTTAGGATTATGAATGGGTAGGATTTGAGGTTTGGTAATGGCCCATTCATACCAGACATTTTTCTCACTAACACATCTCCACAGATCAACGGAAACTGTATCACCTTTCTTCAAAAACAATGGAGTCTGAAAAGGAAATAGAAATCTTTGCAATAACAACAGTTTTGATTAAAATTAGATATATTTTTTTATTTAAAAACAAAATAAGTCCTTAGAAACATTCTACTGTTGATAATTACCGAAACAATTCCCTTTGTTACTTGTCAGACTTTTGATTTTAAATGACTTTCATGATATATTTACTTATGTAATCTTGGCTTTCAGAGGATATGCTATCATAATTATGTATTTTTTTATTTCCTCCATTTAAATTAAGCTATAGAAATAAGGAGATGTGGTAGGATTGCAAATATGTGTATGTTCAATACCATATGAGTATATACTCATTTGGTTATTAACGGGCCAGACCATATAGGTATATTTCAAATGAATTCAAACTTCCTAAACAGATACAGATCAATCCCTGAACCAAAATCGGCACAAGTTATGAAATGAAATCCTTTATCTTTGTTACATATTATCTGAATCAAGGTATATTTTTGTCTTGCCTTCGCTATCTAGTCAATTTTAAAAACCTTTATCCTGTCAACAGTTTCGTCCGTACGTGAAACCACAGGTGTTAGGGGCATGCACATCCCTGGTCGTTTAGAGTTGATTTTCTTTATTTTCTTCTAATTTCCACTTAACTGATGTGTTCATACTCTTATTCTTACGATCTTACAATAACAGTGGGTTTCTACATAAGAATAGAGGGGCAGCATGTATAAGGTGGATGAACAAATTAAATATTAATTAAAATTAATTTAAAATGTTTGATATTTTAATTTACAAACCAAATTGAAACACCAAAATAAAGAAAAAAGGAGGGTTCAATGTTCCAATTGCTAATGTGTAAAACAGTTTACTTCTATTTAGTTATTTTCAGAGTCAACTTATTAAGTTTCTTAAAGGCAAATTAATAATGACAATGCAAAATTGCTTCTACTAATTAAAATTTTAACTTGTGAGTAAGATTCATTTCATTTCATTAATCACATTACAATGATTACCAAATTATCATCTAAGTCAAAATTTCATTTTTTAGAAACTCTCAGTTATTTATGGCACCTTGAAGAATTATGTATGCCTTACGCAATTACTGTTCAACGTTCATCGTATTAAAATATACCCAGACCATATGAGTATCTACGCATATGGTCATGACCATACGCATTTGATCCAAATACTTATATGGTCCGGAACATATACACTATCGGTAACTTTACTTTTGAATAAAGCACTGAAGCATGACTAACAACAAGGAGTCTAGATGAGCAAAGGGGGAGGTTTGTGTACACTTAAAACTGGTTTACAGACAAGTCTAGTATTGGCTGTTGATATAATCTGTCGTACTGTGTGGTATTTTTTGTGATTCCTGTTATTTATCTGATATCTAAATTCTTGAAGTCAGTGGAACATGTCCAAGGAGGCAGAGCCTAATATTTTGCAGTTTTGAGATGCATAGATGATGATACAATTAATGCCAAATATGAAGATAATACCAACAGGATTTTCTCTGAGATTAGCATAAGAAAATTTTACATTAAAAGTTACAACAATGCATTGCTTTGCAAGTAAGAAGAGAAAGAATGAAGTCACAAAAGATAACATGTTGGTTTTCTTTTATTTTTTCATATCCCCTTTTATTTTGTGTACCTAAAGAATATAAATTTTAAGTAGGAATTAACCTTGTAAAAAAGAAAGAGACACATGTAAAGTAAAAAGCCTTGGACAATGTATCCCTATTTTTGTGTATTTAATGACATTTTTACTTACCTTGATTGGAAAGTATATAGGAAACCAACTGAACATTCCTTGTGAATGGGTAGATGGTAATATACCTTAAAAATATTAATAATGTAAATGGAATAATTGATTTGGTATGTTGAATAATAAGAAAATTCATAAACAAATTTTTTTTTTAATTGCACAACATTCTTGGAATGCCTGAATTTAAACAAAACTAGAGTCTCTAAAGAGCCTGTGTCGCTCACCTTGATGTATGTGCATATCAAACAAAGGACACTCTCCAACATTGTAGACAAGAATAGACTTCATGACAAAAATCTCTAGTTTGTTGATCTTGTATTACTGATCTTTCAGTCTGTTTAGTTTCTCTCTATCTTCTTTAGTTTTTTCTCAAAACACAAAAGAGGGTAAACAAAATTGCTCATTTAAGGTCAATCACTCCTTTAGGGGATAGTGCCAAAGAGTCATATCTGAAAATGTACTGAAAATGGGTTATTTTGCTTATTATATGGTAAACTGCATTATAAATAATCCCTATAAATATTAGATCAATCAGATAATGCATTGATTTATTATACATAGAACTTAAATGTCTTAGCTGAATTGAAATCAAAAGTCAATTAAATGCTTAATCACTGCACCTAAAAATACTATAGAATGCAAAATCAGAAGTAATTGTTAAATAACTTTTTTTTCAACCAAACTATTATTTTGAGATAAATCACTTTGAAGATTTAGAATACATTTCTGATCAATGTTTGCCTATATAACACTATGAACTGATAAGTGGTTTTGGTTCTGCATGATACATAATTTATTTTGATGAAATAAGAACTTACAGGGCTTATCAGTAGATGATATGTTCCAGATGTTTATTATAAATACACATGTAGAGTGAAAAGAAGTCGTAAAGCAAATATAAGTGTATTTTACATAAAATAGAAACTGATGTGGTTATGTAGTATATAATGAAAATTCTAGATTGGAATACAGACACAAGAACTTTAAAGGGTATGTATGTCTTTTATCATTTTTGACATATTTAATTTAATTATGATTGTATTTTATCAAATAAATAATCCAATTAGGATTTCTAGTCAAATCTATAGATGCCTGTTTTTACTTGCTTTTTCAATCTTATACAATGTAAATTTATATTAATTTGATATTACGCTAAATATCTTTGAATTTGATGAATAAAAGTAAGGATCATTATTATTTTTAATCATTAGTTATCAAGCAAGAGTTTATGATATTTTTCTCTAATAGGAGGGGATATAAAAAAGTTAAATAATAAAAAAACCCAAACTCTTAGGAATATTCATTATCAAATGGAAAAATCAAAAGGTAAAACACATAAAAATGACTTTTTTCACCATTTTCAGATTGAGAAGATCCAATGTATAATAAATTAGTTGTTGATGACATAGATTAAACACCATCTAATTAAAGGTAAGATAAAGGAATGATATTAAGCCCAAATACCTTTGAAACCAAGTCTGAATATTAATCAACAACAATATTTATATCTCGTTTCATGTTATAAACTCTCACATTTGAAATATGTATTTTTAAGATAATTTTGTTGAATCGTTAATTATATATTATAAGTAAAAGATGAATGTCAAATTACATGAACTAATTTAGAAAAAGGTAATTTGAGAAATTTTATAATCATTTTAATGAAATCTTGCATATTTTGCAATATAATGCAATAACAAAAGACTTTTTCGTACTTATCTTATTTGTATTATATGTTACCAAAAATAAGTCTTGGTACAGACGCAACACACAATTTAAAGTGTCTAATATAACCAACTCTTACCTGTTTAAAATAATTAAAAAAAAAAAAAGGGTTTTAATTTAGAAATAAAATCTTATCATAACCTTTTTATGTAGATCTAGTCATCAAACCCTTGTGCAAAGATATTTCTGTTTTTCAAGCACAGTTAACCTAGGTTGAGTCAAGATATGTTTGAGCTCTCAGGTGTTGTATCTCAAGTATATAAGTGCAGAGCATTAGTTAGAGGTTCTAAAACTATTAATATCATACCTTTTTTCTTAGATTATCTAGATGTCTGATAACCAATGGTCATCTGACGAGGAATGGTCCATTGAAATTGTCCATATTCCAAAACCCTACCTCCGAAATTACAGGTATGTCAGACATTATAGTTATAGAGAACATAGATGAAATAAAAACAGAGACAACAATAGAATTTATTCCTAAGCTCGGTGAGCCCCAGTTAGAAGATGAACAAAAACAGCAAGAAGGCTTGACCGTTCCTGATGAAAATATAATGAGGGGAAATGAAACAACTGAAGACCAAAACAATAGTCAGGACACCGAGAAAGAACATGATTCATTCTATCAAAGTTCTAAAGATGATAACATTGATGAGCCTTCTAAAACTCCACTTAAACCAAAGAAAAAAGGTAGACCAACAGGAACACTACCAAGAAAAGCTCGGAATTCACCACCACAAAAGTCTTTATTTAGAAAACGGAAAGCGACCCCTGAAACATGGAAGAAGAATATCAGGAAAAAACTGAGACTTTCAGGAAAGGAGTATATATCAGTTAAAGGGAAAGTTGTTGAAGAAAAAAAAGTAAAACCTGTAGACTGTTCAAAATGCACTTTTAAATGTCATTTAGGTATAGACGACGAGCATAGGCAGCAAATTTTCAAAACATTTTGGTCACTGGATACAAACGACAGAAAGAAGAATTTTATCATCGCTAATACAACACAAAAGAAAACTAGAACATATTTAGATGATAACAACGAACCTGTTCAAAAAAAGAAAAATGTTCACAGATCGTACTCACTAAACGTTGATGGAAACCATGTCAAAATATGCAAGAATTTTTTTTTAACAACTTTAGGGATCAGTGAGACCTTTGCAAACAATGCATTGCAGAATCAACAAGATGGCGTTTTTGTTGGAGAAGATAATCGCAGCAAACATGTGCCCTACAACAAAACAACCAATACAGCAATGGATTTGGTACGACGACACATAGAATCCTTTCCGGTAGTAGATGGCCATTACACTCGCAAAGATTCAAACAGGAAGTATTTAGGAGCAGACCTTAATATAAGACGAATGTACGAATTATATATAGTACAATGTAAAGATCAAATTCCTGAGAAAGACATTGTCAGTCAAGCTGTGTATAGGAAAATTTTCAATCAAGAATATAACTTTTCTTTTCATGTACCGAAAAAGGACCAATGTGCAGTTTGCACAACCTATCACCAGCGAAACATTGAAGGGACACTTACAAATGATATAAAGAAAGCATACGATAAACATCAAGCAAGAAAAATCAAAGCCAGAGAAGAAAAGAAAAAAGATAAAGAGTTAGCAAAGAGTTCACCTGAACTTTTTGTGGGCACATTTGATCTGCAAGCAGTACTACAAACACCGTGCAGCTTAGTTAGTCAACTGTTCTACACGAGAAAGTTAAACTGCTACAACTTGTCCATTTACAATTTGGCAAATAATAAGGCAACATTTTATCTTTGGTCTGAAGTAGATGCACAAAGAGGGTGTTGTGAGATTGGTACATGTCTCTATCTGCAACTTTTATCTATGTCATGTACTACCACGCATGCTATATTTTATTCTGATGCCTGTTCTGGACAAAACCGCAATCAGTTTATTGCATCGTGTTTGTTACATGTAGTTAATACTCACCAATCAATCAAGGTCATCGATCACAAATTTTTGGAAAGCGGTCACACTCAAATGGAGTGTAACAACATGCACTCAGCTATTGAATTTGCCAAAAAGAAAACCGAAATATTTGTGCCTCAACAGTGGACAACAGTGATGCGAATGGCCAGGAGAAAAGATCCTTACATGATTGTGCCCCTAAAATATGAAGATATGTATGACTTTAAAGATCTTACAAAGAAAAATATGGAATTCAGAGAAGAAGATGTTAATGGCAAAAAGATCAAATGGCTGAAGATAAGATGGCTGAGGTACACAAAAGAAAACCCAGACTGCATTTTATTTAAGTACAAGATGGATGATGAATTCCGTGAAATGAAAGTCGCCCTGACATCTGCAAGAGGAAGGGCAACTGAAGAGTACCAGCTTATAAAGAAATATACATCACGACAGTCTATTTCAGCTGCAAAGAAAAAAGATCTAGTTGGGCTTTGCAAGAAAGGAATCATTCCTTCTGAATACCATGAGTATTACAAATCGTTACTAGCCAACATAAATGTGAAAGACACTCTTGCTGAAACTGACGTTGAAGAAGAGAAGAATGACTCTTACCAGGATTAGACATGTTAGATATGACAGTTTTTATGACACTAGATTTTCGAAAGTTGTATCAGGATGTTAAATCTCTGTTTCAATTATGGCTCCAACAGATTTTTCAACTTTATATGTTTGCGATGTTGACAGATAGTTTTTTAAAGATTCTATAAGAACTTTAAGAAAGAAATTAGATATTTTTTTTAGTCAAGTGTATATACGATTTCAATAAAATTGAGAATGGAAATGGGGAATGTGTCAAAGAGACAACAACCCGACCATAGAACAGACAACAGCAGAAGGTCACCAACAGGTCTTCAATGCAGCGAGAAATTCCCGCACCCAGAGGCGTCCTTCAGCTGGCCCCTAAACAAATATATATACTAGTTCAGTGATAATGAACGCCATACTAAACTCCAAATTGTACACAAGAAACTAAAATTGAAAATAATACAAGACTGACAAAGGCTAGAGGCTCCTGACTTGGGACAGGCGCAAAAATGCGGCGGGGTTAAAAATGTTTATGAGATCTCAACCCTCCCCCTATACCTCTAGCCAATGTAGAAAAGTAAACGCATAACAATACGCACATTAAAATTCAGTTCAAGAGAAGTCCGAGTCTGATGTCAGAAGATGTAACCAAAGAAAATAAACAAAATGACAATAATACATAAATAACAACAGACTACTAGCAGTTAACTGACATGACATAACTATAACTAAATTAAAAAGAGAAACGTTATTTTCCTTAAAATCATCACTTGAAATAGTAAAAATGGATCAAATCTGCATTATCTTTCATACATAAATTTGTTTTATATTTATTTCATTATTCATATGCATTTTTATACTTTCTCGTAATGATATTATTTTTTTTATCTTACTGAGATAATATAAAATATAAATGTATATTAATTTTATTTTTGACCAACCGATAAGCAAATAAATTGTATATTTCACATAATGCAAAATGGTACTTTACTTTTCTATTTTATTAAAATGATAAATGATCTTACATTTTAAACATTTTATTTTGCATTTCTAAGAGTAGTTTTTTAATTATTTCCTTCAAACCAAATTCATGTATATGTTGTTACTGTTATCTGGTCATATCAAATTGTAGTCTACAGTGCTAGAAAATATTATCTGACAGTAATATGCATTACAAACACATGTTGATTTTATAAATAAATATTTTAGCAATGCATCTTATCAGTTGTAACTGTAAACTGGCTTTAACATCTGGCATTAGTCAAAACAAATAAATTATGCCTACTAAGTGTATATGATAAAGAAATGTTTATCAAATTGTATGCTTAATTGATTATGATGGGATTATGTTTCTTTAATTAGACACATTTCGATTTATCTATTTGCAGAAAATTGCACATGTTTATTTAACAATAATAAACATGATAAATGAAAAAAAAATCATTTTTTAGTTTAACCAAAATGAAGAAATTTTCAGATACGACTTTTTGGCATTAACCCCTCGTCCTATGAAGAGTGACAGTCTACTAACTATATAGGCCAAATTTGACTTTTTTAATGGATCTTGCCTTGCTGATCATTTTTGTTAATTAAAGTGTTTATTTATCTATTATAATTTAAATTATATAAGGCATAACGGGAAAAAAATGTTTCTTTCTAAATATCATAGTTTTCATGATAATAGGCAAAAATGAAAAAAATGGTAAAATTTGTCATTTATGGGCAATAACTCCTATAAGAATTTGTCTAACAGTTTTGACGTATATGGACAATTGGATGAGCTCATTATTCTGAACATTTTGCTCCTTCCAGATTTTCTCTATTTATAACGGTTAAAAAAATAATAAACAAAACATGCATTTTACCCCTATGTTCTATTTTTAGCCATGTTGGCCATTTTGGTTGGTAAGCCGGGTCATCGGACACATTTTGGAACTAGATACCCTAATGATGATTATGGCATAGTTTGGTTAAATTTGTCTCAGTAGTTTCAGAGGAGAAGATTTTTGTAAAAGATTACAAAAATTTACAAAAAAAATAAAAAAATTGACTATAAAGGGCAATAACTCCTTAAGAAGTCAATTGACCATTTTGGTCATGTTGACTTATTTGTAGATCTTACTTTGCTGTACATTATTGCTGTTTACAGTTTATCTCTATCTATAATAATATTGAAGATAATAACCAAAAACTGCAAAATTTCCTTAAAATTACCAATTCAGGGGCAGCAACCCAACAAGGGGTTGTCTGATTCGTCTGAAAATTTCATGGCAGATAGATCTCGACCTGATGAACAATTTTACCCAATCAGATTTGCTCTAAATACTTTGGTTTCAGAGATATAAGCCAAAATCTACATTTTCCCCTATGTTCTATTTTTAGCCATGTTGGCCATTTTGGTTGGTAAGCCGGGTCATCGGACACATTTTGGAACTAGATACCTAATGATGATTATGGCATAGTTTGGTTAAATTTGTCTCAGTAGTTTCAGAGGAGAAGATTTTTGTAAAAGATTACAAAAATTTACAAAAAAAAATAAAAAATTGACTATAAAGGGCAATAACTCCTTAGGAAGTCAATTGACCATTTTGGTCATGTTGCCTTATTTGTAGATCTTACTTCGCTGTACATTATTGCTGTTTACAGTTTATCTCTATCTATAATAATATTGAAGATAATAACCAAAAACTGCAAAATTTCCTTAAAATTACCAATTCAGGGGCAGCAACAAGGGGTTGTCTGATTCGTCTGAAAATTTTATGGCAGATAGATCTCGACCTGATGAATAATTTTACCCAATTAGATTTGCTCTAAATACTTTGGTTTCAGAGATATAAGTCAAAATCTACATTTTCCCCTATGTTCTATTTTTAGCCATGGCGGCCATCTTGGTTGGTGGGCCGGGTCATCGGACACATTTTTTAAACTAGATACCCTAATGATGATTTTGACCTAGTAGTTTCAGAGGAGAAGATTTTTGTAAAAGTTAACGATGGACGACAAGTGATGAGAAAAGCTCACTTGGCCCTCTGGGCCAGGTGAGCTAAAAATTCGTAAGGGTTCCGTTTAACCCAGTGTCTCGCCTACTTTTGCTGTTGTCTATGTTTTCAGTGTGATAGGGGAATGCACATAATAGATTTACACTTAATGAAATAAAACGTTTGAAATGTATGAAAAAAGTTATGCTTGTAAAAAATGAATTCAGTATGCAATCAAATCTATAGATTGGCTCGAAGACAAAATTCGCAGGCTCAACAAAAATGGGGAAAAAATTATTAAAAATTTTCCTGTAGATACTATCTTTTGATTGTAAGAAGCTTCTGTCCAAGTTTGGTAAAAATCCAGGATGGTTTATGAATCTAATAAATGTTTTAAAAACTTTAACATGTTTAACTGCAGACTGTATGTAATGTTAACTGGAAGAAAAACTAAGTCCATTTATAAGTAATATACAGAAAAACATGAAATAAATTTTTACCAAATTTTCTTCTAGATACTAGCTTTTGATCATAAACAAGCTTCTGTCCAAGTTTGGTACAAATCCAGGATAGTTTAAGAGAGTTATTAAAATTTTTAAAACTTTAACCACAGAGTGAATGTAATGTTAACTGGCAGAAAAAATAAGTCCATTTATAAGTAAAATACGGAAAAACAAGATTTTTTTTTTTACAAAACTTACTTCTGGATATTTTCTTATGATCATAAACAAGCTTCTGTCCAAGTTTGGTAGAAATCCAGGATATTTTAAGATAGTTATTAAAATTTTAAAAACTTTAACCACAGAGTGAATATTTGTGGATGATGCCGCCGCTGCCGACGGAATGTAGGATTGCTATGTCTCCCTTTTGCAACAAAAGTCGCAGCTCGACAAAAATGATCATCAGTCTAATAATTCCTTTGGAACAAAGTTATGGAAGTGATAATGTAAATTCAGAAATTATTGCTAGGGTTTTATTAATGCGAATAATGCGACTGGGTGAGTATCGCAATAATAAGAACTTGCATTCGATATCTGATCCATATATCTGTGTGCAGATTTTCCTGAAATCGCAATAATTAATCTTCAATTTTTTCCCAATCAAAACACAATAATAAATGAACGCAATAATTTCCAAATTGACAGTATTCTGTTAGTGATGTATTCAACTCTGCTCATGACATTATTGTAGTAACCTAATAGGTCTAGAACTCCATCCAACTTTGTCCATCGTCTGGTCATGACATTCTTGTAGTAGCCTAATAGGTCTAGAATTCCATCCAACTTTGTCCATCGCCTGCTCGTGACATTCTTGTAGTAACCTAATAGGTCTAGAATTCCATCCAACTTTGTCCATCGTCTGCTCGTGACATTCTTGTAGTAACCTAATAGGTCTAGAATTCCATCCAACTTTGTCCATCGTCTGCTCGTGACATTCTTGTAGTAACCTAATAGGTCTAGAATTCCATCCAACTTTGTCCATCGTCTGGTCATGACATTCTTGTAGTAACCTAATAGGTCTAGAATTCCATCCAACTTTGTCCATCGTCTGCTCGTGACATTCTTGTAGTAACCTAATAGGTCTAGAATTCCATCCAACTTTGTCCATCATCTGCTCATGAAATTCTTGTAGTAACCTAATAGGTCTAGAATTCCATCCAACTTTGTCCATCGTCTGCTCATGACATTCTTGTAGTAACCTAATAGGTCTAGAATTCCATCCAACTTTGTCCATCGTCTGCTCATGACATTCTTGTAGTGACCTAATAGGTCTAGAATTCCATCCAACTTTGTCCATCGTCTGGTCATGCAGATTACTGGAAACATTTTAAAATAAATAAATTTTGTGTATTTACTGTCTTCTGATTGGTTAAAAGTATTACCTTTATTTTCAATGTTGTCGATTTTTATGGCGACACGCCCACTCTGACGGTTGTGTATTCATACGCCAACATGTGTGTACGTTGTTATTGTTAATATAAATAATATAAAAAGCTCTTTGAGCCTTATTTTTGATAGAAATTTATTTATAATGAATGACAATAATTTATTTTGAATTTATTGAACCATAAAATTAATTTTTGACTCTTCACATTTTACATAATCTGCTTCGCGGATTATTCAATGTGAAGAGTCAAAAATTAATTTTATGGTTCAATAAATTCAAAATAAATAATAGTCATTCATTAAATAAAATGCTTTGCTGAGCGCAGCCTGATACGCCCACAGAGGTTGAACCCTGAACAGTTGGGGTAAGTTTGGACGCAATATTCAAGCTTAATACTGTCTGAATTTGGATTGTGCAATACTGTGCAATTGAAGATTTCTTCTTGGAACTTTTCAAAAAATTTAAAAGAAAAAAAAATATGAACTCCCCAAAAAATTTGAAAAAAAATCCCCAACCCCAAACTTTTTGAACCCCCCCCCCCCCCCCCCCCCCCTGGATTAATTATCCCCAAACTCAATCCCAGCCTTCCCTTTGTGATAAGGAAAATTGTAGTACAATTAAGAGAGATCCATACACTAAAACAAAAGTTCTTATCTGGAAACTAGAAAAATGCTTGTTTTTGGCCCCTTTTTTGCCCCAATTCCTGTATGTTTGGGGCAATAACCCCCAAACTCAATCCCAGCCTTCCCTTTGTGATATGAAACCTTGTGTTACAGTTTCAGAGAGATCCATACACTTACACACAAGTTATTGTCCGGAAACTACAAAAATGCTTGTTTTTGGCCCATAATTCCTCAACTGTTGGTACCACAACCCCTAAAATCAATCCCAACCTTCCTTTTGTGGTATTGAACCTTCTTGTAAAATGTCATGGAGATCCACTCAATTAAACTAAAGTAATTGTCCGGAAACCAAATGTGTCTTCAGACGACGACGACGCAGATGACAACATCATAGCATTATACGAACCATAAAAAATTTATAGTAGTATAATGAAAGTTTGTGGGCTTCAAAATATTTGTTACTTTTTCTTAATAAAATCACTTACTAAGATTAATGTCTGCATACAGTACAGTTTCAAAATAACCAGAGAACCCATGCAGCAATGCATCATTCTGTATATCAAAGTCTAAACTAATGTGTCGTGTATTGTCTATTACTTCATCTGAAATATAAAAACTTTATAAATCTTGGAATACAACTTATTTTTTTACATACAATGAGTCTTGATTCTTTTCAAAACTAACAGAAGTGTCATGTATGAACTAATCAACTATAAACAGTGAGGACTACATTCCTGGATTATGTGTACTGTAAATTCAGAAATTATTGCAAAGTTTTTATTATTGCGAATAATGCGACTGGTTGAGAATTGCAATAATAAGAACTCACATTCTGATATCTGACAGCTATATCTGTTTGCAGCTTTTCCACAAATCGCAATAATTAATCTCACAGTTTTGGCCATTTAGCCAAAATCGCAATAATAAATGCACGCAATAATTTCTGAATTTACAGTACCATTTCTTTGTCAGAATGCATGTACTAAAAATGTCTTGGTGTCATATTGTAAGTAACTTAGTATCTAATATCTGCATCTAAATATTGAAATTAATGAAGAAACCAAAAAATATAAAGAGAAAAAATACTCCAAATGATCCCTTACTATTTTTGAAATCCTAAAAAAAAACCCATTTCAAAACCATTCCACATTTTGCATAAAAATGGATCTCAAAAGTTTTCCTAGTGTATCTTTTGATATAATATTAGCAGTGATTTGTATATGTTGTTATCAAACTATTTGAACTACAAAGCCACTAAGGATGCAGCCTCTATAATTTGCATTTTTTGCAGTAATCAGTTAAGTTTCATTTTTGAACTCACCCCTGTTTGGATGTTTGAAGACAAAAACTTTCTTTGGTTCGTCTAAGACTTGACAATTGTGTAGTCTGACAACATAGGGCATCTCAAAATAATGCTGAAAAGTTAAAAATAATAATAGAGACAATAAGTTGGTTAATACTGTAAATTCAGAAGTTATTGTGATTTTTGAAGACTGAACAAAAGTGTGAGATAAATTATTGCTTTTTAAGGAAAAACTTCATACAGATACATGAATCAGATATCGGAATGTGTGTTCTTATTATTGCCGTACTTACCTAGTCGCATTATTCACAATAATAAAAACCTCACAGTAATTTCTGAATTTACTGTATTCAAAAGCAAAAAAAAAAAGGCTTTTATTTTAGGCTTATAAATTATATATATATATCAAATGTCTTTAAAATTCACTGACTAAATATATAGTAACCGTTAGTCCTAACTACTGTTTGAGACATTACCTTATTCAAAATAATACCTACTGATGTCATAGTAATGAAAGTTTATATATATCAAATTGAATTTTCTACCGAGCATAAAAATTTGCACTGATAAATAAATTTACTGACACAATCCTTGAATACTTACATCAGGTTGTTTATCCTTATCTTTACTGAAACAGTCCTTGAATACTTACATCAGGTTGTTTATCCTTATCTTTACTGACACAATAATCCTTGAATACTTACATCAGGTTGTTTATCCTTATCTTTACTGACACAATCCTTGAATACTAACATCAGGTTGTTTATCCTTATCTTTACTGACACAATCCTTGAATACTAACATCAGGTTGTTTACAATCCTTGAATACTTACATCAGGTTGTTTATCTTTATCTTTACAGTTTCTGACTTCATTGTGAAGTTTCTCCGACTGCAATGGTGCTAGGAATGAAGTATATTCACACGGAATGCTGATTCCATCCTCCTTAAGGAATCGCTGTGCTCCATCAAGACATTCTGGTGACAGCTCGTTATCAGCAAATGACCCCAGTAATTCACTCACTAAAATGTCAGCTTTCTGTGGGGCCTCCCACTTTCTCATGTCACATGATATAACTTCTACTTGGTCTCCCCACATCTCATCTTTCATATTCTCTAACCTTAAATAAAAAAAGCAATAAACTGTTGACAGAGATATGTATCACCTTTTTGTAATTTGATAGCATAATGCAAACATATAAACTATGCAAAACATTCAAAGTCAATGAACTATGACTTATGGTGCAGGACCAAATAACCCAATGGAAATGAGAAATGCCAATGCTTATAAAACTGCATACCAAATACCATTGACTTATCACAAGTGGTCCCTTTACAATACCCTAAACACAAACTTTAATTTGTAAACAATATAAAAGTTTCAAAATTAATGAACCATGCTGAGGGGGTGGGGCCATACATGTATTATCACCAAGGAAAAGAAACTTGCAAATGCTTATACAACTGCTTATGAAATATCAATAACTTAACATTAGGGGTTCCTCTTAACTTATCTAATCACAAACTAAACAGGTATACTATGCAAAACATTCAGTCAATAGACCATGACTGATGGGGCAGAGCCAAAACATTTCCCTGGAAATGAGATGTGCCAATGCTAATGCATCTACATACCAAATATCACAGACCTACCACACTAGTGGTTCCCCTTAAAATGACCTAATCACATACAAATACATGTAAAGTAAGTAAAAGTTTCAAAGTCAATAGACCATAACTGAGGGGCGGGACCAAATAGTATCCATGGAAATCAGATGAGCTAATGCTAATGTATCTACATACCAAATATCATTGACCTAACACTAGTGGTTCTTCTTAAACTGACATAATCACAAACTAATACAGGTAAGCAAAGGTTTCAAAGTCAATAGACCATGACTGAGGGGGCTGGGCCAAATAATCTCCATGGAAACAATGCTAATACAACTGCATACCAAATATCATTGACCTACCACTAGGGGTTCCAAATAAACTGACCTAATCACAATCTAATAATTGTTGACCACGCCAGCGCTGCCATTTGAAACAGCAAACCTAAGTCTTACTTTTTGACTCTGTCAAGGGGAGACAATAAAATCTGTATTTAAAATTACTAGGTTAATGAATCTATTCACATCAGAGGGGTTGGATATAGAAGAATATTATCCAAAAGATGGGTTCAAATTAACAAGTGAAACTTATAAAAAGTCCAAGGAAATTCAGAAGGATAAAAAAAATAACATTTTTATGGGACATAATAAATTTTTGGTTTATTTCTTTCAAATGGGAAAAAAATTAAAATAAATGAAAACCAATTTCCGGCAACTCTACATGGTACATAATGGAAATAAAAAAAAAAGAAAAATCAAAGATTAGCACTGCTACTATTGTTCTTCAACTACTAATTTCCATAAATTTGTCCCTCCATTCAACTTACGTGATAACAGCATTAGGATTTTTCTCCACAGCATAGATCTTTTTCACCTTCCTGCCTGCCTGCTGTGCAGCTGCTATAGATGCCCTGACTAATGGTCCACGCCCAGCACCAACAACCATTAAAACACTATATAAATTTCAAATATGATAAGAAAGGACTTACATGTACATTAATATTGTTTAATTGTAAAGGGGAAGCTCAATATGTAAGAAATTAACATGCAAGACTAAAATGGGTAATAGAATCTAAATGTTTATAATAAATTCTACATAAAAACCAAAATTATAAATTTAAAATTATATTATTTCATAATAAATGGAATTCTTTTAGACCAGCTACTGTTCTAAGTTAAAAATGGTTTTGAACAAGGATTTATCAAGGGTAGAAAAGATAATGCACAAATGAGAAGATACTTTTGGAGTGTCTCTGCAAATCCATCATAAAACATAAACTATTATATCGTTGGTTGAATTAGTGATTGTGGTTGGTTTAACACCGTCACACGGTGACCCCCTATGGATCTGTAGGGGTCAGCAGATTTCATAGGGTATCATGACTTCAGGTCTACTATTTATGGGGACGTCATCGATTAATGTTGTTGTATTTCATGGTTTATTTTTATACAAAACTCAGCAGGTAAAGTCCTGTGTGCAATAAATTCATTATACGGATCACTACTGACCCCCTACGAATCCATAGAGAGTTATTAAAATCCATACAGGATTTGGCCTTCATCCTCACCCCTTTGCAATTTATTAACCCTCTATGGATCTGTAGGGACTCAGTATCAAACCATACAACTAATGTTTTTGTAAATTTCTGAGAAAAGGCTTTCAGAAAATGCAAATAGTTGTTGACATTGAATAGGTTAACAATTTGACTGAAATGTCATATTGAAGGGAGATTCCGTAGTGAGTAAAATAGAAAACAAAGGATATGGTGTATCAATCCATGACACAAAATCAGTACATGAACAGCAAAAAACATAAAAAGAAAGCTGCAAATACTTTAATAAAAGCCAAATATTGTGTTAAAACATTTCAAATTGTGAAAACACTGTTAACTCATAACTTTTGCTTGTTTTTTTTAATTTTGACATACAAATGTATTTGTATTTAGCATGATCAAAGAAGAATATAAATCCATTATCAACCAAAACTTTCATAATTCAATGCAAAAAATAATGGTTTGATAGCTACTTACATTTCTTTTGTATCTTTTTCCTCTGGTTTGACTTTGTCTAACAAAGCATAATACACAGCCTGAAATATTTATCATTAGGTATCACTTTAGATTCTCATGAGAAGATAGTAAAACTATCTTTTAAAAAGGACTACAAAGAGTGAGCTTACTGTTGTAAGTAAAAACAAGAAATATACAATACTGTAAACATGGATGTCTTTGAGATTTCAGTTACCATACTTTTTCGCACTGGGGTTAAATTTTACACATATTGCATATCAACGAAAACTTAGTAATTTACATCAATATTGGTGCTTTGTACAAACTATTCTTGAATGGATGTTTTCGCACATCTTATATGATCGTGAAATAATCGAAAAATAGCCCCTACACAAAAATTTTAACATTTACAGTTCATATAAATCTAAAAGCATGGAAAATAAAGATTGTTGTTTACATCTTTTTAAATGAATTATTTTATTATGATATAAAAATGTTAAACATCAAAAGCTAGTGGTACCCAGAGCAGGCACTTTGAAAAGAGGGTAGCTACCAAAAGAGACAATTTTTTTTAATTTCTCTTACGGGTTAACCGACAAAACTAGTATTTATCATCTCCCCATAAAGGAGATTATGTTGAATTGCCTTTCCTGGGCCCCATGCATTTTTTTATGGAATAGCCTTTAGTATGAAAAACAGGTTTTTCAGATTCCTTGGTTTTATTTCATTAAAAAACAAGATGTCATCTAATAAAAAAATGTGCAAACATAACCCAATGCATTAGACTAAATGATATCATACCTTCTGATATTGTGAATATTTGACAGGATCCTTTTCAAAGATCTCATATGTCTGTGATTCTAAGTTGTCCATCAGTGGCTAAAATTTAAAGCAGAATAATTAAGTGCAAATACCATGCTTCATTATTTCAATCGTACATGAGTAAGAACAAGTGTATACATAATCATGATAATGTCTAACTATATTTTTTCCTATTCATGCAAACAAAACATGATTTTTCATTCTACCGTAAACAAATAATTTGGATTTTTCAGGTTATTTGTCTATCAGAACTATATATCTGAAGCATCAAAATTAATCATTGAATATTGTTGGTTTGGCATTATAATTTGAAAAGTAGGACCAATTGTGCATAGTAATAAGACATTAGATCAAGTGATTATATATATCTTAGTATTCATCACAAGAAACCTGGTCATTCGGCTTATACTGAAAGTCTTCTTTTTCAAAATTGTTAACAGTTCCAATAGTTAAAAAAATAAATGAAGAATGTATCCATGGGACACAGATTCCCCCGCTTGTAGTGTGAAAAAGGCAAATTCAGCAACTTTTCCATTTATAAAGGGACACAACTCAATAACAATGAAATTGATTCCAAAGAAAATTTGAAATTGATCTGTGTTCAGTAGTAATAAGCATTGTCTATGAGTTTTCATAACATTTGGTTCAGGCAAACATAAGTTAGAAAATGTAAAAAAATTTTGGGAAGTACATGCAGGACATCGGCAAACCTTAATGTCCTTAATGCACTATTTACTAATAAAAACAGAGCAACTGTACTGACTAGGAGGCAATAGTTACCTTTTGCAGAAATATTTTATTCTAACACAATGCCAAAATTAAAGAATTTTCATTTTCAAAGGTCATTCTTATAGAAAGAATAATATTGCGTGATAAATCCAAAGGAGTAAGTTCGGTATGGGTCAAATTTGGCCCCGATTATTAAGTTCAATGTTTCAGGATAACATGTGTCTCAAGTTGATAAAAAGACATGTGAGAAAGTTATATAGAAATATTTTTGCCAAAGTTTTATTTTTAAGCATTGATTTTGACATCCCAAATAGGTAAAAATAGAGATTTATGCGAAATTGGACAAAATCGTCCGGATTTCAACCAAATTAAGACCTAGGAAACATAGAGCGCAGGCGTCGACAAACAAAATATTCAAGTCAGATTTGTAAAATGTCATAACAAACATTAATCTTAAATATCTTTGTTGTCGACGCATGCGCTCTATGTTTCCTCTCCAAAAAATCAACGTAAATTTGCCTGTTTTCATTGAATTTTTCCGGAAAATCAAAATGAGTGCTATTTGTGACATCATGAATAGAACACAAAAACATAAATGAGTGCTATTTGTGACATCATGAATAGAACACAAAAACATAAATTTTCAACAAAAAGACGTTTTTCCAATCTAGTCATTATATTAGTTTGATTCCTTGTGAAATTGGTCAATAAATTCTAATTTCAATTTTCAGCTAGAATAAGGGGCCATTTTAGGGCCTTATTGAACCTACTCCATTCGATTGTATACTAAGCTACTTCTAACCTGTAATGGACTCTGTAAGTAGTCTTCATATCCTTTAGCAAACTGTGCTACGGGATCTGGTGGTGGCTGGGTCTAAAATAAAAAATTTCAGATGATGGATATGCTGATCTAATTATCTTATCAGGTGAAGTACACAACATAAATAGTGCATGGATGTCGTAAAGACAAAATAAATGTAATAGTCACATTAGAATAAAATTTGGACTTAACATCTAAATTTTTTGTAAACAATTGAATTGGCTTCCTTGGACATACCCAAATCCTAATAACAATACAGGTTATGTTTTGACTGTACCAGATGCACATTTTAACAATTTATGTCTCTTCAGTGATGCTCATTGCTCAAATCTTTGATTCAAATCTAATACAAATCAAGAGCTGATAAACCAAAAAGGACCAAAAGCAAAGCAAAACCCCAGACAAGGAATCAGAGCTATGCATGAGGGAGATACATTCCTTAACTCCAAATTAATGCACCAATCAAAATGTCAATCAGTTTTTCTAATAACATAATTATCCTTCTACAGAATGGAAACTTTCTTTATTTAAGAGTATCTATACATGTATATATATTAAGCAAGTCTAAAAGGGTACAACATCACAAAATAAATGTGGATAGTGTCCACATGTGGACACAGATGATGCCCCCGCTTGCATAGCATATAGTTATAAAGGGACATAACTGAAGAACGGTAAAAGTGACGCTACCCAAATTTGAACTTGGTCTGAGTTTTGGGTAATAAGCATTGTGTGTATGTCTCAAAACATTTGGTTGAGGCTAACTTAAGTAGAGAACAGAAACTAAAAATTCAGCAATTTTTCTATTTGTAAACACGCATAACTCTAGAACGGTTGTGTATATGTTTTATAACATTTGGTTGAGACAAACTAAAGTTAGAGAACGGAAACAAAAATTCAGCAATTTTTATGTTTATAAAGGGACATAACTCAAGAATGGCAAAAGTGTTCTCACCAAATTTCGTACTTTATTATGTAGTAATAAGCATTGTGTATAAGTTTCATAACATTTAGTTGAGGCAAACTAAAGTTAGAAAACTGAAACAAAAAATTTGTACTTGATCTTAGTTTTGTGGTAATGAATATTGTGTATAGGTTTCATAATGTTTGGTTGGGGCAAACTTAAGTTACAGAATGGAAACTAAAAATTTTGCAATCTTTCGATTTATAAAGGGGCATAACTCAATAATGGTTAAAGTGACACTACCCAAATTCAACTTGATCTGTGTTTTATCAGTGGAAGTCAAAATTAAACATTGCATTGTATAAAGCATTGACTGATTCAACTATAATCATGGACAAAGGAAGATAACTCCAATTTAAAAAATTACTTGATATTTAGAAGGAAATAAAAATTTTCCAATTTTTCCATTTATAAAGGGGCATAACTCTAGAACAGTTAAAGTGACGCCACCAAAATTCAAACTTGATCTGTGTTTTGTGGTAATAAGCATTGTGTATAAGTTTCATAACATTTGGTTGAGGCAAACTTAAGCTAGAGGACGGAAACTAAACATTTTGCATTTTTTTCATTTATAAAGGGGCATAACTCTAGAACGGTTAAAGTGACGCCACCACCAAAACTCAAACATGATCTGTGTTTTGTGGTAATAAGCATTGTGTATAAGTTTTATAACATTTGGTTGAGGCAAACTGAAGTTAGAGAATGGAAACCAATTTTGGGATGTACGTACAGACGGACAAGGGTAAAACTTAATGCCCCCACCGCTACGGCAGGAGCATAAAAAAATATATATAATGATATGAACTAGAACTCATACATATGCAATGTAATGAAATAATGTTCAGCTGTTCAAATGGACCACTCAAGATTTTATAGTTAACATATGAATGTTCAGTACTTGTCTCTGCTGAATTGAACAAGTAATCCAGGTATTATTTGCAGGTCAGAATACCTTTTGTCAACTCATTTTAACCGAAAGAACCAAGAGTTGACAGCAGTATATACAGATACTTTGGCAAAATAACTGGAACAAGGGATCTAAGTTTTGATGGTGTATATAGATACTGTGGCAAAATGATCTGAAACAGGTTTTCTAAGATTCGACACAGATACCTTTATCAACTTACCTGAAACAAATGATCTAGGTACTGTTGGTAGGTGTGGATACCTTTGTCTAGGTGTCTGTTTGTACCTGTTATGATAATCTGGACTTCCAACTGTAAAATATTTATAAACAAATGTTACAACAGAATGTCAATAGTAGTGCTAATAAAGACTTTTTCATCAACTTCTTATTTGTATACCTAACTTTAGCTGTGATTGTTTATCTTTTCTAGACTACCACAATGTTTAAATCCTAACGTCAAATGTTCTTTTTTGTACCTTCTGAACATTTATCCTTAAAATTGTAATTTATCTAAAAACTCACCAAAGGACATTTTGTGGACCTCATTTGTACTTTATACAGTAAATTCTGTAATTATTTCTAGAATACTATTTCCTACTGAACAACATTTTTCTATTGTTGTTGTTCTTCATGGAAAGTTACCAAGTAAGTCACAAATAGAAGGGAGAATTACAAAAAACATTAGGCAAACCTACTTGTGTAATATGGTTTAAAGAAAGGAGAATGTGTCCAGGAGACATAGATGATGCCCCCGCTTTCATATAACGTTAAAAAGGGACATAACTCAAGAAAAACAAAAGTGACGCCACCAAAATTTGACCTTGATCTGCGTTTTGTGGTAATAAGCATTGTGTATAAGTTTCATAACATTTGGTTGAGGCAAACTAAAGTAAGAGAACGGAAGCTAACTTTGGGATGTACATACGGATGGAGGTACAGACGGAAAAGGGTAACACTTAATGCCCCCTCCGCTGTGGCAGGGGCATAAAAATGGGGAAACTAACAACTGGGGATAATCAATTAGAATATAGTTGATAAATGCATCCCGTAAGAATCTGAGATGATTAATAAATACTGGAATCAAATTTCAATTTTCAATCTCACATGACGGTAATAGTTCTTTTTTTTTCATGCAGGTTATTTTTTCATAGTGACTAACAAATAGTTAATTCAAATGCATGGATAATAATTGAAGAGGAGAATTATATATAGACTTAAACATAGTTATAGATTTTGTAATTTTAGTATGGCATAATTTTTTGGTAAGTAAACATAACTGTGTCATAAAAAAATTCCTTTCTAACCTTGAATAACATAAGAATGAATATCTGATGAGCTCTGGTTAACACTGGATAGCCTCTCTTATTGGTTAGGAACAGGCTAGTAGAGATAGAGCATGATTTCACAGGCTCTGCTAACCATCTTTTCTGGACTTCTACAGATGGCATGTCTGGTGTAAGTTCTAAACAAACACTAACTCTCTTGTGGGAATCACATAGAGTCCTGAATTTGTGCCACCTAAAATGATAAATTTTATGATCTGAATGTTAAAGTATTTAAGAATTTCTATGACAAGAACAAGCTATTTATAAAAAGGCAAATATCTTTTTAAAAAAGTCAATAACTAACATCATTAAAAATAACTATATGATATTTAACCCCACCACATTCTGTATTTGCCTGTCCAATTCAGGAGCCTTTTATTCTGTGGTTGTCATTTGTTGCTGTTTATCATAATTGTTTTTAGTTTATTGTTATGTACATAAATCAAGCCATTAGATTTCTTGTTCGGATTGTTTCACATTTGTCATTTAGAGGCCTTTTATAGCTTAATATGTGGTGTGACCTTAAGTTGTTAACTTCAACTTTATTGGGTCTCTGGTGGAGAGTTGTCTCATTGACAATCATACCACATCTTCTTATTTTTATCTGACTTAGTTACGTTGTTTAATGTCTATATCTTTTTATGTAATGTAATTTTATTATTATGCTATGTATTTACATTACTATATTATGTGCTTTTTCTGTGTATAACATTAGCGGTACTAATTTTTCTGCACCAGATGTGCATTTCAACAATAAATCTCTCTCTAGTTATGCCCGAGGCCAAAATATTTGAAAATCAAAAACTTATTAAAAAAATGAAGAGTTTATAAACCAACAAGAGTGCACACGCTGAAATGTCTCGCCTTCTTTACTAATCATTGATATTATGTTGATAGTCCTAAATATAAAGCTTTATTACAACTGTCACATAAACTTATTATTAACCAAGTAAACTAACATTGACCAATGAACCATGAAAATGAGGTCAAGGTCAGATGAACCATGCTAGGCAGGCATATACAGCTAACAATTCTTCCATACAACAAATAAAGTTGACCTATTGCTTTTAGTTTAAGTAAAACAGACCAAAACACAAAAACTTAACACTGAGCAATGAACCTTGAAAATGAGGTCAAGGTAGAAAAAAACCTGCGTGACTGACAAATAGATCATAAAATATTTCCATACACCAAATATAGTTGAACTATTGCATATAGTATTAGAAAAAAAGACCAAAACTCAAAAACTTAACTTTGACCATTGAACCATGAAAATGAGTTCAAGGTCAGATGACACCTGCCAGCTAGACATGTACACCTTACAATCATTCCATACACCAAATATAGTAGACCTATTCCATACAGTATAAGAAAAACAGACCAAAACACAAAAACTTAACTATAACCACTGAACCATGAAAATGAGGTCAAGGTCAGATGACACCTGCCAGTTGGACATGTACACCTTACAGTCCTTCCATACACAGAATATACTAGACCTATTGCTTATAGTATCTGAGATATGGACTTGACCACCAAAACTTAACCTTGTTCACTGATCCATGAAATGAGGTCGAGGTCAAGTGAAAACTGTCTGACGGGCATGAGGACCTTGCAAGGTATGCACATACCAAATATAGTTATCCTATTACTTATAATAAGAGGGAATTTAACACTACAAAAAATCTTAACTTTTTTTTCAAGTAGTCACTGAACCATGAAAATGAGGTCAAGGACATTGGACATGTGACTGACGGAAACTTCGTAACATGAGGCATCCATATACAAGGTATGAAGCATCCAGACCTTCCACCTTCTAAAATATAAAGCTTTTAAGAAGTTAGCTAACGCCGCCGCCGCCGTAGCCGGATCACTATCCCTATGTCGAGCTTTCTGCGACAAAAGTCGCAGGCTCAACAAAAAGGACAAACAGTATAGCTAAAGTCGGCAAGGAATCAAAGCTTTGCATGAGGAAGATGCATTCCTTTATGCTATACATTTTTCTTTATATTATATTATGTAGTTATTGACAAACGTTTGTATCTGGTACAAACTTAATTTTAAGTGGAGTAGATAACTGTTATTTATTTACAGCAACATGAAATTAACAATATTTAAAATTGTTAATTGTGTTTTATTAACATGAACCCTTCTGAAGTAAATATAAACATAAAGTTACCATGTCCATGTGTCTTCTGGGTTTTCTATCTCCTCTGTCTGACCCTCAATCAAAGGATCAATCTGGTCCCTTGGAGACATTGTTGGGACATGGATCCAGTATTGCTGAAATTAAACATTAAGTTTGTATGACTTATCTATAGAAATAAAATTATACTTCTTTGGTTCATACTCCATTCTATATTAAGTAGAATTTTAAAGTTTCACTTTAATATCAACCTTCCACTGACATATGACTGAATAAAAACAAGTTGAACTGAGAACTAATGTAACCTCCATTATAAGTATTTAGTAAATAGGTAGTTGGTGAGTGATGGATGTAAAAAACACATCACACAGCGAGCCTGCTCACATGAACGTTGATTCCTAATATCAGATAGCCTTGATTTATAGTTCCTGAGAATAATGGGAAGAAATTGATAATATAAGTATTAGGTAAAAAGGAATGGAATTATCAATGAATCTGAAAATATATGACACAGTAAAGCATACTCATATGAAACTAAATACCAAATTTCAGAAAGATATGATTTGTAGTTCTAGAGAAAAACAGACCAATATTTTATACATAGCCATTTTGTGTAAGAAAAGTATTCGGTAAACAGAAAGTCAATGAAAGACCAGTCTGAAATGCATCACACAGTAACGCCTGCTCAGATGAAGCTCGATACCAAATTTCAGGAAACTCATATTTGTAGTTCCTGAAAAAATTGTTACCAAATTTTTATGGGATGGACGGACATAAACCAATATACTCCCTCCTTTTGGAGCAGGGTCTATACATGCAATATTCAGTCTTGATATTACAGAATATTCTATTAAATACCATGTTTGTTCATTGTATACTCCTTTGCATATAAATATATTATATATCAAACCATGTTACCATAAGTATCATTTTTTCTTCAAAGACTAGTTGTTTCATAAATAAAGAAAAACAATGTGCATTTCAAATTTTATTCAGTAACTACATGTAAGATTTGACAATTACATCACACAAAAACACACTTATTAATAACACTACTTACCTGATTAGCGTAGCTGTTAACAAGATGTTCATTGAGAATTCTGGCTAGATTTGTAATATTACCATTTTTCAGTGGTATCAGTACAGATGGTATAGCTAAGTGACTAGCAAAGGTTAACTCCTGTCTTAAAGCCTGAAATTACCAGACAATATTACTGTTAATATCAAGTATGATTATCAATAGTAATCTACTAATAAATAGTTTAAAGAAATGTAAAATCCTATTTGTTTGTATTTGATATCATGCTGAAATAATGGAACCAACCTCTTGAATGGTTTTATATTCTTATTGTCGCTTTATAATCAGACATTTACAAACTAAATATCCAATCATATTTACTTACAAGGTGAAGTGGTGTATAAATAAAAGACAAAAAAAGAGATTTTTTAAAGGATACATAAATTGATCTTAGTTTTAAAAACAAGCTCAATTTAATTTTTTTTTCAACCCTATCAATAAACTATCAGCAAAAACTGATATTAAAAAATTCAAAAGTTCTAAATCACATTTTTGTGAGATCATGGAGATTGAGGTTTCTAAAATCAACTTAATATAAATTAAATAGTACTGAAAAAACTTTGTGAAATAGTTTTGCAATAATTAAAACATTGATAATATATCTGAATTTACAGAACATTGGATTTTTTGCACCCACAGTTGGCACATCTCATAAATACCGTAGAAGTAATCAGAACATTACCAAGTTTTACAAGTTTACAAGTGGAGAAGGATATACTAGCCTTTCTGGAACACTAAGAGATTATCCACAGTTTTTGATGGGGTTCATGTTGCTCGGTTTTTAGTTTTCTATGTAGTGTTTTGTCAAATAGTTTGTCTTTTTGTTGGTTTTCCTCATGACATTGTCAGTTTTCTACGAGTTATAGAGTTTTAAATGTCCCCTCGGAACCTTCTGTCTCTTTTTTACAGCATTCATTCAATATGACACATCTGAGTGCCATACCCAAACTGTTGTTTTCATGTTTACAGCATCCATCCAAGATGATATATCTGAGTGCCATACCTGGATGCTATGAAGAACAGCCTCAATTGTGATTAAGTATTTCATTATAATTCAGGTAATAAATACATACCATTATATCCATTTTTATTGAAAACTAGTAAATGTATAAACTTACTGCCTCAGAGTTCTTTCTTATCACATCAACCCTAGAATCTGGTTGTAGCCATGGTGATATCTTTCCAACAACCAATGAATTCCAGTCTATAAAAAAGTGAATTCAATAATCTCCCCTTTATCAAGTTTGACAAAAATGATTTAAAATAAAAAGTAGTTGTTTGATTGCCAATGAGACAACCATCCATCAAAGACCAAACAATGTGGATGTAAGCAACTATAGTTCTCCATATGACTTTCAATAATGAGCAAAACCCATACATATCACATACATGTAATATAGTACTGAATACATCATTTTAAAGAGGTGACCTTGTGGACATTGTTATAAATAAACCCTGCTCATGAGCATGATGAGACCTAGAACATACCTTGTCCTGTGAGAAGCATATCAGATCTGGTAATGGCTCCTGGTCTGTCCTTGGCAGGTCCATGGATGAATTCTCTCTTGTAACGTGGGTTAACAATTGGAAAACATACAAAATCAAATCTGAAATGTAAAAAAACAATTTTATTTTTGTTATACAGTGTTATCATATTATTGTTTTTTTCTCCTTCAGGTTCCAAAATTAAGTGATTTTAACAAAGAGATCCAAGGTTAATGAAGTTATATACATGTAACATCACTTAACTGCCTAAATCATTCATTTTGTTTTCTTGATTTAAAAAAAATCTGGATACATGTTTAAATCAATATCCTAATTATCAATGACTACAATTCAAAGTTAGAAGTTAACTAATATAAGTGAGTAAGTGTGCAACATTTGAAAATTTGTCTTAAATCTTTTGGTTTAAGTACCACCACCATGATAACATTGTAATGACAAATCTGGTAAACAGGGAAAGGTTTCAAGCAAACCAATCAAAGCATACTCAGGTTCACTCAAATTGACACACTTAGACTGTTTTTATGTTATGTATATGTTTTATTTTCAGTCAAAAGCTCCCTAGAGCTTGTGTTGTATATTTAACTTATGCTGAATCAAAATAAATTTTTCTTATCTTATCTTACATGATTGATTGATTGGTATTTAATGCCACTTTCAGCACTATTGTGCTATTTCATGGAGGTCAGTCAGTCAGGGTCCATACTTATACAAGTGTTTTTTATTTACTGGTACAGGTAAATCATTTTGAAGGTAGAGTTATACCACTTAGACATTCAGATTTTTTTTACTTATATACTTATTTTCATCTCCTCTTGAATTTCTCTTGACTACATTGCTCTAATACAGTTTTTAACTGTCTGTCATTAATAGTTGTCTTTACTTTTTGTTAAGGTATAATTTTATGGACAAAGAAAATTTCATTTGTCTGTAAACTTCAAAACGTCATTTACTAGACTCCAGGGAGGAATTTTTGAAGGTTTTGCACAGTTAGCAGTTACTTAACATCTCTTGGCAATAGATTTCTCTGCTTAGTTCATGAGATAAAAGGTTGAACTCAAATAAAAATTAATTACCAGAAAATTTCTGTTTAAGCATGTTTTGAACTCCCAAAACTTGAGAATTTAAGGGGTTGTAAAAAATAATCACTTTTATAAGTAAATTTTTTGTGATTAAGGGGAGATAATTCAAACCCTGAAAATAAAAAATAAAAATCTTACAAATTCACTTAAACAAGTAAATATTACTTACATCTTCAAGTAAATAAAACGACTTGTATAAGTATTACCCCTGTGTCCTGACTCAGTTTTTATTGGTTGAGGAAGCCAGTGTGGCTGTAGAGAACTACCATGTTGGAAAACTGACACTCCTTGTCAATAAAGATTGGAGTTGAGTGCACCTGCCACCTGCTGGAATTGAACTCATAACCTCAGTGTTGACAGGCTTATGACACAGTAGTTCTACTACTTAGACCATTCTGCCACCGCCACCGTAAAGGCCCAACACATGATTGAGGAAACGGGAAAATGCCTTATGTGGCTAATTTATGGCAACTAGTAGACAAAATGCATATAATGTTGAGTCCACTCTCCAAATGGTATGGTGGATATAATATCCTGTTTGCAATATATAATATGACTAAAAGGGGTATAAGAGTTGCCATTGGCATTGGGTTCATTTTGGAACGTTGAAATTCTGCGGAAGAACAATATTACAGATTGTTACAAATGTTTAAATTTCATTTACCCCGACTTGCAAGCCTGATCTAACGTATCATTAATATTTGGACAACAATGAAAGTCTCTGCCACAGGACACACGTGTTGACATTTTCACCACCGGCATGATTAGAAAATCAATTACGATACAAACACGGAAGTTAAGTTCGGAATTCTAAAAAAAACTGTCTTTATAACCATTTTAACTATCAATACATTATTTAATTCTAACCGAAGTATGATATAAAAGAAAATATTCTAAATTTTTACCTTAAAGGATTTATTCTAAGAGTTTTTAATATATTTTTTAAGTTATTCACTGCTGAATATCAACATGTCTGCGCCTATGATTTCCCCTGTTTCAGTTCTGAAAGATTGAAAGATGAACCTGATACGAAACAAAACTCTTAAGAAATTTGACGTCACACCGCTTTATATTGTAGAAGATCATAACGATGTAAGGCGCTGAAAACACTTAAAGGCCGACAAATCGAATGTTGACCTGTTCACCTTCTTCCTCTTTCCTACTGACAGTACTGTTTCAAAGTGTTTGACAGGTTGGGGGGAAATACTCATAAATTTTTGGCTACTTTCCCTATATATACTACAGCTGTGCTATTTGTGCAGTGAAATTGCATTGACCATATATTCATTTGTGATATACAGTCGAAGACCGTATATAGCCATGTTTTTGACATTGACAATGTGTTTCCGTAGAGTTTTCATTTATGACATCAATAAAAATTACAGGTTCACGGAAATTTTACGTAGTTCTCTCCAAAATAAAAAATGATGGTTTTTACCCTTAACATTTCATTTGGGACAGTTATAAGAGTTGCAGTATCAGTACTTAATTGCCTAAATTGTAAAGATCAAAGAGAAAAAACAATAGATCAAAGGAAAATGCCGCCAAATAAGCACAAAAATGTGTGAGTCTCATGCTAATTGCTTGAGACTTGGTAGCCCTGCAGTATATAAAGAATAACCATAAATTGTCTCAAAATATAAATTTTATTTGTACTCATCTCAAAACAGGATAGAAATGCTCGGCAAAGCCTTACTTTCTACCGGTTTCTAAGCCTTGTACAAATAAAATTTATATTTTGAGACAATGTATGGTTATTCTATATATATATATATATATATATATATATATATATATAATAAGTCAAGTATTGATTTACAGAGTTAGAAAATAAAATTACATTGCTGTCATGAGACACACATTCATGAAAACGGCTCAATATTCTTTTCTATAAATGAATTTCACAATCTTGCAATTTCTCGTACATTTCAGATGTCACAATGCTTATGCTATTAAATTTCAAAGTAAGATTGTTCAATGATGTAATTTAAGCTGATTGACCTCGATTCAACTGGTGTTAAACTAAATTTCAAAAGAAAGAACTCTAAATTGTACTATAAACATGATAAACTGCAGATATATCATGCAGACAGTTTGCTAAGTACATGTAGAGAATGTGCAAGGACGAACAGATAATAAAATGTCCATTTTACGATGAACAAAAAAAAATAAAACTGGCTTGCACGTTGCATTTTTACCAATTTGCAGGAAAAGCAAACACAAAAACGTGAAATAAAAATTGCAAACACGATGCATAAGAAAATAAGCCTTTATCACCCTCAATGCATGATCATTATGATATTTGAATAAAAGGTAATTGCCCCATCCCCAATTTTTTTTTTAATGCCATTAACTTTTATCCTGGTGATCATGGTGATATTACAGTCATAATGGGGGAAAATGTTGCCTTTTACATCATCATGTGCACCATAATTAAAAAAAATTCTTGAATCCTGAGTTAAAAAATTGATCACTGTAAATTGACACGTGATTTTCGGTATAATAGCCATAAATGGGATAAAACCCATTTTCAAGGACCTTCTTTAACCTTTTTTATACATATTTTATTGACACAATAAGCCTCTTAAAACATACCCTATATTTTGCGTTTTCTTTTATTCATTAATTTTGATGAATGATTAGTCCTTTTTAGTGCTTATCTCCGGACTGAATCTAATGAGGATCATGTTTTTAATATAAGCATTATCCATGTAAACAGGAAATATAAATAAGGTACACATGCCACATAATACAATAGTTTATTAAAGCGTATACTTAGGACCCATAAAGGGCATGATTACAAATATGATAGTATTTCAATTTAATAGTGAACATAACAGTACAAATTACAGTCGATACTATGCAGAGAACTAGTACGTTTCAATTTTCATCACCAAAAGTTTTCTTATCTCCCTTTGAAGAATAACTTAGAACAATTGTGTCATATGCCATATATCTTTATATGTATAATATACATTGTACCAGTAATCATGGTAATACAAATTAAATAATAAAGATGGCATGTTCTCAAAATTGATATCCTATTAGAGTCAAATAATTTTTTTTTCTTGTGTCTGTAAAATATTAAAAAAAAAAAAAACATTTTTCAATTTTGTATTATTCAATATGCATATTTCAAAATGTATTTCTTTCAAGAATCCTTTCCTAATTGACACCTTTGTTTTAAAAAGAGGGTACCTAAATTGTGTAATCAACTTGTACTACAGTTTTCAACCCAGGTCCCTGAAATTTCATGGAAAGATTGAACACATGTTGAAGTTGGCACCTGCTAATGGGATTATTTTCCCATTATTCTGAACTTCTGAACTTTAAATTTTTAACAAATTTTAAAGAGATGATATTAACTTTGTGTGATCAAATCCTACTACAGTTTTCAACTCGGATCCTTGAAACTTCACATAATAATTGCACATATATTGCAGTTGTGCACCTGATATTATGGAGTTGTTTGACAATTTTTTTCAAATTTTCCTAGGAAAATTTTTCAAAAGATGGCAACATATTTTTTTTCAGCCAAGATCTTTGAACTTTCATACAAAGTTTACAAACCTATTCAGGGAATAAGACTAACATTTTCCAACTAGGGGCCCAAACTGCCACAATGTGAAAATTAACATAAGCACTATGGGGATTTTAATAAAAATTTTAGGGCCCAACCCAGATTTTAATGGCATTGGCTACTGTGCCCCTGCTAATCTTTTTCCCTGCTATTGAGGTTGTTCACCATCTTTTATGGAGTTGTTCAAAGATTTTTTCCCATTTTATATTTCCATATATTTAATGTTCAGTATATACCATTATCCATTTTTAAGCAACATTTTGTGCAACCCAGCCATTTGAGTCTTTGATCCATTTGTTGAGCTTTCAAGGAAAGATAACTTATCGTTATGACACTGTTGGTCATGTTGGTAGTGAAAATTTATCATGTTGATAATTAAATGGTTATACATTCCAGGTTGTACCATTCATCCATAGAGGTATTGGTAGTAAACACCTACCTATTGAGGACAACGTATTTGTACATTTCAGGTTGTACCATTCATCCACAGGGGTATTGGCAGTAAACACCTACCTATTGAGGACATCATATTTGTACATTTTGACTCCCATCCAGATCTACTAATTCCATGTGATATGAAGGCAGATGATGTTTACAAGAAAGATGTCTTATATCAGTAATATATCATTTTGATAACTGTAAATGGAAAAGATTGATTGATCTTCAGTTGCTTAATAATCAATGTAGATACATGTACTTAATCATACTCAGGATGATGGAAAATGGTTGAATTTTTTAACGTTGATTTTGATAGAATTTTACCACTGTTAAATTAAATAATTGAATAATTAATGAGACAGAAAGTAATTAATACATTAGATTAATATTTTTTTTCTGTACTTTGCAGCATTATATTATCATTGGATAAAACTTTTGTTTTTAAAACTCATCAAATAACTCAAAACAGTAAAATTGTAAATAAAAATTTATGTCTTACATGAAGCCTGATGAGTTTACTTTCAGTAAATTTGATTTTAAGAATACAAGACAAAAAAAGAACACTTCGTTATTATCAGTCAGGGGACTTACTTAAACGAGTGATTAAGAAATCACTGATTCAAGTAACATTTTTCCAGAAATGTTGGAAGTAAGAGTTGTCTTTCTTTAATAATCACCTATTTAAGTAGTACAAATAAATCACTAGACTAAGGGATTTGATTTTATTGTAGCTTTAAATATATATACTAATGATCCAGGGACTAATTATGTTGCTAAAATTATGAGAATCAACATCTGTGTTTATAGGATGACTGGTCATGTCAGGTGATGACCTTGTACTGAATCTGGGATAATGACATGAAAATAACTTGTTTAAGTATCATACCTTTAGTTTCTTTAAAAAAAAATCACTTCTTTAAGTATTATTATTTTAATTACCCCCACTAATTTCAACACCCCCGAACACATGGAACAGTGAAATTTTGGTCGCGAACAGTAAAATTATATTACATAATCTGTAAGATGAAACCTTGAATTTTACAGGAAAAATACTCCCACTGCTGGGGAAAATCTGTTAAGAAAGTATAAGATCATTATGTAAAGCTTCATTTTAACATATTTTTCAACAAATATAGGATTTACAGACAATGATTGCATCAAAGGCATAAACCTTGCTACTTAAAAGAAGCAAAAGTTTAATTTTTTTTTTCGATTTTACTAATAATTAGATATAATCTAAACCTTTATGTTTAAAATTTTCGTAAAACTACAAAATCACAGAATTTCTAATTTGCTACTTAAGTGAGTGATTAATAAATCACTTATTTCAGTAATTCCCCTGACTGATTATTTACTGTGTTATTTTCAGCAGTATATTTCTTCATTCAATTAAATACTGTGTGAAGGTGTGAGGATACATGTGCAATTTAGTATTACCATACATGTGTAAAGATTAAGTTGTACCTACCATATGACAAAGAATATTTATTTTGGGTATTCAATGCTCTTCAACTTCCTACTTTATTTGCTTTTTAAACTTTTTGATTAGAGCGTCACTGATAAGTCTCTTTATAGACGAAACATGTGTCTGCTGTACAAAATTTTATGCCTGGTATCTATGATAAGTTTATTTATAATATTAAAAAAATGATAGACAGAAAAAACAAACCATTATTTTAATATGATTGTATTTTTTACAGGACATCATGTATAGAGAACTGGATTCAGGAAAAAACAAACCATAATTTTAATATGATTGTACTTTTTTCAGGACATTAAGTATAGAGAACTGGATTATACCAATGGTATATGCTGGACATATCAGTCATATTATATGGTTTAAACCTCCATGGTGTGAACAAATTCAGGATAAAGTAATCCAGTTCTATGTTGGGAAGTGTAACACTACAGGTTGTATAAGGTAGTTACATTTACAGTACTGTATTTAACATCAGTTTTATTTGGCCTTCCAAATGTTTAAATACTAGTTCCACTGATAAGTCTATTTTGACAAAACACAATGTGGCATACACTATTAAAAGTTTGGTATTTTTGATTAGTTTTACTAATTTTTGTTGGCACTGTTAATATAAAAATAAGAAGATGTGGTATGATTGCCAATGAGAGAACTCTCCACCTAAGACCAAATGATGTAGAAGTTTTAAACAACTATAGGTCACAGTACAGCTTTCAACAATGAGCAAAACCCATATGCTCCAAAGGAGGGGTATATACTCATATTTCTCAGTAACTATGATAAATCTTCCTGTGAGCATGCTATACTGTGTGGTGTGTTTTCACATCCATCACTCATTCACTTCCTGTTTATCATTAGTCAGCAATAACTCACAGCTTAACTTCTTTTCATAGATTAATATTTAGTTTTTTGTATAGATTTATATAAGAAGTGTTTTGTTCTGAAAATGTATTCCACTACTTTCCATCAGTGATTTATTCAATTCACAACCAAAAGTATTTTTTTGTATGCAATTTATCAGTTCACTTATTCTTTTAAATTTTTTCAGAACAACATGCAAAGAAAATTATTTTGTTAGTGAAACTTTATACTGTTCAGAAGAAAACTTAGAGAACAAGAAAGAGGTCAAACTCTCAGTTATTACAATAGTTCCTAATAGATGGGAACAGTCATGTAATGACAGGGAACCATCAAGCAGTGCTAAACAAGGAATAAAAGTTGACACTGATATAGAAACCAGAATATCTACTGAAAATGATACATGTACATCAAATAAGAGTGAAAACTGTAACAAAAATAGATGTGATAATGATAATTCAGGTCAAGATACTAAACGACTATGTACAGAGGAATTAAAGATGAAAAATGAATATTCTAATTCTCTATCAACTTGTGATAATTTAGCAATATCCGAAGATTTGAACAAACAGCTTGAAATCTTACACAAGTCTTTCAGAGACAAACATTTCATTTTAGACATTGACCTTGATTTCTTTTCAACTCAGAATCCATTTAGAGTTATGTACTCAGACAAAGTCTATGGAATGCTGAAAGATCTGTATAGATTTGACAAACCTAAGAACTTATCAGATGAAGGAATATCTAAATGTACCATGGAGAGACAGAAACAGTTATCAGAACTGAAAGCAGTGTTTTATAAGATACATCAGGATAGAAATGCTGAAATTGATCATCCCAGGTATTATATGAAAAGGTTTTTGTTCCCTAAACTTACATTTTCAGTTTGATTAAAAAAATAAGGATGGAAAATATTAGTTGTTCTTAATGACTTTTCAATATACCTTGCAGGAAGTGTTGTTTAATGATAAAATGATATACTAGTACTGTTAATTAAGAAATCCATTTATTACAAAAAATATTCACATTTTGATTTAAGCTAGAAATATTCTACTTCTAGTTAATACTAGTACAAGATTGGACTTCCATTTTTCAATCAAATTTTTCATTAAAGTAGCTGTTGTTCTTTTGAAGTTTATCATGTATATGGCTGTACAGTACATTAAAATTAGAAATAAAGTTTTTAAATGTTTCAAGGGGTATAACTCCTTTAATTATTTTTCTATCAGAATATTTAAGCAAATGTTCAAGAAGCAATCATGCTAAACCTAATGCATTGTCTGCAAATAAAGATTGGGCAACTGTAAAGTGCTTTAAAGGCATTTTTTGCAAATTTCATCATAACTTTTTCATTTAAATTTTTTTCCTGCATTTTATTTTGAAGAAGAGAGAGTGATAATCAGTGCAAAACTATTGTGTAAGTTTCCAACAAGTTAGGGCAAATTAAAAGCTTTTAAGTTTTGCCATTTTCGAAATTTTCTAACAATTGTTGACCAACATTAATTGTCAAACCTGTATATGTAAAGGTCTTCCTAGTGACCAGAGAAAAACCTTATGAGAGGTGAACTTTGAATTAAGATACAAAATGCAAGGTTTGACAGTATTCTTGAATGAAAGTAGCAGACAGGTTGTTATAAAACTTGTATAAGATTAAGTCAGATTGGATGAAAACTAAAACAGATTGAGGACTTACAATCCAAATGAGCAAAATGATATCCTGGTAGTCCTGTATTCCCTGTGTGTTGTGGCAAGGTACAAAATATAATAAAAAAACAACATTAGAACTTATTATACTTCATGTCAAAATGCCACATTTTGATTGGTTAATACGAGGGAGATAATTTACTCTATCCTATGGCAAACACTCTTAATTACCCTTCACGGAGACGCTTGATCAAGTGTGTGCTATATTAAAGATGGATGGTTGGTATGTACAAGACATCATAGTTTATTACTTTGAATTTGAAAATTAATAGACAGTAATAACAGAACATTCAGTATGATAAATTAAATAACACATATCTGAGAGGGTGATAGAGCAGATTGTTACCCCTCCAAAAGACATTGTCAACCTTAGCTTCACTTCAGTTGACAATGTATTCTTGGGGTAACAATCTGCTCTATCACCCTGTCAGCTCTGTGTTATTTATATATTATTCCAGAAGACAATTTTACAAGCATTAACTCAATTAATTTGTTTTATTCTATACAGCAAAGATTTAATACTGATCCTTAAAGAGGCTATATCAAATAAAGAGGAGAATCCTGATTTTCAGTTACTACATGAAGCAGGATGCACATGTGATGACACAGAGTTACCACATCATGTCAGCTCTGAAGGGGAGATAACTCTACTCATATCTGCTGTCCAGGAAACTCTTAGCCACTTTCATAAACCTGTGATGGTTACAATGGCAAGGTAATTATGATTTATCATACATTAAGTGTTGACTTGCCTTTTTTTTTTGTAAGTGAAATGATCACATCTAAACATGCTATATTATGCAGCTTTTTTTTTATATAAAAAAAGATGTGGTATGGTTGACAATGAGATAACTTTCCACCAGAGTGCAAATGATGTGCATCAAAACAACTTTTTGTCTTCATAGGGTTCAACTATGAGCAAATTCCTACTGTATAGTTCAGCAATAAAAAGTCCCAAGATCAGCTTGTAATAATATCATGTTCAGCTTATGATGTCACAAAAACAGCTTATGATACAGATTTGTAAGTGAATGACACAGGTTTATGGAATAACCTTCAACAATTACCCTTAAGGCCAAAATATGGAAAGTAAAAAATATAAATATTTGTTCCAACGTTAACTGATTTCCGTATCAGGCCTAGCATATGGTATCTCTACATGACTTAATTAATGTCATTGAAATAGGTAAATGTATAAATATCTACAGTCACTTAAAATATAAAAATAAGGAGATGTGGTATGATAGGCAATGAGACAACTGTCCATCGAAATTCAAATGAAGTGGATGTTAGCAATTGTAGGCAACTGTATGGCCTTCAACAATGAGAAAAACCCATACCATATAGTAAGCTATAAAAGGCCCTGAAATGAAAATATGTAACAACTCAGTTGAGAAAACTAATTACAACTGCCTAATTTTTAACAAAACAATTTACACATTACAAAAATGAGAGACTGATAAATATGCAAAATGATGTCATATAAAATCTGTACATTTTTGTATTGATCATCATTTGAATTATTCATTTGCAGGTTTGAACATTCCACTGAATACAAAACGTTTTTGATAAACTAAAAATGAAAAATGGGGGTTAAACACATTTACAAGGAACTAGTATATAGTACTAGTATTACATGCTGGACATATGTTACGAAGTTTCTGTTTGTCACAAGCTCATTGTCCTTGACCTCATTTTCATGATTCAGTGACTGCTTGACAAAGATATATAGTTTTTTTGTCAAGTGAAATACTCACTTATTATGAGTAATAGGATAACTATATTTGGTATATGGGTTCCTTTGCAAGATCTGCAGGTCTGTCAGACAGAGTTCCCTGGACCTCAACCTCATTTTATGGATCAGTGATCAAGGTTAACTTTACGATCTTAGATACTATAGTTAATAGGACATTTATATTTGGTGTATGGAATGATTGTAAGGTGTACATGTCCTACTGGCAGGTTTCATATGACTGTGACCTCATTTTCATGGTTCATTGGTGAATGTTTAGTTTTTGTCGAGCCTGCGACTTTTGTCGCAGAAAGCTCGACATAGGGATAGTGATCTGGCGGCGGCGGCAGCGTTATCCAACTTCTTAAAAGCTTTATATTTTAGAAGGTAGAAGACCTGGATGCTTCATACTTTGTATATGGATGCCTCATGTTACGAAGTTTCCGTCAGTCACCTGTCCAATGTCCTTGACCTCATTTTCATGGTTCAGTGACTACTTGAAAAAAAGGTAAACATTTTTTGTAATGTTAAATTCTCTCTTATTATAAGTAGTAGGATAACTATATTTGGTATGTGCGTACCTTGCGAGGTCCTCATGCCCGTCAGACAGTTTTCACTTGACTTCGACCTCATTTCATGGATCAGTGAACAAGGTTAAGTTTTGGTGGTCAAGTCCATATCTCAGATACTATAAGCAATAGGTCTAGTATATTCTGTGTATGGAAGGACTGTAAGGTGTACATGTCCAACTGGCAGGTGTCATCTGACCTTGACCTCATTTTCATGGTTCAGTGGTTATAGTTAAGTTTTTGTGTTTTGGTCTGTTTTTCTTATACTGTATGCAATAGGTCTACTATATTTGGTGTATGGAATGATTGTAAGGTGTACATGTCTAGCTGGCAGGTGTCATCTGACCTTGACCTCGTTTTCATGTTTCAGTGGTCAAAGTTAAGTTTTTGAGTTTTGGTCTTTTTTTCTAATACTATATGCAATAGGTCAACTATATTTGGTGTATGGAAATATTTTATGATCTATATGTCAGTCGCGCAGGTTTTATATGACCTTGACCTCATTTTCACGGTTCATTGCTCAGTGTTAAGTTTTTGTGTTTTGGTCTGTTTTTCTTAAACTATAAGCAATAGGTCAACTATATTTGTTATATGGAAGAATTGTTAACTGTACATGTCTGCCTTGCATGGTTCATCTGACCTTGACCTCATTTTCATGGTTCATTGGTCAATGTTTAGTTTTCTTGGTTAATGTTAAGTTTATGTGACAGTTGTAATAAAGCTTTATATTTAGGCCTATCAACATAATATCAATGATTAGTAAAGAAGGCGAGACATTTCAGCGTGTGCACTCTTGTTGCTGTTTGGTCTATTTCTCAGATACTGTAAGCAAAAAGGGCCACTATATTTTGTGTATTGAATGATTGTAAGGTGAACATGTCTGTCTGGCAGTTTTCATATGACCTTGACCTCGTTTTCATGGTTCATTGATCAGTGTTTGTAAGTTTTCATGATGTTGTCAGTTTATCAGATACTATAAGCAATATGTCACTTATGTTTAATGTATGGAATGATTGTAAGGTATACATGTCTGTCTGGCAGGTTTCATATGACATTGACCTCCTTATCATATTTTATTGGTCAATGTTAAGTTTTCGTGGTTTTGTCAGTTATTAAAACATTATAAGCAATATAGCAACTATATTTGGTGTATGGAATGATTGTATGGTGTTCATGTCTGTCTGTCAGGATTCATATGACCTTGACCTCATTTTCATGGTTCATTGGTTAATGTTATTTTTTGTGGTGTTGTCCGTTTTCCAGGTACTTTCAGCAGTAGTCCCACTATATTTGGTGTATGGAATGATTGTAAGGTGTACATGTCTGTCTGGCAGGTTTCATATGACCTTGACCTCATTATCATATTTCATTGGTCAATGTTTAGTTTACATGGTTTTGTCAGTTATTCAGATATTATAAGCGATAGGTCAACTATATTTGGTGTATGGAATGATTGTATGGTGTACATGTCTGTCTGGCAGGATTCATATGACCTTTACCTCATTTTCATGGTTCATTGATAATGTTATGTTTATGTGATACTTGTAGTAAAATATTCATAATAGACTTTCAACACAAATTTTATCATAAGTTAAGCAGGCGAGAAATTTCATCATGTGCACTCTTATCTTATGATTTATATTTAATACTATGTTTTTAAATATACTACAATTATGGAACTAGTTTCAATAGATTGCTTTTCAGATGTGGTACAGTGTAGACTGTATATCTAACTGTGCTAGTTCAGATAATTAGCTGAACCTTAGACATGAGGATTTGATTTTTCATTTTGATAGTGTGATCTTTATTTTTGCAGATCCAGTATAACAGATGAATACTGTCCACCAGATCAAGTTGAATCAATACAAGAACAGACATTAGAAATGCTACAAGATTTATATTTAGAAATAAATGTTACAAATGATTATGATGATCGGGATGACAATGTTTAAAAAAGCTGATGCCTATTTAAATGACATCTTATCCATAGATATGTATTTGGAATAGTGAACTTTTGTTAATTTGGTGCCATAATCATATCCAGAGTTGTATACTGTACCCCATACACCAGATGTTGCTGTTACTCAATGCACCATTCTCTCCAATAACAGAATAAAAAGAGCAGGGATCCAGTCACAATATTTGGTACACTAAACTGTGATTCAGACATATCTAATATGTCTGTTCGAGTAAAAACTTCTATGGCCACCAGTAATCAGCAATATCTGGTATACAGGGATACCGTTAAGGAGAGAGGATATTTCTTTCATTTATTTTTAAGTCTATCTTCATTGATAACTTCAGAATTTGTGTTGCATTGAGATCCAAGAAACTACACATAGTGAATCGAAGAAGTAACACTCTTTGGACAGAAACTGGGTAGTAATCATTGTGAAGGACTGAACAATTTATATGTTACCATGACATATTACATTTGCAATGCTACCTCTGGTGGATTGTTTTGCTGTTTATCTGAAATCCTATATGGGTTAGTGGCATTACTTTGTATCCTTCACTTTTGTTTATGTTGCAATAGGAAATGTATGCAAGAAATAAATCAGGAATATAGTCAAAATAATCAAATTATACATACTTTCTATGTAAAGGTCATATTACTCATACTGTATATACAACACTTTTTGAGTTGCCTGTGATATTTGCGATTACACATGTGTTTGTTTAGTATAAAAGTAATCAATAAAAACATGAAAAAGAATTGAATTTAAATTGCCTTTCTTCTTTGCCAGTGATCTAATATTTTAAAATTTCCAACCATAATGGTTTTCAAAAACATATGGTCAATGTATCCATTAAATTTTGTCTGGTTTTTTATATCGTTCTCTTACTTTGCTGACAAAAAGTCCAACAATCAGCTGATTCCAGGTAATACACTTTTGTATAGCTTGGACATTTTCTGAAAGGTATGGAGCTAAAGACATGAAAGAGATGAAAGTACAATGTTTAAATTTTCAATGGAGGTAGATTTTTTGCAAGTTTACTTCATTGGTTATGTGTTCCTCATTTCACAAGACTATCAGGAAACTTGTCAATAGTTGTTTGTATTTATATCTTTGTGTTTTTGTCCTTGTAAGATTTTATTGTTGATGATAGATCTTTTGTTGTCTTGTTATTTAATTTATTCATGAGTTTTCTATATTTAGGCCAATTTAGAGCTTGACACATATTATATAGACACTTTTCTGTTGTTGAATATCATACATTGACATCAATATTATTTGTGTTGCTGGGTTACTGTCTCATTGAATCCAGAACAATCAGTTATGAAAATAAAAATATATTAAAAAATTCTGATGTCCAAAAATGTTTTTAATTTTTCACATCCTTTTTAAAATCAATTCCTTTAATAAAAATCTTTTTGGGTCAAATATTTTATTTCATGACAACACCCAGTTATACCTATCCAGGTATTCCAGATTCCCTAAACCTGGTTTCCATTCATTTAAGAAATATTTGGTGAGTTGTGCATAGTTTTCATCATTAAAATGTATGCCATGTATGCTTCAGGATGATACATAGAAAACAAATGTTTTCAATCAGAAATGTCACACCATTACCATTAAATTTATTTTGTATGCTTGTTGTGAATACAATGTAGTCTTTGACTAAATAAACCAGACAATATGAATTTAGCAGATACAATGTTTTCATAGACAAATACATACAAGAGTGTACAACTGTACACGCTGAAATGTCTCGCCTTCTTTACTAACCATTTATATTATGTTGATAGTCCTAAATGAAAGCTTTACTACAACTATTACATAAACTTAACATGATCCAAGAAAATGAAGTCAAGGTCATATAAACCAAACGAGAAATACATGTACACCTTACAATCATTCAATACACTTAATATAATATAGTTGACCTATTGCTTATAGTTTCTAGAAAACAGACTTAACCAAGAAAACTAAACATTGACCAATGAATCGTGAAAATTAGGTCAAGGTCAGATGAACCATGCCAGGCAGACATGAACAGCTTACAATCCTTCCATACAACAAATATAGCTGACCTATTGCTTATAGTTTAAGAAAAACAGACTGAAACGCATAAACTTAACACTGAGCAATGAACCGTGAAAATGAGGTCAAGGTCAAATAAAACCTGTGAGACTGACATGTACATCATAGAATATTTCCATACACCAAATATAGTTGACTTATTGCATATAGTATAAGAAAAAAGACCAAAACTAAAAAACTTAACTTTGACCACTGAACCATGAAAATGAGGTCAAGGTCAGATGACACCTGCCAGTTGGACATGTACACCTTACAATCATTCCATACACCAAATATAGTAGACCTATTGCATAAAGTATAAGAAAAACGGACCAAAACACAAAAACTTAACTATAACCACTGAACCATGAAAATGAGGTCAAGGTCAGATGACACCTGCCAGTTGGACATGTACACCTTACAATCCTTCCATACACCAAATATACTAGACCTATTGCTTATAGTATCTGAGATATGGACTTGACCACCAAAACTTAACCTTGTTCACAGATCAATGAAATGAGGTCGAGGTCAAGTGGAAACTGTCTGACGGGCATGAGGACCTTGATAGGTACGCACATACCAAAAATAGTTATCCTATTACTCATAATAAGAGAGAAATTAACATTACAAAAAATCACAACTTTTTTTCAAGTAGTCACTGAACCATGAAAATGAGGTCAAGGTCAGATGACACCTGCCAGTTGGACATGTACACCTTACAATCCTTCCATACACCAAATACACTAGACCTATTGCTTATAGTATCTGAGATATGGACTTGACCACCAAAACTTAACCTTGTTCACAGATCCATGAAATGAGGTCGAGGTCAAGTGAAAACTGTCTGACGGGAATGAGGACCTCGATAGGTACGCACATACCAAACTTTTTTTTCAAGTAGTCACTGAACCATGAAAATGAGGTCAAGGACAATGGATATGTGACAGACAGAAACTTCGTAACATAAGGCATCTATATACAAAGTATGAAGAATCCAGGTCTTCCACCTTCTAAAATATAAAGCTTTTAAAAAGTAAGCTAACACCGCTGTCGCCGCCGGAGCACTATCCCTAAGTCGAGCTTTCTGTGACAAAAGTCGCAGGCACGACAAAAATGAGGATTTCAATTTAGTTAAGTCTTGTTAAAGTTTACTTATTATGTTAGTTCCAGATTAAAATACAGTATATTATAAGAAAATAAACACTGTTATTTGTTTTTAGATCCAAGTTCTTGTGCTTTTAATGTTGCTGCTTCAACAGCATCAATTAAACATGCTCTAAATCCAGACTTCTCAAGAGATTGTACTGCAGCTATAGTGGTTCCCCCTGGTGAGCAGACATCATCCTTCAGCTGGCCTGGATGTTTACCTGATTCTAGAACCATTTTAGCAGCCCCCAATAAAGTCTGAGCGGCTAGTTTCAATGCTAAATCCCGTGGGAGTCCCATGTTTACACCACCATCAGCTAAAGATTCTATTGCAATAAATCCATATGCAGGTCCACTTCCACTCAGGCCTGTCACTGCATCTAATAGATTCTCAGTTCCAATTTCACATATCCCTATACTTTGAAACAGTTCCCTGACAAGTTCACTATCGTTTAGCTGGACACTGGTACCGGGTGCTATCACTGAGGCTGCTGCTTGTACAGTGACAGTAATGTTCGGCATAACTCTTACAACTCTGGAACCAGGGGGTAAGTTCTGTTCAAATGTAGACAAGGGAACTCCTGCTGCTATTGATACAACTATTTTGTCCTTTGACACATGTTCTTTAACCTCCTTGAGTATTTTAGTGACAACGTTCGGTTTGACTGCTATAACCACCACTTTACTCTTATCCACAACTTCTTTATTCTCTTGTGCAGTTTTTACCCCAAATTCCTTAATAAATTGTAACATTCTGGGGTCTGCATCACTTGCTGTAATGTTCTGTGGTCTGATAATACCTGTTGTAATAAATCCTTTTGTCATTGCTTGTGCCATTCTGCCAGCCCCTATAAATCCAATTGTCATATCTTCAGAAACGTATTTCCTCTTTTGACCAGCATCTGAGGCTGAAGACGTATTTGATGATTGCATTTTTGTTCTGTTTGATATCACCGTATCACGATTAAGCCGGCTTTGACTGCTTCCCAGGCACAGAAATTCAGTTCATACCGTTATCGGTGCAGTATTTAAAATATCAATACTTCCGGTAAAAATTCATGCCATGTGAAAATCAAAAACATATTCAAAACAAGCGAAAATGGGCAAAAGCAGAAGAAACAAGGATGAAAATGACTCAAACTTTTCTCAAAAGAAAGAAAGGGTTGATGAAAATACAATTAATTATTATAGACGAGTCACAGAGACATTGAATGAGGGGTTTTCTACAGATGAAGATAGAGGTAAAAACAATCTGTGTTGTTTCTTCTACTTCTACTTTCTACTTTGTCATGTTTGTAGTGACATTTTTACAAAGTACACATTTTTATTTTGTTTTGTTAATATTAAGATAAAAATATTTACACATGATAAATTTACTGACTCATGACTAGGTGTAAGTTGAGACAGCTGCTTTGAACGACTCCACAGAGTCAATCACAAGGTTCAGAGGAAGGCTGTTCCAGGTTTCAGGGTTGTGCTTAAATGAGAAACGAAATCGAAAAGCAATGTATGATACAAAACAAAACGAAATATAGGAATTTTGATAGACTTTCTACAAAAAGGTCTCAAACCTATATATGCAACATGATTGACATTCTCAATGAACAGTGTTCTCCCCAGGCCGATATGACGCTGCGGTGCCGCAGCGCCTTCATAATATTTTTGTAGATCCCGCAGCGTCTTAATTGGCCGCTGTCCCTTAATACTTGATCCCGCAGCGTGTTAATTTTCACATTGTCATTATAAATGTTGGTTAAAATTGTCAAGTTACTGATCACCGCTGATGGGTCGGTCAGTGTTACGCAATAACTGATAATTAGTTTTACCTGAGCCACGCTTATCTCAGCCTTATCGGACTATGTTATCAGGTAATAGCGTAAATGATCATCAAGAAGATAGATATTTTTTGAAGAAAATTAAAAATTTTAAAAACTTCAGTGCAGAAATTGAAGAAATAGATCGCAAATACTTTGTATTTATGCATCGTGTGTGTGATCACTTGACCATTTATATAACGAATTTTTTCATTGGTCGAGAAAAAGAATCTATTTAAACACGACCAATGAACGTGTTGAATACACATGATAAATTTGAATACACATTGCTAAAGATATTTACGATGAAAGTATTAATTAGTAGTTGAAAAAAATAAAATAAAGTTTGATTAAAGATAACGAGGAGTGATTTACTTTAATAGAAAGTGAAAAAATGTTGCTTGCAAGGTAAATTCGTCTGAAACTCATATTTTTTTAAATAAAATGATCATTGAACATCGATCGTGAATCCGTGCGTCGGGAAATATGTGACAATCAACACGGGTACAGAATCGCCGCAGCTTCTGTATAATGTCACTGGTAAATAATTTCAATGGTTAACTATATTTTGACTTCTTTAATTGACTGAATATAAATAACTTTTGTGTTTAAAATCAATTTATTTCATATATATATTCTTTTAATTCATTAATACTCTGCATTATTAAACACATAACACAAAGCATTATAATTCATATTGCATGTCATGATTTATGACTTATTGCTTCAGATCACAAACGTTCACTCTAAAAAAAGAGTTACGCGCCCTTGAATTTTGCGCCTTAAAAAAATCCTGGGGAGAACACTGATGAAGATATAAATGGCTTGCAAATAATCTGTATATTAGGTCACACATATCTAATTAGTCTGAACCTTAAAAAAACTGACATATATATAAATATTTCCGGAGCAGACAAACTATTAAGACAACAAACATGACAAAACTATTTATCTAACAGTGCTCCAGCTAGGGTGCCAGTGGAGGTCAGGGCACTTTTTTATGAAAGGAAAAGGCACTGTTCATTTCTTTTGTCTATGTTTCTGTGTGTATCACGAGTTCACATTTTTTTTTTACTGTATTTGTTGTTTATAAAGATGCATAAGTTGTTGTTTTGATTATTTATTCTATAGAATTTGCATTAGAAAATGTAATTCATACGACATGTTCATAAAACATGTCAATACACATTCATACATCACATCACTATAAACCAATAGAGGCAAATTAACTAACTATTCTCCCCCCCCCTTTTCCAAAAAAAACAACATAAACTAAACATCTCATAGTTTAGCATACATGTGACAGAGTTGTCTTATTTCAAAATTTTCAGCTAGATTTTGGCCCTCTAAACTTTTTTTCAATGTTTGTGTTAAGGAATGATTTAGTAAAGCTTCATCAAGTTGATGTCATGATAGTTTGACTTCAAACTACCCGTTTGTGTAAGATTGCAGCTTAACATCATTATAACAATTGAAATTTCAAATTTCTTAATTGACAATGTATAGAACATGGATTGCTAAAAGTATGATTATCAAAAATAAATTGCAATATATTTTTTTTGTTATGTTCAAAGACAGTTAATATCCTTAACGTAACATTCTTGTATAATTTTGTATTCAATTGGTTATTTATTCCTATTTTTAGTACTAGATAATATTTAAGGAGCACAAATTTGTAATAAGCTAAAACAGGGGAAGTAACTCCAAAATTAATTTTCAACACGTTTATTTCGCTCACAAGTTGAGATGGACGGCTTTTCTGTGAAGGCATAGTTGTATTTTGATGACTTAAATTCTATTCTAAAGTCACGAAAGTCTTCATTTATACACTCTTCTTGGAGATCGAAAATGCCGACCCAAGCTAAAAACACTCGCTGACACATTCATCAAATTTATGACAAAAAGGTACATTGTCTTAATTAAATTACCTAGTTATTAACACCTTTGAAGTCTTATCCACTGTAATTGATTGTAATGACATGATTAACCTGGGGGCAATCACCTGGTGTCATATATGTAATTTAACTTTGTGAAAAGAAATCGATGAAACAAAAGGCAAATTTACCAAAACGGCACAAGGGTTTTTGGGGAAAAGGCGTCAGGGCAGAAGGGCGCAGATTGAGGCACCCAGGGCGCGGCGCCCTTCTATTTTGGGCTAACGAGACCACTGTCTAAATATCCTTAAATATACAATTGTAACTACACCTTTTCTTTCTCTTACCTCCTCCCCTAATGGTTAATGGGGAAAAGAAATATGGTCACTTTGGTCTTCATCTGACCGACAGATAAACCCTTGCAAAAGTGGTGCATCCGTTTGGCTGTTTGGGATATACAAGTACACAGCCACATCCCATCACAATAAAGACATTAAATTCAATGCCTTGTGTAAAGAGAGTGCCACATTCTCTGCACATTAAGAACCCTTGCAACAACTCTCAGAGGGGTCAGTAGGTTGCCTGTTGCAAGACAAAATTTATATCCCTATCCAATATACCCTCATTTCTAGTGGCAGTAAAAATGTTCCCAACCTTCATCATATTCATGCTATTACAGGACCTACCATTTGTATTTATTGTCAATCGGTTTTGGCCATCATATATTTGTACAAACAATATCAATATTTTGCACTTGGTCAAGTTTCAGGGATATGTAAGAGTTTACTTGTACCAACCATTAATGCAGTTGGTTGGGCTAGACAAGAAGCAAAAAAAATTTTATCGTCTAGTTTATGACGCCTTATTATACAGGATTTTGACTCATCACAGGTTAGTTTACGGTAAGATTTACACAATTGGTGTCACTAGTGGATGAAGAACTGCTGATCCTTCAGTGAAGAACATATGATTCAACCTCGTGTTGCTCAATCATAATTTTTTTATTGTCAAATAATTAATCATTGTGATCATTGTTGACACCTCTTTTATCAGTTCCAATTAAATGTTAATTATATCATTTCACACTAAAAATATAGTGTTACATAATAGATGATCATATAGTCTTAATATGATTAAGAAATTTTAATTGTAATTCTTAAATCTTGTCAACAGATGTGAAAAAAAAAACCTAAATAAGTGTAAAAAAGACGGAACTTCTACAATTTTGTTAATTTTAAAATTAGAATTCACCATGAAACCAGAAAGAGATATTTAATATGTTCTATTAAAAAAAAAATTATATTTGGGTAATAAGTCATCTTATATTACAAAAAGAATTAATTGGATTAAGAATTTTAAAAATCAGGTGTTATATGACTCACTTTTTGGGACAAATTGACTGCATGCAGTGCAAACAATGAATCATGGGCAAAATGACCCATTACTGAGGTAAAACTGGTGGGTTACACTAATGTTCTAACCACAGTTCATCCAGTTAGGGACCAACTAGAACATACCGATCTCGTCTATTTGTCGAGCCTGCGACTTTTGTCGCAAAAGCGAGACATAGCGATCCTACATTCCGTCGGCGTGTGAGGTGGCGGCGTCCACACATATTCACTCTGTGGTTAAAGTTTTTCAAATTTTAATAACTTTCTTAAACTATCCTGGATTTCTACCAAACTTGGACAGAAGCTTGTTTATGATCAAAAGCTAGTATCTAGAAGGAAATTTTGTAAAAGAAAATTCCTGTTTTTCCATATATTACTTATAAATGGACTTAGTTTTTCTTCCAGTTAACATTATATACAGTCTGCAGTTAAAGTTTTTAAAACATTTATTAGGTTCATAAACCATCCTGGATTCTTACCAAACTTGAACAGAAGCTTTTTACATTCAAAAGATAGTATCTAGAGGAAAATTTTTAATAATTATTTCCCATTTTTGTTGAGCCTGCGACTAACAGCAAAAGTAGGCGAGACACTGGGTTCCGTGGAACCCTTACAAATTTTTCTATCACTAAGTCTTGTTGTTGAATAAAAGTACAGAACATGTTCAAAGTAAAATAAACAAAATATAATTTGATTATGTATGAATATACAAACTAGCAGCTTGTTTTTTCTATGAAGTTGTTTCATTTTTTGGTGAGACATAGTGATCTTTCATTCAGTCAATGTAGATGTCAACATTTTGGTTTTTAGTCTGTGGTTAAAGTTTTTTTTAAACAAAACACCTGTAAAAAGGTTTTAAGATTCCTTATAGTGTGTGCATGCTATATTGAGTACAAGTATATATCAAAAACTTTTCAAAAAACCATCTCAAGACCGAATATAGCTTCACAAAATTTTTATTTTGTTTAAGAAAGTTCTTTTTATTTATTTTATAGTAAAAAAAAAATAATGAATTAAATCTTCTTCTTAGAATTTTGCAGTTCCTCCTAGGCATTTTCCAAGTTGCTTTTTGATGGTACTGGTCATTTCTGCTAAGGCTCTTAAATTATGTAAATGGTTCTGGTTTAAAAGTGTGGAGTAGTTTATAAAATTTTATTTTATAAACAATAATAAATTACAAATTTTGATAATGATAAAAAACATTTGTTTATATATAAAGCATATACTGTAAATTCAGAAATTATTGAGATGTTTTTATTATTGCGAAAAATGGGACAGGGTTGTAATCGCCATAGTTTAAACTTGCATTTTGAATTTTTTTATAAGAATTATACAGATTTTTTTTTCACTATCGCAAAAATAAAAATCACATGTTAATCTAAAATGACAAAATCGCAATAATAAATGCACACAATAATTTCTGAATTTACAGTATATACATATATTGAAGCTTGTAGCTGCAAAACACGTCTAAGGTTTTCACAAAAATTGATTTACCAGTGTTCACTATAAACAAATGTGGTCAGCCGAGAGGCTCAACAAAGGTAACACAACAGAATAAAATGTAGAAATGTCAAAGAGGTTCACAAAATACTGATAAATTGTACAAAAATTCTGATCATTACCATTTCCACACACAATAAATACAATTATCACAGTTACTGCTTTGTAAGAAAGGGGAATAACTCAATTTTTATGCCCCTGTCGTAAGTAACAGGGGCATTAAGTGTTACCCTTGCAGTCTGCACCAAAATCTTTTCCAACTACTAGTCCGAAGACCAATATTCCAAAATTTTCTTATGTGTCTAAACATATATTTGCAAATAGTTACTAGTCCTAATAAAATTTTACTAGTCTGGGGAATTCAACTAGTGGCTAATGCAGGGCTAATGGTGCAGACTGCCCTTGACCATCTTTCTATCCTTCTGTCTGTCTCTCCGGCTTTCAGTCTGTCTGTCTCATTTTCGTTTCCGCACTCCAACTTAAGTTTGCCTAATCCAAATTTTATGAAACTCATACACAATGCTAAGAACCAAAACTCCCAGACAGAGTTCCAATTTGGGCAATGAGTCACTTATAAATTACCATTCTAGAGTAATGCCCCTTTATAACTTGGAAAATTGCAATTGATTTCTTTCTTTTCATGGAGGCATATTTATTGTACAAATGTATCTCTCATACTGTATGTCTGACAGCCATCCTTTTAAATATTTTTAGTAATAGATAAACTAACAGCAGTGATCTTTGTGTATAAGCCATCTCAGTTTATAATTAGCTTAAGAAAATTTGAACACATTTGAATAATTTCTTGAAATAGGAAGGTGATTGGGGTAATCATTAAATTTAATACATTGAAATAGAAAATGATATTTATCCTTCACATCTCCAGAGTTAACAAGTCGGATTAATTTATAATCTTTCAAATTATACTGATTACCGGTAAGAATTATTTTCCAAGTTTATCTCATTTTATCTCTAAATTTAAGGTAAATTATGTTGAAAAAATTAAAGAGTGGTGCTGGAAATTAAACAGTGGTGCTAAAAATTCAAAGATGGAGGAGCACTACCCATAAATAGGCTGTGGTTATCCCTGCTGTTACCTTCCTGTCTTAATTCTTAAGTGATGTGATGGAATTCTAAGGTGTGCTAAGCTACTTTTCTGTTCAAAACTGTCTGAACGGAAAACATATTATTATTTACCAAAATGTGTTTTTAATATAACATTAGTTTTAAGTTTACTATCTAAATGTTTTAGCTGTTAAGTGTGCCATAAATCTATAAAATTTGATTTTTAAAACAGTATTCATACATACCCAGATGTTAATTTGGAAAAGAAAAGATTTTTTTTCATATTTCATATAAAGCACAGTTACCAAAGATAATATTTGGAATCAAGACTTCTAACATGTCTAAGCAATACCAGTGCTTCAATATAGATTTAATCATTTGTTAATTAACTTAATTATATCATACTATTATGTGAATCTCCTTTACTCTGACAAAATTCCAAAGTTAGTGGATTTTATATAAACACCTAAAATAAATATACTAAATTTATTGTATATAGTCTCTTGCATTTTAAACTCAGATCTTATCAAATAACAAAGTTCCATTTCTAAATTTGGTTGTAAACATGGTATATGGGTTAAACATTATGTAATACGTATCTCTGGTGGATAGTTGTCTCATTGGCAATCATACCACATCTCCTTATTTTCATATTATGTTTGGATTAAATGATAACAAATTATTATATAATTTAACCTTTCAAATACTTTTGATCAATTCAGTCTGAGCAAATGAGAACGACCCTGATGCACTTAAGTACAAACCAAGATATACATTATAAATGGTGTCTGTATGTCTTGTTGAATATCAGAAGCTTTGTTTTGTTTGTTCTCTCTTTTCAATTGTTTCACATGTTGTCATCCCTTGACCTTTTATATAGTATGTGATATGCTCATTTTGAATGCCGTACAGTTTCTCAAGTTGTTCACACCCTTGTCATTTGGTCTTTGGTGGATAGTTATCTCACAGGCAATAATCCAAGATCTCCTAGTTTCTGTCGACTACTTTTTGTGGTACATGTATATCAGAGTCCTCAATGACATCACTAAAGTGTCATTTTAATATACATTTTCGTTTCTCTTTCAGAATTGTTTTTGGATAATGTTTTTAATCAGCTTGAAGAGGATGGACCAAAAGTGTGCAGACTAGCAAGTACTAGTCGTGTATTAGAAAAACTTATACAAGATGCACAAAACAAAAATATTTTACAATTATTAAAAGCCTTTAGCCAAGACTGGATTGTATTATTGTCAGACAGATTTGGAAGCCATGTTTTACAGAAATTAATTTGTCAAATTCCACGATGTTTGTCTAAGATTTCAAATGAAGAGGATACAGAGGATGAAACTATTTACACTTACTTCTTAAATCTTTGTAACTTTCTGAAGGACAACATTTCTGATGCAAGGACAGATATGTATGCCTCACATATATTGAGGGTGGTTTTACAAGTTTTAGGTGGTGTAAATGTTGGAGAGCAAGTTGTTAGAAGCCGTCTTTCAAGGAATCAGGATAAAGGTAAATTGTTTTAATTCAGGAAATGATTAAAAGAAATGTATTTTCACTTAAATATTTATCACGTTATTTACTATAATGATGCCGTTTCTAAAAACATTGAGTATTTGATTTGCTGATTAGTTTTATAAAGAGGAGATTTTGTTTCATTTTCATAATTCTGTTACTGTTAAAATAATAGCCTTTAGTTAAAGTTTTAACAATTTCTGAGTGTAAATAAATTTTGCTGCTACACATTCCAAGTAAAATGTACATGGTGTATTGCTTGTATGTATTTTACTTAAATTGGAGCAATTTTTTGCAGATGGACAAGATGAAATTAATGTGGATGATTTCAGCCCATCTGACAAATTCAAGAAAGTATTACTGAAATTTACCAAACTGATACTAAGTTCTGATACTCTAAATAGTAAGTAAACACATCAATTAAAATGATTTTTCCTGTAGTTTTTGCACATCTGCCAAAGTATGACAGTCACAGTTCAGACTTCTGTTTTTGAAAGGTATGTAAATACTGGCTTTGTTAGTGGCGAAAAATATATTGATTTGGCAAAAATGAAAATTGACCCAGGGGAATCCCTGATTTAAACCATAACAAACTTAATTATAAAAACATTTTTGATATACAAGTTTTAATTGTATATGCTTAAACATTCACAAAAGTTATCACCACAAATTATCCTTTTATAATTCAAATCATTGAAGGCACATGACAACTGAACCATGTACATTCTACATAAAAGGTGTTTATTAGATAACCCAAGTGTTAACCATGAGTTCTGTATTGGTTACCATGGTTACTGTACATAAACATTGTACATGTACCATCAAACCGGTCAAACAGGATTTTCAGTCATTTTATTTTACCCATACCATGATTTATAGAATGTTTAGTAATAACAGTTGTTCTTTCAATATGTATTTAGCAATGTTTTATTGATTTTTCGGCACACCTACAATTCACCATTTCAAAATCTAAAGGACTGGATAATTTCATTGTTTGTTACTAAAAATGAAAATATCGTCACACCATTGATAGCATTTCCTTTGTGTGAGACGTTGTTATCCAATCACAACATTTTAGTGCATGCTTTTGAAAATATTACCCAGAATGCTTTAAAAGAATCTAGAACGGCAAATTAAGGAAACAACTTAATTGATCTTTGTACACACATAAGTCAGTCAGGGGTACTACTTGTACAAGTAATTTTTATTTACTTGAAGAAGTAATATTAATATACTTATATAAGTAAATTTGTAGGATACTTATACAAGTGTATTTTATTTACTTGTATAGGTAAAAAAAAAATTGGCTTAGTTATGTCCCTTAGACATTCAGATTTTTTTACTTATATAAGTGAAAAAGTCATCCTATCTTCTTTTCTTGAATTCTTAGGACTTCTTTGCTCTAATAGAATTTTAAATTGTCTGTCCTTTGCAGATGTCTTAACTAATCATTTAAGTGTAATTTCATGGACAATGAAAATCTCATTTGTCTGTTATCTTCAGAACACTGCTCATTTACAAGCCCCCAAGGAGCAATTTTTGAAGGCCTTGTGCAAAGATTTAAGATTAAGATCTTTGCGCAATCAGTTTCTTTGTTGAATTAATGAGATGAAATATTGAACTCTAATAAAAAATTATGAGCTAACCTGGGAAAAATCATTAAAGGCATGTTTTTACATCTCAAAACTTGAGAATTTTTGTGGGATTGTAAAAATAATTTACTTATACACTGATACAAGTGAATTTTTGGAGAAAATTAAGGGGAGATTATTCAAACGTTATAATTAACTTATATAAGTAATTATTTTTTTTTTTACTTCTTCAAGTAAATAAAGATTACTTGTACAAGTAGTACCCCTGACTGTAAGTATATATGTTGTAATGTTTACAATTTTGATAGTTATGTATGGTAACAAACATGACAAACAAGTTGTAGTGCAAGTGACTGCTTGATGATTTATATCCCTGCTCTTACTTTTGAGTGAAAGGAAATACATATATCAAAGCAGACAACAGTAGATAATCACAGGGGTTAGCTCACAAATTAAACAATTAAGATAAATAAGGTTATGATTTTTATTTGCTAGGAAAAATGAAAACAACATTTTTTTATACATGCATCATTACTACACATGTATTTGTGTAGCATCTTATATTTTGTATACAAAATTTAATTCATAAATTTGTGTTTATTTTCAGTGGAGATTTGTAATCCTACAAATAACCCTCTGATACAGACAGTACTACTGGTATTACACAGAGTTAATGACCACAAGTGTCAAAAATACTTAAAGAAACTTATCTGTATTCCTGGACTGTTTGATTCTAACACTGAGAGGTATGGTCAAGCAAAAGTACATGAGTAACTTCTATCTGTTTTTTGTAGTACTTCATGTATTTGGACATAAACAGTGATAAATATAATACATTTATCTTAGAAGCTGATGATGTTCAACTTTTTTCTTACTCCTGCATGTGTTGAATGAATTACTGTAATAAACAAAAAAATAATTTTCAGACATATTGCTTTGTTTTATGACCCCATGTATATTTCAATTAAAGAAATATAGGTTTTTCCCTTTAGCAATGTTTAGTATCAGAAAGGGACAGTTAAATTTTCTTATGTTTTCCTCATTAGAAGTAGTGCCTGCAATATATATTTCATGAGTTAATGTGTTTTTCTCTATTAAGAAAATTTTGAACAGTTCAAATGTTCTGTCAGTGGCTTATTAAAATATAGAAATTATTTACATTTTAGGCTAATAGAAAAGGGGTATTCATATGAAAATGATGTAGATAGCATGTGCAAGTTTTTAAAGCTGAAGTCTCAAATATGTTAGTTGATTTTCTTGCAAGACATACAAATGGTTACTTCCATGTTAGTCGATTTCAACAGCTGTTAGCAATTTTCTGAACAACTGACCACTAACTTGATATTTGAATTATGTTTTGCTACCATTTTACCTGAGAATGATTTGATGATATCATGTTTTGTTTTGTAGCCTTCCTGTCATTACTAAGGATGAAATTGGATCTTTTATGGTGGAGCAAATTTTAAATCTGGGTTCTGAAGAATTTTACACTGAACTCTACAAAAAGTTATTTAAAGGGAAGCTACTCTTGTATGCAGTACATCCTGTTTCAAATTTCATTCTTCAGAGACTTATCACAAATGTAAAAGAAAAAGAGCATGTAAGACTATTATTTACTGTAAATATTTTTATGACAAAGACTTTATATTTGTCTAACTATGTCAAAGTATATATTCTGTCTAGATTTATATTTAATTTTATCTCCTTGTTTTATGTCGCTGTATATACAGTTTTGAATATTTTCAAATTTCAGGAATTAAAATTTTTTCTATCATTTGTTTCAGAAAGTTAATCATAAAATATTTTGTCCAAGAAGAAATAATATTTTTAATTTGTTATTGGTCAATAACACACAATGTTAATAATTTTTTGGGAAAATTTACTTCTGCTGAATATGCATTAAAAAAAAAACCTGTAGATGTTTAGCAAAAAAACAATAAATCATGAGATGATCTTAATATTTAATATGCATTTTTCATCATTTTCTTCTTAAGTATTCATATCGAAGAAATAAATGACTGTGTATATATTTGGTAATTAATGGTGGTTTATGGCAACAAATTGAATAATTGATAATATTATCATTTAAAATAAATTTCATTTTAGTTTGAAGAAATATTTGGAGAATTATGTGGATATTTAGAAGACATGTTAGCTGTAAATCATTTAGGAGTCGTCACTAGGCTAGCGGAGGCTTGTCACAGGCTGGGATGTAATCAAGAAAAACTTTTAAGAGTAAGTGTTATATATATACTATTAGATTGGTTTGTAAGAAACCTTGTAAACAACCAGAATATTATCAGGGAAATGTTCAGTGTTAATGCAGTTTAGATATATAGAAACAGGTGTTGTAAAATTAGAAAACAGTTTCTTCATTTTTTCACCATATAAATTTATCACTATAAATTTTAAATTAACAACCATAATAGGATATATATATAATAAAATATAAAAAAATATTAAATAATAAAATTTGAGAAAAATTATAGCAATTCCACTTTTCTTCACTGCTAAGTTTCTCTGTGTGAATTTTGTAGTTCTTGAGTAGATATTTATTCCTTTGTTCCAATCACTATATAGTATAATATATTACTATTTGATGTTAACAATTAACAGTACTGAAGAAGTGACCATAAGTATATTTTTGGTTGAAATAAAAACGGTTTTACTTTTCTTCATAACTTTATTATGAGGTTCTGGCCAAAGAAAATAAATTCATGGTATCCTGGTATTATGGGTTTTCGTGCTATTAAGAATGCATTGTGATGTCACAATTTCCATTGAAAAAGCACCCATAGTACAAATTCATATGACGTATGAAAACATATGATCTGACCATGTAAGGCTTCTTGCTTGTCTGTTTTTAAAGAGGCAGGTAGAGTCTATACAAGTTGTGAATACTTAAACAGGAAACAAAAATCTGCCATCAGCAACAAATTCTTCAAATGACAAAAAACATTAAGACATGGCATTTATATATAAGACATGACATTTATATATAAGACAACCACTTTTGAGATTTCTGACTCTGGACAGACAAATGAATATGTAGCCGGATAAAAAGAGTTTTTTTTTTAGATCTCAAGCTTGAGACTTTTAATCACTTCAGTAAACTAACAAAATGGACATAAAAGAATAAACAATAAAAACACTTAGATAAAAGATACCTCATCAGTTCTTGATGAAAAGGTTACAATATCATAACTTAGGGGAGAAACTTTTTACTGTATTTGAAGAAGTACATCAATATTTATTGGGTTCCTAATATAATCATTCTAGTATGGTATCCAATATGAAAATTATGTTACCATTGTAGTCTCTAAAAGCAGCATTTCATTGTTTGGAACCAGTAGAAAGAGAAACCAAGGTGGCACCACTGTTGCTTTCACTAACCACCTATGAAATACATTATGATATGGCAGACAGTGAAGAAAAAAAAGAAAATAAAACAGATGTAAGTTATTTTAATGTCTTTTTGAGAAGATATGACTGATACTATTTTGACCCTAAAATTTGGAATTATAAAGTCATACCCTAATACATTTTTATACGACCGCAAAAATTTTGCGGTCGTATATTGGTATGACGTTGGCGTCATCGTCGTCGTCGTCCGAAGACACATTAGTTTTCGCACTATAACTTTAGTTTAAGTGAATGGATCTCTATGAAATTTTACCATAAGGTTCAATACCACAAAAGGAAGGTTGAGATTGATTTTGGGGGTTATGGTACCAACAGTTAAGGAATGAGGGGCCAAAAATAAGCATTTTTGTAACTTCCAGACAATAACTTGTGTGTAAGTGTATGGATCTCTCTGACATTGTACCACAAGGTTCCATATCTCAAAGGGAAGGCTGGAATTGATTTTGGGGGTAATTGCCTCAATATTTTAGGAATTAGGGGCAAAAAAAGGGGCAAAAAACAAGCATTTTTCTAGTTTCATGACAATAACTTGTGTGTAAGTGTTTGGATATTTCTGAAATTGTACTACAAATGTACAAGGTTCCATATCACAAAGGGAAAGCTGGAATTGAGTTTGGGGGTAATTGCCCGAAACATTTAGGAATTGGGGGCCAAAAAGGGGCCAAAAATAAGCATTTTTCTAGTTTCCAGACAATAACTTGTGTTCAAGTGTATGGATCTCTCTAATATTGTACTGCAAGGTACCATATCACAACGGGAAGGCTGGGCTTGATGATGGGGGTAATTGCCTCAATATTTTAGGAATTAGGGGCCAAAAAGGGGCAAAAAACAAGCATTTTTCTAGTTTCAGGACAATAACTTGTGTGTAAGTGTATGGATCTTTCTGAAATTGTACTACAAGGTTCCATATCACAAAGGGAAAGCTGGGTTTGAGTTTGGGGGTAAATGCCCTAAACGTTTAGGAATTTGGGGCCAAAAAGGGGCCAAAAAACACATTTTTCTAGTTTTCAGACAATAACTTGTGTTTAAGTGTATGGATCTCTCTGAAATTGTACTGCAAGGTATCATACCACAAAGGGAAGGCTGGGATTGAGTTTGGGGGTGATGAATCATAAGGGGGGGGGAGGATTTTTTTTTTTCCTTTTTTTTTTCTTTTAAAATTTTCCATTTTATGTTGGTTATATCTGATTTATATTTAAAAGCAAATAATAATGATATGGTAGGAGATACACACCAAACAGGATGTGTAAATTATTATATAATAAGTATTGTGCAATAGCAAGAAATTTTCAATTGCACAGTATTGCACAATAGCAAGAAATCTTCAATTGCACAGTATTGCGCAATAGCAAGAAATCTTCAATTGAACAGTATTGCGCAATAGCAAGAAATATCCAATAGCACAATATTACGCAATAGCAAGAAATTGTCAATTGTACAGTATTGCGCAATAGCAAGAAATATTCAATTGCACCGTATTGTGCAAAAGAAGATACTTCGTATAAATTGCTTATTTCTTGACCAATTTCAATGGGGTTTTATTCTTGAATTCTTGGGGTTCTTTAATATGCTGAATCTAACCGTGTATTAAGTTTTTGGATTTTTGGCCCTGTTTTTAAATTGGTCCACATTGAGGTCCAAAGGGTCCAAAATTAAACTTTGTTTGATTTCATCAAAAATTGAATTATTGGGGTTCTTTGATATGCCGAATCTAACCATGTATTTAGATTCTTAATTTTTGGTTCCGTTTTCAAATTGGTCTACATTAAGGTCCAAAGGGTCCAAAATTAAACTTAGTTTGATTTTAACAAAAATTGAATTCTTAGGGTTCTTTGATAAGCTGAATCTAAACATGTATTTAGATTTTTGATTATGGGCCCAGTTTTCAAGTTGGTCCAAATCGGGGTCCAAAATTAAACTTAGTTTGATTTTAACAAAAATTGAATTCTTAGGGTTCTTTGATATGCTGAATCTAAACATGTATTTAGATTTTTGATTATGGGCCCAGTTTTCAAGTTGGTCCAAATCAGGGTCCCAAATTAAACTTTGTTTGATTTCAACAAAAATTGAATATATGGGGTTCTTTGATATGCTGAATCTAACCATGTATTTAGATTTTTGATTTTGGGCCCCGTTATCAACTTTGTCCACATTTAAGTCAAAACGGTCCAAAATTAAACTTTGTTTGATTTCATCAAAAATTGAATTCTTGGGGTTCTTTGATATGCTGAATCTAACCATGTATTTAGATTTTGGATATTGGACCATAATAGGTGAATGTCCAATTTAAAATTTTTAAGTTCTTAGACCACATTCATTCTGTGTCAGAAACCTATGCTGTGTCAAATATTTAATCACAATCCAAATTCAGAGCTGAATCAAGCTTGAATGTTGTGTCCATACTTGCCCCAACTGTTCAGGGTTCGACCTCTGCGGTCGTATCAAGCTGCGCCCTGCGGAGCATTTTATTAATTCATATAATCTGCAAGATATTAAAGGACATATTTATTTCGTCTCCCATTGGTGCAAAGTGACACTGATATGCACACACTCATTATATTAACATGCCCAATTTTTATTTCAAGAGTTAATTTTAGTGTATGGGAGGAACTACTCTTCTCATCCGATAATGTTGGGGAACAAACAAAATTATGAAAATGCACATAGTGTATGGACTAAATTTTTCTAGTCATTGATGTCTGAAGGGAAATAACAATCTATTTAATTAAGACAATTTTTAAAAATATCAGTGTCCACATATTCTGGTTACTTCTTAAAACACTGGTAATCTCTTCAAACAATCCTCACGAGAATAATTTACTTACAGCTGTCATGGTCCTGACTTGGTACAGACAGCTTCCAATGGACCAGGGTTTATAGTATGCAAAACCTCCCACTTATATGAATGTTTTTTTTCCGTTTTCAATGAACTATGAACCATTGAAACTTTAATTTTAACATTCACAGCCTGGAATACTTAAAACTACATATGCAAAAGATAAGACATGATTACTGTATTCATTTGAATCCTAAAATATCATAGACTGCAAATAAATTGTAAAAAAAATACTAAAATAAATTGTAATATAATGAGGAATATATTTCAGAAAGAACCAGCAAAAAAAAATCCAGTTTTAACAGATATTAATTACCATGGATCCATGTTAGTGCAACATTTGTTGAAGTTTGGTAATCCTAAACAGATGGTTACCAGTTTACTGGAACTTAAACCAGTTGAGCTGAAGAATTTGTCATGTAACCCATGTGGCAGTCATGTGGTAGATGCATTTTTCCAGAGCAAAACAATTGGAGAAAAAAGTAGAGAGGCATTTGTATTTAGAATCAAGGTAATTTTTGTTCACAGCAGACACTTGTTCAAGAAAATTTATGTCCTTTTTTATATGATAATGTTAATATAGGAAAGTAATGTCTCCCATATGAATGTTAGGAATGTGATGGAAAAGTTTGTTTAAAATAAAAGTGTAGAGTCATTTACACCCCTTTTTGTTAAAAAATTCTTTTGAAAATTGAAAACATAATTTTGAATGTTTATTTATATATATAAACAATGATAAAGTTGTATTCTCATAAATTGTTCTAACTTATTTATTTGATATTGCTTGTTAAAGAAAGTAAAATGTCTTTCAACATATACAAGTCACTAAAATTTTGCTTAAACAATATTTTTTTGGTAAAAATTGGTTAAGTGATAACATTTAAAACTGAAATAATTTTGGAATTTGAGTTTATTTCTAATAACATTTTTATTAGGGATGCAGGGATATTTGAAAATTAGAAATGGGATGAGTTTATAGAATAAAACTGGTGATGTTTGTCCGTTTTAAATGGCAATTACATCCATCTTATACCTTATATACACTGACATGATGCTATTTATAGTAACAAAAGAAACATTCAACATACCCCTTACCTTAACCAACAAAGGTAATTTTGATTAAGAAGGCTTCCCAAAAGGTACATGTATCTTTTCAAAACAAATAATATCACTTTGACAATTTTATATGAACATAATTATTGCAGAGTTTTATGAACTATGTTTCCCCCCCAAAAAAGGCCAGATAAGTGCAGTGTTTGTTTAATATTATCTTTTATGGAGCAATGAATGTGACATAAAATGAGCAATCAAAGAGTATTGTCAAATTCATTCACAGTTTAAAAAATGAATGTCATAGTAAAGATATGGTTATACCTGGAGTTATCTGGTACAATCAAGGAAAAGGAGTGTATCTTATGAGATAAAGGACCAGTGATATTGTTTGCCTCAAATTTCCTCCGAAATTTCGGCTTTTTCCCCTAGAGAAAATTCCCAATTACTAAAAAAAAATGGCATGAAATTCCTCCCAATAAGTTATACATTTTTCCCAAATGGTGATGGCAATCGGTAGTAATGTACGTAAATTTCGTATTCATGTTATTATTTTGATATTATGAAAGCGCTTTTGAGATCCAGGTTTCTGATTAGAATCGTTGAGGTGTTTGTAACACACGTGGTTTTCAATGTATTAAGTACCGTAATTTTTTCTGTTTCTTTCCCCTCTCCAGAAAGTTCCTTTCTGGTTGAAAATGTCACAAAATTCAAGTTTTAGTACAATTACAGCCGATTGCACTGAGTGTGTAGGTAAAGATAATATCTTTGGTTAGCTTGCTTGCTAGCTGAGCCGTGAAGTCTTTATTAGGTTAGGTAAACTACCCTCCTTTAAGAGTAGACTAGTCCGATAGATAACCAATCTATCTGTCTGTAGGACTAGGCTACTTCGAAAGGAGGGTAGTATACCTTACCTAATAATGACTTCACGGTTCAGCTAGCAAGCAAGCTAACCAAAGATATTATCTTTACCTACACACTCAATGCAATTGGCTGTAATTCTTATTCAAAACTTCCCAATTTCCAAAAAAAATTATGCATTTCGCCCCCCCCCCCCCCCCCCCCCCCCCCCAAAAAAAAAGAAGAGGTAGTTTTGAAAAAAGACAACAATATCACTGAGGACACAAGATGTTTATGTCAATTAAACAGCAACCCAACAACGCTATAAAATAAAACTTAATGTTTTTCGATCATGTATTTGTCATGATCACTGTTTATTTTTTTCTTGCAGGGTCAGTATATTGACATTGCTTGTAATAAAAATGGCAGCAGAACTTTGGAAATGATTTGGAAACATATAAATACAAGCCAGAAAATTGCTATAGCTACTGAACTTGGAAAACAGGAACACAAACTAAGGGGAGACAGATTTGGACTTTTTGTGCATAAAAACTTTGGAATTTTCCAATTTGTTCATCGAAAGAAAGATTGGGAGGAAAGTCAGAGTGCCAGTTTGAAGAAAAGAAAATTATTCGAAGAGATTTTAGGAGGTTTGTATGCCCTTGTACTTTCATGAAATTTATAGTTTGTGTTTTTTTTAGAAATGTTTTTAGCTCACTAGGCCTTATTCTCTTCACAAGGCAGCTATCATCAATAGAACACAAGAATAAAATAGTTTTGTCTATTTCTTGAAAACCGCTATAGATAAGAGAAAATATGATGGGGTAGTTATGTTAAAAAAATTCGTAAGGGTTCCGCGGAACCCAGTGTCTCGCCTACTTTTACTGTTAATCGCAGGCTCAACAAAAATGTGGAAAAAAATAAATAAGAATATTCCTCTCTATACTATCTTTTGATTGTAAGTAGCTTCTGTCCAAGTTTGGTAAAAATCCAGGATAATTTATGAATCTAATAAACAGTCAGGGGTGCTACTTAAACAAGTGATTTCATCATCACTTATTTCAGTGATTTGATAAATTCAGTTATCACCTATTTAAGTGATTTTAGTGTTTTCTTTGATCTTCAAATGCTAATTTCATTGATTTTCCATATTTTCACAATCTTTTCTATAATTTTCCTACATAAATCAATTATCCCTTTTTCTTTGTATATTAATTTCACCAGTGCGCTTGGGCAGTAAGTTAGTGCGCTAAAGCTTTTAAAAGTACCCTTGGGAATTTTTCTGTAATCAAAAATTCATTAACTACTCTTACTATCAGACAAAGATCAACAATATTAGGTAACCTGATTGGTTTTCTTTAGAGTTAGAATGATCTACAAACTATTCCAGTTTTTGCATATTTTAAAAAAACTGTAAAAGTGTCAGGCTTATCAAGCAAAAGACAATTTCTGCATTTACACAGTTGTTTTTTCAATGGAATTGTTGTCTTTTTACCAATAAAAAAATCAAGCTTGTGGGAAAAATATCAAGAAAATGTTATAAACACTTATTAAAGTGATTACATTTCAACTTCTAAAATTACTTGTTTCAGTGATTTTAAAAAGTCTGTGTGAAAATTTTTAATATTTCACAGCCAAAATCACTTGAGGAAGTGATTCTAAAATCAGTTGCTTAAGTAGTACCCTTGACTGATAAATGTTTTAAATACTTAAACTGCAGACTGTATGTAATGTTGACTGGAAGAAAAACTAAGTCCATTTATAAGTAAAATACGGAAAAAATGGATCAAAATTTCCTTCTAGATACTAGCTTTTGATCATAAACAAGCTTCTGTCCAAGTGTGGTACAAATCCAGGATAGTTTAAGAAAGTTGTTAAAATTTTAAAAACTTTAACCACAGAGTGAATGTAATGTTAACTGGCAGAAAAACTAAGTCCATTTATAAGTAAAATACGGAAAAAAAATTATTTTTTTTTTTACAAAATTTACTTCTGGATACTATCTTATGATCATAAACAAGCTTCTTTCCAAGTTTGGTAAAAATCCAGGATAGTTTAAGAAAGTTATTAAAATTTCAAAAACTTTAACCACAGAGTGAATGTAATGTTTCCTGGCAGAAAAACTAAGTCCATTTATAAGTAAAATACGGAAAAAATGGAATTTTTTTTTTACAAAATTTACTTTTGAATATAATCTTATGATCCTAAACAAGCTTCTGTCCAAGTTTGGTAGAAATCCAGGATAGTTTAAGAAAGTTATTAAAATTTCAAAAACTTTAACCACAGAGTGAATATTTGTGGACGCCGCCAACGACGCCGCCGGCGGAATGTAGTATCGCTATGTCTCGCTATTTCGACAAAAGTCATTGTATAGAGACAAAATAATTGTGATGATCATTTTTCTTCATATTTTACAGTTGATTCCTCAGGAAATAAAAAGAAGAAAAGTAGTAGTAAAGCTGTGGATAATCCACTTAAGTTAGAGGTAAAGTTGTGGTTTATTCTTGTTAAATCTTATAATTACAAAATAGTCACAAGGCTTACATGTGTGTTCACATCATTTCTGTTATATGTGTCTTTGAGTCGCATAGATATATACCCCAAATTTACTTTTTTCATATAATAGTTACATCATTCACATAAGACTTATTTGATTACTTCTACTGTACTCTATAATCAACACACCTGGATTCCAAAACTTGAAGTTATAAATTTGACGAATGGATGGATTGGTGTTTAATGACCAGTGGCAAATATTACATGCATATCAATGATGTCAGAATGAAAACATATTGATGTGATATGATAATGACCCCTGCATTATACTAACTTTTGTTGGAACCCATGACCTCCTGCACTTGAGACAAACACCCTACCACTAGACCAATGAGGCAGTACATAATAAATTATATATTTGTGACAGTATCTGTATTATCAGTATATTTCAGCAGCCTATATAACATATTGTAATATATCTATAACTGTTAGGAGAAATAATTTAAGTATTTTTTATTTAACAGGACAGTGATGATGAAGAGGAACCTAAAACAAAGAAACCTGTATTGTATAAAAGGAAACTAGGATACGAACAGGCAATTCCAGGAAGTAAAAAACAATCAAAAGAATATCAATTAAAAGACAAGAAGATGAAACATTTGTTAGATGAAGTGACTGGGAAGAAAAAAAAGAAATAAAATTTGTATCAAATATTTTAGTTTTAATTTATGACACATTTTAATTTAGTATATGTCCATTGTATCAATCGACAAGTCAAAAGGTTAATAAGGTTGCCAATTTTGTTTTCTTCAAAAGCATAGAATTAAGTAGTTTTGAATCTATTTTTATGATAAACATGAGCTATTACTGTAAATTCAGAAATTATTGCGTGCATTTATTATTGCGATTTTGTCATTTTAGACTTAAATGCGATTTTAATTTTTACGATTTTGAGAAAAATCCTGTTTAGTTCATATAAAATATTTCAAAATGCGAGTTTAAATTATTGCGTTTACAACTCTGTCGCATTTGTCGCAATAATAAAACCTCGCAATAATTTCTGAATTTACAGTAATATCATGTTTTGCAATTATAAAAAATCCCCTACTTTATTTTGGTAAATTTGTTTCATTTACCGGTAGTCTAGTTTCTTCATCTTACCAGGCATCAATCTGATATTTTGGGTTATATCAACAACAAAAAAATGGTCTAATGCAAACAGGAAAGTTAGCATTTGAATATGATGTTATCTTCTGATCAGATGGAATTTTGGGTGTTTCCATTACCTTAACATGGACTCATTTATTTCTTCATATTGTCAACCAAAATATCATGCAGATTACACTGAAATATAGTATTTCAAACTCTTATATCATATTTGTCTTGACTGTAACATAAGGCTCAGAAAGAGAGACATAGGGATTACAATCTGGTGAAGGCATAAACTATTTGTATAAAGCTTTTTATTTCAAAAGATAAAAGCCCTAGATGCTTCATACCTTGTATGCAGATGACTAGCAGGTTTCATCTGACCTTGACTTACTTTCCTAGTTTATTGGTCCATGTTGAGTGTTTGTGGTTTGGTTTGTTTCTCAGATACTATAAGCGATATCTGTATGGCAGGCTTCATCTGACCTTGACCTCATTTTCATGATTAGTAGGTCCATGTTAAGTTTTTGTGGATAAGTCTGTTTTCAGATACTGTAAGCGAAATATAGGCTGTAGGTTGTTTCAGGAATGATTGGAAGGTGTACATGTCTGGCAGGTTTCATCTGACCTTGACCTTTTTTTCATGGTTCATTGGTCATTATTAAATTTCTTTGGTTTAGTCTTTTTATCAGATCTTATAAGCAATAGGGCCACTATATTTAATCAATAGAATGATGGTATTAAAGGTGTACATATCTGTCTTGCAGATAAAATCTGACCTTGATTTTTTTTTATGCCCCCGCCGTAGCGGTGGGGGCATTAAGTTTTACCCTTGTCCGTCTGTACGTACGTCCGTATGTCCCAAAATTGGTTTCCGTTCTCTAACTTGAGTTTGCCTCAACCAAATGTTATGAAACTTATACACAATGCTTATTACCATAAAACACAGATCAAGTTTGAATTTTGGTGGCGTCGCTTTAACCGTTCTAGAGTTATGCTCCTTTATTAATGGAAAAATTGCAAAATTTTTAGTTTCCGTTCTCTAACTTAAGTTTGCCCCTACCAAATGTTATGAAACTTATACACAATGCTTATTACCACAAAACACAGATCAAGTTTGAATTTTGGTGGCGTCACTTTAACCGTTCTAGAGTTATGCCCCTTTATAAATTGGAAAATTGCAAAATTTTTAGTTTCCGTTCTCTAACTTAAGTTTGCCTCAACCAAATGTTATGAAACTTATACACAATACTTATTACCACAAAACACAGATCAAGTTTGAATTTTGGTGGCGTCGCTTTAATTGTTCTAGAGTTATACCCCTTTATAAATGTAAAAATTGCAAAATTTTAATTTCTTCTAAATATCAAGTAATTTTTAAATTTGAAGTTATCTTCCTTTGTCCATGATTATTGTTGAATCAACTTCAATCAATGCTTTACACAATGCAATGTTTAATTTTGACTTCCACTGATAAAACACAGATCAAGTTGAATTTGGGTAGTGTCACTTTAACCATTATTGAGTTATGCCCCTTTATAAATCAAAAGATAGCAAAATTTTTAGTTTCCATTCTGAAACTTAAGTTTGCCCCAACCAAACATTATGAAACCTATACACAATATTCATTACCACAAAACTAAGATCAAGTACAAATTTTTTGTTTCCGTTTTATAACTTGAGTTTGCCTCAACAAAATGTTATGAAACTTATACACAATGCTTATTACTACATAATACAGATTAAGTACGAAATTTGGTGGTGACACTTTTACCAATCTTGAGTTATGTCCTTTTATAAACATAAAAAATGCTGAATTTTTCGTTTCCGTTCTCTAACTTGTCTCAACCAAATGTTATAAAACTTATACACAACCGTTCTAGAGTTATGCGTGTTTACAAATAGAAAAATTGCTGAATTTTTAGTTTCTGTTCTCTACTTAAGTTAGCCTCAACCAAATATTATGAGACTTACACACAATGCTTATTACCACAAAACTCAGATCAAATTCAAATTTGGGTAGCGTCACTTTTACCGTTCTTCAATTATGTCCCTTTATAACTATATGATATGCAAGCGTGGAAAAGGGGGGGGGGGGGGGGGGGGGTCATACTTTTTTCTTCAAGTTTTTTCAAAATTTCAAATTTTTTCACAAATTTTTTGGGGGGATTTTTTTTTATAATTTTTTGGGTTTTTTTCACAAAATTTTTTCATCTTTCCATTGATTATTTCTGATTTATATATAAAAGCAACAAATGCTGATATGGCAGGAGATACACTCCAAACAGGGTGTGTAAATTATTATATATAACAGATTAACTAAGTATTGTGCAACAGCCACAGTATTGTGCAATAGCAAGCAATCTTCAATTGAAAATAAATACAAATCTTTAAACTAATTTCAATGGGATTAAATTAAGTCTTTAATTTTTGGGGGTTCTAACCTTGTATTACTATTTTTGATATTGGGCCCTATTTTTAAATTGGTCTACATTGATGTCCAAAGGGTCCAAAATCAAACTGTTTGATTTCATCAAAAACTGAATTATTGCATCTCTATGATATGCTGAATCTTATTGTGCATTTAGATTTTTTATTTTGGACCCTGTTTTCAAATTAGTCTATATTAAGGTTTGAAGGGTTCAAAATTAAACTTTGTTTGATTTCAACTAAAATTAAATTTTTGGGTGTTTTTTTATATGCTGAATCTAACCATGTTGTTAGATTTTGGATATCAGACCATTCTAGGTGAATTAAATGTCCCATTTCAAATTTTTAAGATCTTTGACCACATTTATTTTGTGTCAGAAACCTATATTATATCAAAAATTTGATCACAATCCAAATTCAGACAGTATCAAGCTTGAATATTGTGTCCAAACTTGCCCCAACTGTTCAGGATTCGACCTCTGGGGTCATATCAGGCTGCGCTCGGTGAAGCATTTTATTAATGGTTACATTGGTCATGTTAAGTTTTCAGGATGTTGTCCCTTTATCGGTTACTATAAGCAATAGGTCAACAGTATTTGGTGTATAGAATGATTGTTAGGTGAAAATGTCTGTCTGGCCAGGTTCATCTGACCTTGACCTCATTTTCATGGTTCATTAGTAAATGTTAAGTTTTCATGGTTATGTCTGTTTCTCAGATACTATAAGCAATAGGTCATGTTTATTCCGTGTATGGAATGATTGCATTGTGTTCATGTTGTATGTCAGGGTTCATCTGACCTTTACCTCATTTTTATGGTTCATTGGTCAATGTTAAATTTTCATAGTTGGGTCTGTTTCTTAGATATTTTAAGCAAAAGTCTAACAACATTGGTGTATAGTATGAAATTCAATCATGATAAGTAAAGCAGGCCAGAGTGTGCACTTATGTATTTTTATTCAACTGAACAAGATGAAAGTTTGATTAAAGGTAACTTACCATGATGTTGTGGTCATTAAATGGGTTTTCAAATTAGATGTGTGTGGACAGCACAAATGAGACACATGCCTACTGCTAAATTCCTAATTCCACAAAAATTCAGACATTAAAATTGAAAAGCAGTTCAACCTTTAACTCATCACTGATAAACTTAAAATCAGCTCAATATCTACAGGCATAATGGAAAAAATCTGGGCAACTGATTTGGAATGATGAAATGACAGAATTAGAGGAAGATGGACATTGATAGCACTAAAAGCCCAGCTGGCTAATGATTAGGGGACATACAAAATATAAACCAAAGTAACTATAGAGAAAATGGTATAGACATATTCTTTTGTTCTATTGCTCACTAATGATACCCTTGCTTTCAGTAATCAGTAAACAAAAAGTGGATGAGTGATGGATGTACAAACACATCACATGGTAAAGCATGCTCCCATGAACTTGATTTCCAAATTTCAGAATGCCTTAATTTGTAGTCTTGAGAAAAAATGTGATGAAACAATCGTTTCATGCATGACCATTATGTGTAAGAATATATATGGGTGTTCAGTAAACAGGATGCAAGTTTGAGCAATGAATCTGAAAATGCATCACACTGATTAGCTTGCTCACATGAAGCTTGAAACCCAAATTTTAGGAAGATCTCATATGAAGTTCATGAGAAAATATGTTAATATATTTATGGGATGGACATACAGACGGAAGGAAATATGATTAAACAGACCGACGTTAACAAGTATATCCCCACCTCAGGGTATAAATACATGATGATTTTGATCTTGTTCACTTAAGAAGAGAGGCAGACGATACCAATTATACAGTCAAACAAAAGCAAACTGACAGTTCCATGACAAAAAACAACAACCACCAAAAGACAAACAAGTCTACAAAACACAACATAGAAAACTAGAGACTAAGTGACACAAACCCCACCAAAAACTAGGGGTGATCTCAGGTGCTCATGAAGGGTAAGCAGATCCTGGTCCACATGTGGCCCCAGTCCTGTTGCTCATAACACAGTGATAAGGCTAAATTGGTTGGTGGCATTCAAGGAAAAGAGGCTCGGATAGTGATTAGGACAATTGGAGTATATCTGTCATCATCTGTGAAATTGATATTCCATGATAGTCATCCAATTTGTGATGGCATCCTTAACATTTTCGAAGGGATGACTTTACCACTTGGAACTCATGGTTTAATAGCTTCCACATAAGCAGCAACCCTCTATTATGATAGGAAATGCAAGCTCTGGAATATTGTATCAACTGGGAGATATATACCCCATATGAAGGCACTGCTGGAATGTTGATACATAATATTCATAATTGGGAAGCAGAAATGATTTCTTTTGTCGTAAAGTTTTGTTCTCAACTGAACCTCATGGTCAATTTCTAGATGATAGATAAGATATGAGGCAGACTTAACTATATCTGTTGTATCCTTTATTTAAATTTTGGCGTGATAGTTGGCAAGTTATTCAAATTATTATTTACTTGAAGTATACTAAGAGCACATTCAGAAAAGAAGGGCCAATTCCAATTTCTTACAACAGTCATATGCAACTAGACATCATAGAGATGGGAGCCATCTCTGTGGGCCCCGCTGTAAATAATGTGTGGTAAAAAATTTGTATGGATAAGCTGATATGAAGCACTTTATTAAGTTTTGACCTTGAACTTTGACCTAGGAAGTTGTACAAACATTATGACACACCCTCTGGTGTTGGTTAATTTACATGTCAAGTTTAAAGTATGAAATTATAACAGATCTCTAGACATAGAGCGGACACAACTTGTTACGGACAGACAGACGGCGGGACAGACTGATCACTATAGGGCAACCCGCTAGTAGGCGGGGCCCTAATTACTAGATATGATGTACAGACTGAAAGAATGTTCACCACAACTATCAGATACTTGGAGAAAATTAACACATACTTGTGATACTGAAGACAACACATCTTTGTTTAATATCAATAAAAAAACCAACTATGAAATATTTATTTTAATATCACAGTGAGGAGGATCTTAATATAAAATATATACTGATGATTATACTGATGATAATATGATAATATGGCACTTGAGACGTTTATAATTTGCATACAGCTGTTTACATTTTTTCATGGTAATGTTAACATTGTGAATTTTTTTATTCAAGAAGTGTGCACTTTCGACAACTTAGAATTTAGTGGTTTTCATTTTTGATACAGAATAAATAAGTGGGGTTTAATAACTTGTAGATCATCACACTTAATTGAGTTATTAAGTAAGCATTCTTTCTATTGCAAAAAATGCATTGAATTAAATAAATATTTTTTTGTCAGGACTGAAAGAAAAATATTTTATTTAAAATTAGATATAGTTAGTAGAAACTTAATACTTTCAAAACTAATATCATCTTGGATATATATATATGATTTAATTATAGATCTTTAGTCTAATAGCAGAAAAAAAATCATAAAACATGAAATTATCATATTAAATTTTATAGGCAAATATTCTATCAACAAAGAATTAATCAAAATCAAACCCCTAATTTTTGAAGGTAGACATACTGCTTTTCAAGGACTTATGAAATCTTGTATTTTTGTGGGCTTCTTAAATCAAACTGACTGCCACGAAAAAGCACAGTAGTGTTGAAAGTGGCATTTAACACCCATAAATCAATCAATCTAAAATATAAACAATACGTTAATTTTTTTTTCTATCTGACATATACAACTATTATAACCAAATACATGTAAGATAGAATTTTCTATAATGGCAATTTAAAACTTCTGCCTAGAATAACATGTAATACTTTTTACAATATGGTATAACATTTAAATATTGATTGGGTTGTATTCATATAATATGATAATGTGATGTAAAGAAAACATAAATAAATCAATATTTAAATTACTAGTAGATGAGAAAAGGTGTGTGAATAAAAAAGTACCATACACCCATAATACAAACATTATTAAATTCTGCTGAGATCTACAGAAAATTCAACTGAACGATATCTTCCATCTATTGGAATATTTGAAAGGAAAAATCATAACATAAAATGTTCTGATAAAACCAGCAGAGAATCTACTGCATGGAATTTAAATCTAAAATATTATTGCTATTAAATCCCAAAAATGATTTCCATTGAACTGTATTTACTTTTCATTAAGACAAAAACCAAAAAAAAGCTTTTAAAAAATAAAATAAAAAGCATAAATTGATTGTGTCTATCAAGTACCAATGTATGTGTTAGATCATGGTACAGTTAAATCATTACATCACAAATAAATTCTATATATAGCAAACCATTGCCCACAAGAAAACTGACAAGGGACTACATTTTTACATAGTTTATTTACTGCTGCATTGTTTATTGTCCTTATGAGACAGTTTGATATATCAAGTTTTTAGATCACTTTTTCATGTCCTGTGGGAGAGGAATTGGTGGCTGTTTCCTGCCCTCCTCCATTAATCTTTCGATCTCTTCCACAGTTCTAGGAACACATGTCATAAGTTCCATTCCATCCTCAGTAATCGCTATATCATCTTCTATTCTTACCTGGGAAATCAAGCATTCATATTATAAATAAGTTTACAATGTTTTTCAGAAAATGTATCTTACCAAGGAACAATTCCACCATATATATTATATATAAATTGATTAATAGTAGCTACATTTAGTGTGTTTCCAAAACCAAATCAAATACAGTCATGCAAACTAAAATGTTTTACTACAAAGATTATATGACACCTTCTAGCTGTTATTTAAGGTAATGTACTTTGAATTTTTCTTTACTTAATATTAACAAAATTAAATAGCTTACCCCTCCAAAGCCTCGATGGCTGTCAATCCTTTCCCGTACTAAAAACCTGGCTTGTTCGGGATTATTGAAAGCTGCATCCAATAACTGGAAGAATATAGATAAAATTCTAGTTTATGACATTGAATGAATAAAATGTAATTAGGTTTTCTTCTGATTAATATTATTTTTTTTTTTATCTTCCGCCTAATTTTTTTCCTTCACTTTTTTTTGTTTCGCAAGATGTCGCTTAGATATTTGGAATATGATATCGAACAGTTTATACGCTTTTGAAACTGACACCGCTTAACCGAATACTTTCCCATATAAGAGTTATCTCCCTGATCACTGTTTTTCTTGTTATTTCTAAGGCTTCGCAACCGTATAGGAAACCGACAAATTTATTTTTCCAAATTGCTCGTTATATCCTCAGGATGTTCTGTTTTATTTTGACGGAAGCCGTATAGAGATTCCATATGAGAGTTATTTCCCCTTTTGTATTTAATATAAGTGAAATATATTTTTAACTGGAAAACCATAAGTGATAGAGGCCTAGGGCCTTTTGAATTGAGGTCCTTGGTCCATAAAAATGAAAATGAGGTCAAGGTCAAAGGTCAAGGTCATGTTCAAAATTTTGATTTTGGCTTATCACTAATTTTCAGAAATCTTATTAGATATCGACAAAATATTTTACAGAATTGTTAGTTGCCATATGTCGTAACAGGTAAATTTGAGTTGAAAGCGTATGGAGACATTTAATGGGAGTTTTCTCCCCTATTTTATTTAAAATTACACTTATGGTGATATAACTCATTCATCATATATAATTAAGACCTAGGATCTTTTGATTTGAGGTCCTTGGTTTATGACCATGAAATTGAGCTCAAGGTCATAGGTAAATTTAACGTTCTAGATTTTGACTGTTGCTTTTACCTCATAAGTATACATGATAAAGCCATGGGACTTTTTGCATTAGGTTGCAAGACATTTGAACTTGAAAAAGCCAACCAGAAGTGACCATTTATTAACCGGAAGTAGCTATTTTTTGTATTAAATTAATGTAAAAGTATATAGAACAATATATTTTTGGAATCAGTGTCAAGTTAACTATCAAACAATACCAGACATGACATTTTTTCAAACCGGAAGTAAAAAATTATCTCCCTTATTTATATCTTTTTGTATAGAGACCATATATTTTTGGAATCAGCGTACAATAAGCTGTCATTTGACTCTGGAATTGACATTTAAAACCAAATTTTAATATTTCATATCAAAATAGATCCTTACTGGTGGAAAAACCTTCAATTGTTCTCTGAACAATTGGTTTTTAATATTGTGAATTATTTCTTTTCATGGATACCAATTTTCAAGGATTGGTGAATAAATATTTGATTTCGTGGTTTTTCCAAAATCTGCTTTCAAGCCTACAGAAAATTTGTACTTCGTAGAATATTTAAATTTGTGGTTTACCTATACCCACATATTGGTATCCCGCGAATATACCCACATATTGGTATCCCAGGAATATACCCACATATTGGTATCCCGCGAATATACCCACATATTGGTATCCCAGGAATATACCCACATATTGGTATCCCGCGAATATACCCACATATCGGTATCCCGCGAATATACCCACATATTGGTATCCCAGGAATATACCCACATATTGGTATCCCAGGAATATACCCACATATTGGTATCCCAGGAATATACCCACATATTGGTACCCCGTGAATATACCCACATATTGGTATCCCAGGAATATACCCACATATTGGTACCCCGTGAATATATACCCACATATTGGTATCCCATGAATATACCCACATATTGGTACCCCGTGAATATGCCCACATATTGGTATCCCAGGAATATACCCAAATATTGGTATCCCAGGAATATACCCGCATATTGGTATCCCAGGAATATACCCACATATTGGTATCCCAGGAATATACCCACATATTGGTATCCCAGGAATAATAATGAATCCATAACTCCACACTACTGTTTATACTTTGTACACTTATAGGACAGTTAGAGGATCTTTGAATTCAAAAGTGAACTGTGAAAGTTTGCAATGAAATGATTGAAAGATTTGAAACTTGAAACAGCCAAAATTTTGGTTATAATCTATCTAGTTATCAAGATAGGACATATACTATTGAGAAAGGTCTGTAAGTTACAACATTATATACCCTGCTGGAGTTTAATATCTAAGTGGAAATAACAATTGTCACTCTACTTTTTAAAACTTGGGAATAGGCTGGAAAAACTAATAAATTATTTTGTATTTAAGTTTTTGTTCTTAAGTAAAACCATGTCTTAACTAAGACCAATGTAAACAGGAACTCTGTCAAAGATCAATACCTACACTCAATATTCTTTAGTTTTTTAAACTTGGTTTAACTGGCTATCATGAACAAAAACTGAAGCCAAAAATTCTTTGGTTGAAAGTAATATAGTGATATCGGTACAAATATGTGTATAATAGGACCAGGTACAGACAGACAAACATGGAAACGACAAATTCCACTGAACCTGACAATTAGTTTTTTTTATTTAAAGGTGAAAGATATTCCCTTCAACCATAAATCTGTATTTTTATAAAGATTTATTTTTATGTTTATCAACTAACTTTTTAAATTTATTTTGGAAATATACTAATTTATAGAGTTGAGACTTTTTGATTATGTTAATGAGTCAAAATATCAGTTCAAAGCTAAAATATGCATTTATTCATAACTTTTCAAGACTCATGGTGGTTTAGAGATTGATATTCATATAAAATAAGATGATGTGGTATGATTGCCTATGCCTCCACCAGAGTTCAAATGAAGTGGATGTAAGCAATTATAGGCAACCTTATGGCCTTCAACAATGAGAAAAACCCATACCATATAGTTGGCTATAAAAGGCCCCAACATGAAAAAGAGGAAGACTTTATGTTGACCTCTAGATGTCTTTTTTGATATTTTTGTGTTGTTGGTGTTCTGTCTCATTTAGGTATATCCAACATATCCTTTTATCCATATGTACTTTTACCAGAAAACATATATACAAATACTCACCACATCAATAAAATAAATTCCAGGTTCAATGGTGAGAACCATTCTTTGTTCTAGAGTTCGTACTGTTCTCAGGGATTTTAAGCCTGCTTCTTTACTTCTTTCTGTTCCCTGAAATCAAGAATAATAGACTGGTATTTATCTTGTTTGTCAAAGACTGTATGATTTTATTAAATTTCATTAGTTTAATGAGATTTAGACATATCTCACAGTAACAATATTCTAGTTGTGTCTGTTAGTTAAGTCTCTTATCACTCAGTTAAAAACTAATTTTAAATTTATTCTTCTAATAAGAATTGAATCAATACCTCTGGGTATCCTCCAACATCATGTGTATCTAGTCCCATAAAATGACCTAGACCATGTGGCATAAACACTGCACCAAGTCTGACTTTCATCATCTCATCAATATCTCCTGTAACCAGACCAAGCCTCTTCAATTCTTCTAGATGTGTTCTGTCTGCCAGCAAGTGCATGTCAACCCAAGAAACACCTAAATATGATAGCAAGTTTATAGATATCTGTATTGTTAAATAAATTATACCTTATTTCTGAGTATAGCCTTTTTCATCTATACCCATATATTTACTATTTAGCCTGAATCTTTGTTTGTGTTCACAGAAGAAGTCTTGACTTTAATTTACTCTTTAAACAAAGTACATTGGTTGCAATGAAATATTCTGATTTTTTCGAATCAAATAAACTGATTTTTTTTACATGTGAAATAAATCCTGTAATTATCATGTGTATGATGAAATAAATCCTGTAATTTCACCTCTCTGATGTCATACAAAACAATAGGTGTTGACAATAAAGTTGCATCTACACAAAGTAAGAATGTGCTGAAAAAGATATACCATAGGTCCTTGTATTTGCATTAAAAGGCAATGTAATAAAAAGAATAACTCATCCAAGGACTTGAATGATAAAAAATAAAAAGAGCAAAAGAGCAAAAGAGCCGATAGTACACCAATTCTTGAATCTTTTGAAGGTCTAATTATTTATCAAATTCTGAAAACATGAGAAATCCCTTCATTATAAATAAACACAGGGTACAAAAAAACAGTTCATCAAAACGACCTGCAATCCAAATTTAATATTTTTCATGACAAATCTAAGAGAAAAAGTCTTAAACAAATTATAATAATAAAATTTAATTAACCCAAAGCCATAAAAAATCAAAACTTAATTCAAATATTCATAGCATTATCTTTAGGAAAAGAAATGATAACAAGGAAATGTTTTTTCCTGATTTTTTTAGGACTTGAGGAGAAACTTTACCTGGTTTAACAGCTGCCATTACTGCTCTACTAGATTTATATACAGCTTCATATATTCCTTTCTGTCTCTCTGTAAATTTTCCATTGGCTGGGAAGGAACATGTGATATCTGATGTGTAGCAATAATACTCACAGCCCATATCAAATAAACTGAAATGAAAATAATTACATAAAATACATAACATTAATTAGAAAGAAGATATTTTCATGAATACTGCCTCCAATTTATAAACTAATATTGCAATCATGTTGTCCATCCAGCCATTGGTCTGTCCGTTTATTCTTCCAACAAATGTTTTCATCACATTTTCAACAAAAACTACTGAACAGAATGACTTCAGCAGCTTAACAGTGACAAGTTGTTATGTGTGAGCACTTTTCGGATCTGTCAGACACCTACTTCCTGTTTTTTGATACTTTGAAGTGCAGGTGGGTATACACTAAGCACGACAACACATGCTTTCTTGTTCCAAAGATTATATGTGACTCATAAAGAAACAAATTTTGAAATAATGCAGCTTTTACCCAGTTCTTAATTTCAAGCTGCAACAATTATTCTATAGGAAAAAGAACATCTCAAAAAAAAAGAATATCATAAGTATGACATAATTATCATTACAATTCCAGTGTTTGTAGTATCATATATAGCCACAAGATATAATTGTAGCTGATGACTGACTTACCACATATCACCATCCTGTACCAGTTTACTGTTTGGGGCTCCTGCATGGCCATAATGTAATACTGAACCATTATCTCCACTGAAATATACAATTAAAATGGACACACTACCTATTTGTTTTCCAGATGTTCAGGTGTTGCCTCTGCAAAACTCTGACTATTACTTCTTAATATTATACATGTTGTCAAGTGTGAAAAAATAGAATTATGGCCCTAAAGGTTTATTTCTCTGAGGATGCCATTTTTTAAAATTTATATACGGAACAAACACCAGAAGGGTCATTTGAACAATTATAAATGCAGGTTAGAGAATCACATGCCTCCTACTTTTTCTCAAGTCTTCTATGTTTGACAGTTAAACTCTGTTCATTTCAAGAATTGTCCCACTGAAATTTTCATTAGAGTTTGTTCATGGGAAGGATATCTATAAAGAATATCATCACTGTATTTTGGAAAATATTTCATTTTAACAATCTACAAATGTACTTGTAGTAAAGGAAATGTTTATTATTAAGAAGCAATAATTGCAACCATACACACTATAAAACTGAGAATGGAAATGGGGAATGTGTCAAAGAGACAACAACCCGACTAAAGAGCAGAAAACAGCTGAAGGCCACCAATGGGTCTTCAATACAGCAAGAAAATCCCTACTTGTATGTTCACAGACACAAGTATCAAGATCTGTCAACAATGAATATAGCATTTACCTTATCTTATGGTAGAGATACTATCTACCACATTTAAATTTAATGCCAACAAGAAAAATTAGTATGATTTTTGGAACAGATTAGATTGTAAGATGGTTAGATATATAAACGCAATAAACTGTTATCACAGAGATATGTCTCGCCTTTTTGTAATTTGATAATGCAAATGTTGAAATTAAAATAGCAATACTTTAACATGTAAGTTATGCAAATATTCAAAGTCTATGAACCATGACTGAAGGTACATGGCTAAACAATCTCCATGGAATGAGATGTGCCAATGCTAATACAACTGCATACCAAATACCATTGACTTATCATAAGTCGTTCCCTTTAAACAAACCTAAACACAAAAATTAACTTGTAAACTATGTAAAAGTTTCAAAGTCAATGAACCATGATCAGGGGTGGGGCTATATCATCTCCATGGAAATGATACTTGCAAATGCCAATAAATTTGCATACCAAATATCATTGACTTAACATTAGCAGTTCATCTTAAACTGATCTAATCACATACTAATACATGTAAACTAAGCAAAAGTTTCAAAGTCAATAGACCATGAGTTAGGGGGTGGGGCCAAATATTCTCCATGGAAATGAGATGTGCTAATGCTTATACAACTGAACACCAATTAACATTGGCCTACCGCTAATGGTTCCCCTTGAACTGACCTAATCACAAACTAATACATGTTAACTTAGCAAAATTTTCAAAGTCTACAGACCATGACTAAGGAGGCGGAGCCAAATAATCTCCATGGAAATGAGATATGCCAATGCTTATACAACTGCATACCAAATATCACTGACCTACCACTAGTGGTTCCCCATAAATTGACCTAATCACAAACTAATACATGTAATCTATGAAAAGTTTCAAAGTCAATAGACCCTGACTGAGGGGACGGGGCCAAATAATCCCCATGGTAATGAGATTGATTGATTGGTGCTTAACACCACTTTCAGCACTATTGTGCTATATAATGGTGGTCAGTTTTTATTGGTTGAGGAAGCCAGGGTGCCGGGAGAGAACCACTAACCTTCTGTAGGAAAACTAACAATCTTAGTTAATTAAGAATGGTGTCGAGCGAACCAGTCACATGGGGGATTTGAACTCATAACCTCATTGTTGACAGGCTAGTGATATTGTAGTTTGACTACTTGGACCACTTGGCCCCAATGGAAAACTGTATTTTTGTAAAGATTTGATTCAGTGGTTTCGCAAAAGCCTGCATATATACTATAAATAGATAACTTCTGTTTATCTATACACACGAAATCAAAGATAATTGGTATTAGATGAAAAATAGTGAACCCACAGTACTCTAATACTTTATTATCATTATGTATTTTAAATGAAAACTTAGTCTACATGCATATGTAATTGTGCACAGTACTTACGATCCACAAACACAAGCATAAGCCCCATTTCTTGTTCCGCCAGTGAAATAACAATAATGTTTAAACAGACTGAAATGAAAACAGTGAAAAATTAAATACTTACGTCCCACAAATACAAGTGTAAGCTTCACCTCTCATTCCACCATTAAAATAACAGTAATGCTTGAATAAACTGAAATCAAGAATTTAAAACAATAGAAGAAATTCTACAAAAGACAATTTAAAATCAAAGTGCTTGTAAATACTCGTGAGGTAGGTGTAAACACTCATGAGGTAGGTGTAAACACTTGTGAGGTAGGTGTAACATTCAGATTCATACAATGCATACTACTTTCTGCAACTTGGGTTATTTATTGTAAAATGATTTTCTTGACAAAAAACGTAATACAAACATTTACAAACGTCATTTTGTAAATATGAAATCCTAGCATATATCATTAAAACATTTCTTAACATGGCTTTGATAAGATCAAAAGAACCAACACCTCACTGCTATGAGTTCTATACCAGCAAAACACAGGAATAGAAGAGTTGATAGCTTACTAGCCAGCCAATGGCAAAGAGAATTGGATTACATTTGTGCAATCTTTACCCGCAAAAATCCCTCTTACAAGTTAAAAACATTAGAAACTGCATGTGGTCATTTATATTTTATTAATTCTTTTAAAGTTCTTTTGATTTTAGTTTTAGTTTTTGTATTTTTATCTTTTTCATGAATATAAACATCACAAAAAAACTGAAGACCAACAAATCAACAAATTCTAGAGGACTTCAGAGTGTTGTTTTATGGTCTCCATACATAGTTGTAAACCTTTTCAGCCTCTAAGTGATTTATTTTGGTGAGATTTGCCATACCACTTTTTCCTTGCTGAATTTCATATTTTAACTAACTTCTACAGTTGAATTATAAAAGTTTGAACAGTTCTTACAATCAATTTTCCAATAAATCCTATGATTAATGTATTAACAAGTAAATCCTCATGTCAGGTATTGGAAACTCAATTATATTGGATGTACCAAAGATGTTTTGACAAGATGGAGATCTATTGATACTGAAAAGCTCCACTGATATATAGAGAGAGTTTATCCCTTAGCTTAACGTAGTGTATTCTGTCAATTTAAAACATACATGAATGATAGGTTTTTTGATTTAACAGTTTTTTGTGTGAAAAATATGTTAGGTTTTTTTATTTAACAATTTTTTGTGTTAAAAATATGTTATCATTCCACAATAACTATTAATTGACCTGACCAATAAGATACCAATTCTCTGGGTAAAATAATGGGTGATAAATCACCTTTCCATCTGGTATTCATACACTCCTGGTCTGATAGATTTCATTATCTGTAAGAAAAAATAAAGATTATTCAATTGTAAGTTAAACCACACGGGTTTTGGGGATGGAACTTGTTTTCTTTTTTCTTAGTGTTTAAATAATCATTTCAGAAACAATAAAATGCTTCGCTGAGCGCAGCCTGATACAACCGCAGAGGTCGAATCCTGACCAGTTTGGGCAAATTTGGACACAATATTCAAGCTTGATACTGTCTGAATTTGGATTGTGATCAAATTTTTGACATAATATAGGTTTCTGACACAAAATAAATGTGGTCAAAGATCTTACAAATCTATTGCGCAATACTGTGCAATTGAAGATTTCTTCTTGAATCTTTTCAAAAATTCGAAATTTGAAAAATTTGGAAAAAAAAAATATGAATCCCTTAAAAAAATTGGAAAAAAAATCCCCCCCCCCCCCTTCCAACTTTTTGAAACACCCCTTGGAGCAATAACCTCAATCCCAGCCTTTCCTTTGTAGTATGGAACATTGTAGTACAATTTCAGAGAGATCCATACACTTAAACACAAGTTATGTCTGGAAACTAGAAAAATGCTTGTTTTGGTCCCTTTTTTGGCCCCTAATTCCTACATGTTTGGGGCAATTAACCCCAAACTCAATCACAGCCTTCCCTTTGTTATATGGAACCTTGTGGTACAATGTCAGAGAGATCCATACACTTACACACAAGTTATTGTCTGGAAACTAGAAATATGCTTGTTTTTGGCCCTTAATTCCTAAACTGTTGGCCCCATAACCCCTAAAATGAATCCCAACCTTCTACTTGTGGTATTAAACATTGTGGTACAATTTCAGAGCAATCGAAATACTTATACACAAGTTATTATCCTGAAACTAGAAAAATGCTTGTTTTGGGCCCCTTTTGGGCCCCTAATTCCTAAACGGTTAGGACTATCATCCCCAAAATCAATCCCAACCTTCCTTTTGTGGTATTGAACCTTCTTAAAAAATTTCATAGAGATCCATTCACTTAAACTAAAGTTATTGTCCGGAAACCAATGTGTCTTCGGATGACAACACAGACGAGGACGACGCAGACAACGACGACATCATACCATTATACGATCCCAAAAAATTGTTTGCGGATGTATAAAAATTATTCAAATCTCTACTTATTTTCATTTTTAAAACTGATGTGTTCTTGTTCCTATTTGTTTGATCTTACTGTTATCTTAAGATCGTGTGAACAGGAGCAAGAACACATAAAATAACTAATAGAATTTGAAATACTTAAGAAATTTGAATTTAATAAAGAAAAGGAGGGTTTAATGACCAAAGTTTCTGTAAGTTACGCAATGTAATTCTTGTTTTACAGTTCGTTTAGATATTTCTTGAAGTTATTTTCCAAATTCGACATACTGTGTTTGGTAAGGACAAATAAATAATAACCATGTAAAAATGATTTTACTATAATTCTAACTTGTAACAATGATTACCATATGATTGAATACCAGGTAAGTCAATACCTGGTAAGTCAAAATTTCACTTTTAGAAACTATCAATCAACCTTTTCAATGTTCATCATCTTAATTACCCGAACAATACACATATTGTCGGACCATATGAGTATATACAGATAATGTCATGACCATATGTGTAAGGTCCAAATACTAATATGGTCCAGAACATGTGTATTGAATTGTATTCACCTACCTCTTTATGACCATCACTGCTAATTTTATTGGAATATCTCAAAGCATCTAATTCCTTGTCTGACTTGAACACTCTACTGAAAAATGGAAATCAAATATATATTGCAACCAACATTTTGTCTTTCCATGCTTAAAAAAATGGCTACGATCAAGTTCAATGTTAATTACTAGAGAATACTGCAAATTTTAAGTTAAGTTGTCAATAATTCAGTAAATGAAAAGTAAAATAACAAAAATACCGAACTCCAAGGAAAATTCAAAACGGAAAACTTAACAATTGGCAAAATCAAAAGCTCAAACACATCAAACAAATGGAAAACAACTGTCATATTCCTGACTTAGTACAGGCATTTCCTTATGTAGAAAATGGTGGATTAAACCTGGTTTTAAAGCTAGCTAAACCTCTCCCTTGTATGACAGTCACATAAAATTCCATTATACATGTATTGACAACAATGTGTGAACAAAACAAACAGACATAATAGGTAAAAATGTCAAAAATAGGTGACAGTGAGTCAATGTGTGTATAAATTTTGATATGTTATGCTGGATTTCTCAATTTGAACTATTACAAGTCTTCAAATAAGAAACTGAGAATAGTTCCGATATCCTTTGTAAATAATTTTCTTCAATTCTTAACTTTTTTTCAAATGTTAAAAAACGAGATCAAAATAACACATCATCATCCATGTTGAAATATAATGATTGGTTGATTGTTGCTTGTTTATTTTCTGTTGAAATGACATAAATAAATGTGATTTAATTTGAAATGAGACTGCTATCCATCAAAGATCAAGGGATTACAACCCAAGAGGAAAATAAGACCTACTAAGAATCTTGAATATCATACATTTTAAAAGTTCATATAAACAGTATAAAACTGTTATTTAAAAGTTGTGTTTATTAAACTTTTAATATCTTTATTTATTCACTTACCATTCCATGATTTCTGGATGAAGAATTTTATTATCTACTTTAAATCTGAAATATTGAAATATTTCATTTGATAATTTTCATAAAAATACGTACATGACGTACACATATACACAAGCATCATGCATGCACTAGTCAAGTTGCAATCTTTATGAATTTGTATAAGAGGCAGGGCTCACACTACTTCAGAATCATTGGGAGAAGTGACTTCTCTTTTTGAAATTGAGAGGGAGAAGTGGTGAGATTTGAAAGAGAAGTGCTTGTTCACTCGCGGCGCTACAATGTTTGGTTTTTACTATAATACATTGAGGGCCATATGTATCTTATTTTTTTTATATTGTTCAATTTGTACCTGGGTATACAATTAAGGTAACTGTTCAAATTTAAAGTTGTTTAATTTTATCATATCTAGTTGCACAATCATATGAGTCCTCTGTTCAGAAAAAACAATTAAATATCTGGCACTAATAAAAAAGATTTTTTTTTATATCAAAAAGGAAAAAAAAGTTGTTATATCAATTTAAAAACTACTCTGTTATCTTGTTCATGAAACTGAGTATTTCTCATTAAAAAGATATATAAATTTAACAGTTAAGCTTGGACATAATATACTTATATTAGTGTAATAGTCCCAGAGTTGAGCAACTTAACTTATAAATTGAAACAATGCATATACATGGAAATATATACATTAAGATCTAACCAAAAGTATGTTAATGCGTGTGGATTGCATAATTTTTCTTATTGGGATCAATTTTCCTCTGTCAGCAGTGCCATTCATGCGTCCGTAGTCATTATCGTAAAAATCGGGATTTCGGTCATAGCAGGTCCGTTTCCAATGAAATCCCAACTCCGATCTGTAGTTGTACAATAATATGCCCAAAAATTTAAATGGTGGACGAAGAAAAATTTACTAAAAATAAACGATGTTTGATACGCTATTTGGAAAGGAATATGATGTTTTTAATGCAATACAAGGACAACAAATTTACTTCAGGCAAATTTCATCAAGTTCTAATGAAGTAACAACTTATTTTGCCGAAAGTTAGAATGATTTGATGTATAATCCCGAGTAACAAGTACCCGAACTGGCGGAAGTGATAAAAAATTGTTTTTATGAAATAACATGCCACCAACTTTGAAATCAATGCTTTAACCTCTTTTCCGAAGAAAATAAATCGTTTATGCCTTGAATTTCTTTACTTTTCAATGAAAAATTGCTGTTTCATCGTCTTCGTAAAAATTGAATATTGCCGATGACGAAAGCGACTGAAAGCGAGTATAGTAAACCACAGGGCGACTTGTTTTTGCTTTTGAGGGTCAGGCAAAGCGAAGTGACGGACGGGAAAGCGACTTTTTCGCCCTAGTCGCCTGGTAGCGTGAGCCCTGTAAGAGGAAATCATTTTTTTTCAGGTTGATGATGAAAACTGTATAATCTGCTGAAAGAAAACTAATGCTATATGATGGAAATTGATGGAATTCAAATTTTAGTCTATTAACTGCTAATGTTATTTGGCCAAATCAAATAAATTCTACTGAACAGTGAACATCCATAAAGATAATGAAAAGTAACTAAAATGAAAAATTATAAGGATTAATATATCAATACAATTCAAAATAAACTTACTGACTTATTCCATCAAATGCTGCTTCTCTGCTATAGTTACCACTGTCTGTGTTCAGTCCATTCTAGAAAATAATATTCTACATTTAAGGTAGGTCAGGGTTCTAAATTTAAAATCAATAGAATTTTTTAGTAATTTGCCAAAATGCTGTTTATATAATGCTTTTTACAAACAAATATTAAAAAGTATGGGTTACTGACTATAGAGCAGAAAACAGCACAAGGCCACCAATGGGTCTTCAATGCAGCTAGAAAATCCTGCACTTGGAGTCGGGCTTCAGCTTGCCCCTAAGGCATTTCTTATCTTTATCAGAAAAAAAAAATTGTGGTCATGGTACTTGTTTTCTTACTACAAAATAAAATAGGTAAATTCCCTACTCATTCCTTTATAAAAGTAAGGTTGTCTGAGATATCTCCCTTATATGGCAAAGTTGAAATAATTGAATCCAATAAAAAAATGTTCTGAATTTTTAAAAAAATCTTGCAATAATAAGATAAAACACATAATATTCTTCATTTAAATAAAAAGTCTTTCAAATGAATTACATTCCTCTGTCAAAATTTGTATATTTTATTAAAGATCTTGACCAATTGTGTTCTGTTAATTTACAATCCAAAATGGGGAACACACCCAATCTACCTATGTATGTAAAAAAATTTTTTTATCATAATGAAATAAATATATTTGTAACAAGATTTAAATTTTCAATTTGATTAAATTATTCAGTAAAGAGAAAAATCAAACAGTGAACATTAAATGTGTACACAGACTTACCAACGTCAACAAAACTGCTGGGTTTCTTCCCTTTAGTACTGAGGGGATCTGAAATAAAACAGCAGTGAATATATATGTAGGACTCAAATCTATGGTGGGTTCCAGATCTATGGCAAATTCCTGCAAATTCCTAATCTATGGTAAATATGATGTCACAAACGCCAAACAAATCACAAATCTATGGCAGTTTTTTGTTTTCTCCAAATCTATGGCAGATTTGGATATTACGTAATTATCCGTCACAATTAAATAACTTCATGTAACGTCGAAGCTGTCGCTGACAACGACGGTGTTGTTATACAGAAGGAAAAGAAAAAGATAGAAAAGCAAGTTTGCAAGGATCCTAATCAATAAATAAAGTGTGTTTGTTTCTACCCTTGTTTTCTTATTTTCGTGTTGCTGGTGTTGCCCTCACCCTTAATTGTACGAGCTTTTACTGTGTATTTTGGTTTGCGTTTTTGCTGTTTTGTTATTTTTTGTATCCCTATGATCTCTGTAATTTTCTGTTAGAAGTAACACAACGTAAAGTATTTTGTCAGCTATATAACAGTGACTACCTGTACTATTGTAGCAAATAATCTTTCTTGAGATTTGGAAATACTGATTATGTCATATATTTCTAATAGATATTAATATTATTTTCCGCTATAAATATGTCGAATAACTGCTGGTAGAGAAATAAGGATTTCTTTTTAGAAAGTCACGTGTTTGAGGCCAGTCATTGTTCATTACAGGACTTAAATCGTCATCAGTCAAAAAAGATTTACATTATTTAGCGCTCAAATCGACATTAGTTAAAAATTCAAACTGCTTTTTGTATTGTTAAGGGACTTGGTTAAATGAAGAGTCAAACAGGTACCATGCACAGAGAAGGAAATACTTATTCTTCCGGGGCACATGATTTCAACCCTAAAGTATGTGTTCATTTTACAAACAGTTATGGATATGGTAATAATCCTAATCCGTTTTTCTTATACTGGTTTTTACTTAAAAGCAGCTCTGTCGCTACCTTTGGACATTTCGACATAGAAATCACATGTCAGATATGTACTGACTAGTCCGACCTTTGCAGAAAATTTGTCATAGATTTGAAAACTAGAAACCCGCCATAGATTAGGAAACTAAAAAGTTGCCATAGATTAGGATTCTAAAAAATCTGCCATAGATTTGGGATGGCATGACGTCATATTTACCATAGATTAGGAATCTGCCATAGATCTGGAACCCACCATAGATTTGAGTCCTACATATATTTTCAAAAGAATTTCTAGGTAAAAAGATACAAAAGGGCAAAAAACACCCCATAAAATCTAAAATCATGACAGACAAAGCCATGGCCAATAGGTAAAATACAAATCACAGTCTACAAAATTATACACAGATATAAAAGAATTTTCTCCATATTACATGTATTACAACAAAGGAACTTTAATCATTTTCAACAAAATTTTCAAAAGATGGTAAAGATTACTGCATGTATTATCAACTTCTACAGTTTTCAACCTCAATCCTTCACTTTCAGAGAAAGCTTGTACACCTATTTTAGTTGTGCAACTCCAATTTAGAAGTTCTTTAAATATTTTCCCCCATTTCTCCATTTTATATTTCTTAAAAATGTAAATTTCTTTATTTTCATGGGTATCAATTTATGTGGATTGAGAAAAAATTGTATTTCTGGTGAATACTACGATTTCGGGGGTTTGCCAAAGTCTGCATACAAGCCTATATAAAATGTATAATTCTTAGGGACACTAAACTTAGTGGTTCACATAAACTGTAAATTCATAATTTTTTTGTTCATTTATAATTGTGGTTGTCATGGTTGTTAAACAATGGACAAAAATCTGAGATTAATTAATTACAGTTTCAGGAGAGGCTGCACACAAATAACAATGTCATACAACTTTTAAATACAAGTTTTTATTTATGAGAAATCAATCGCAGTTTTTGCAATAATAAAAATATTGCTTAATTTCTGAATTTACATTACCTGTGAAATACATGAAAATTGGTACCTCATGAATAATAATGAAATGCACAGTACATATAAATGTTCATTTAATATAGACCATTCTCTATTGTTTTAGAAACATTCTGTGCAATCTAGACATTGGAATCTTGGATTCATATTTTCCTTTATTTTTGTAGAAAAATTATTATATGAATATTTTCCTCATTTTTTTTCTAAGGGCATCAATTCAAACCACTCAGAAATACATTTTAAGTAACATTCTTTCAAATTTTCCTGTTATTCACTTCGTATGTTTTTGTCAATTCAAACCACTCAGAAATACAATTTAAGTAATATTCTTTCAAATTTTCCTGTTATTCACTTCGTATGTTTTTGTCTTATTAGATTTATTTCACAAGATGAAAGGTTAAATTTCTTCAGTATAGAATGTCCCTAAAACAAAAATTGTCAATTCCCTCTCAAAATCACAACAGTATAAAACTTACATCTGATGACCAATGGGCTTCATTAACACCATATCTCTCTTTGAAGTCTTTGCATGTAAGTAATCTGAAAATACAGTTAGGTTGCTGTCTTTTAACTTCAAACCACATCTCCTTTTGTTTATATGTAGTTCCAAAATAACCTGATAATCATTAAGATTTTTTTTATCTTTTCCAATTCATGTTCATGTTTTTCATTGTTTGATTTTGGCTTACCTGTGATGAAAATTGAGGAATCAAGACAAAATTATCCTACATTTTGTTTTCAGCAGTTTTAATGATTAAGAAATAACAGATGAAACAAAATTTAACAAATGAAATATATCTTTTCCATATTTCTTTTTTAAATGATAGATGATCCAGTTAACATTTACATACAGTCTAAGGTTAATTTTTTCTGACATCAATGACTTTGTCAAACCTTTGTTAAGAGCTTCTTATCATCAAGAAATAGCTTCTGAAGAAAAAGTTTGAATTTGTTTTATCATTACATAATTAACTGATAAAAGGACTTTTTTTTTTGGCATTCCACTATTATCATGATTATACTGACAGCAGGAATTGCAGTCAAACACAGGGTTCTGTGGAACCCTGAATGAATTTTCTTTTGATTTTTTTATAAAAGAAAGGAAAAAAAATCATCATAGTTTATTCTTTAAACAGATTATTTTGGATTATAAAAAGTATAACTTCTAAAGCAGGACCATATTGGACAAAAATTAAATGGTTTTTTTTTCATGATAATTCCAATTTTCAGAATTAATATATAAATACATTTTCTTACATAGAATATTGAAAGTTCTATTTTGGGATTAAAGTAAATTCAGCAGTGGCGAAATTTTTCAAAATTTAAGCTGACACAAATATGACTAAGAAATTTTGTATATAGACCAATCTTTGTTTAGAAATTCATGTCGAAGATTTTCTTTAACTTTATGTTTATCTACTCCAAGCTAGAAATATTTTAAGCAAAGCATCTGCTCTACATAAACTTAGCTAAATGTTCCTGCAATGAGCCTTTTTATGTATTAAATTTGGTAAAATTCTGTTATTTCACAACTTAGTTAAGTCAAACACAAGTTATGTCATCAAGCATTAGCTAGTATTGACATTTCAATAAAGAACATTATAAAATAAGTTATCTTATAAATTTCTTACTTTCCCATCCAAACAGCATAGGTATCTGGAAGTTTGGGAGGAAACAATATCGTGTTTCCTGTATCCACCTCGATGGCACCATAAAAATCAGGTTCTTCCACTCCAAAAGCCCATTGGAAATAAGATTCCTGGAAAAAAGAAATAAATTTTACCAGTTAAAAAAGATAATGTGCCATTTTCCACCTTTTGCTTTAAGCAAATCATAAGCCTATACATGTACCTTGGTACCGCATATAATGTTCTTTATCAGGACATTTTAGTGTGGTTGGCATTTTACAGAAAATTAACCCTACACAGTCAATCTAAATGCACTAACGATCAACATGAATGGTGAACACAGGGTCAGGATAATTTAATTGCTCCTTCTAAAACCTAAACTGCAAGCAAAACACAAAGTGAAAATAACCTGATGTATGTGTTTACTTCCTTTCCTAGTGTCTTATTGAGAACCAAATGAAACTTTTCCACAGAGACATCTCCTATTGGTCAATCTATTAAACTTTTGTCAGTTCTATTGTCCCATTGAATAAATACAATAGCTGTTGTTCTCTGTGCAGTTTATTCACTGGGACTTTTAAATTTCTTCTAAGAGAAATCCATCACTCTTTGATTAATTTACCTGAGTAAAAAAAATATCTTCTAAATAGATGAAAATACATGTTTCAACTCACAAAACTGCATGTGATGTTGTATTTATTCAATATCAATAATATATTTTCAATCTGTTCAATACAAACACTGATTTAATCATAAAAAGTTGATTTCTGACAAATTTTTTAGCATTGTTCCTATAGAAATTTGCATTTTTTTTGTTTTTGTATAGTTATAGAATACATTTAAGAATGCCTTAATTTAAACATCATCATTTTCCAGTTTTTATTTGTCAAACACAAAAAAAAAATTCAATAGGAACATTTAATGTTGCAAATTTTGTCAGTAATCAACTTTTATTGTTTGAATCACTGTTTACTTTGAACAGATTGAAAATATATTATTGATAATGAATAAATACAACATCACATGCAGTTTTGTGAGTTAAAACATGTATTTTCATCTTTTAGAAAATATTTTTTACTCAGGTAAATTAATCAATGAGTGATGGATTTCTCTTAGAAGAAATTTAAAGGTCCAAGTGAATAAACTACACAGAGAACAATAGCTATTGTATTTATTCAATGGGACAATAGAACTGACAAAAGTTTAAATAGATTGACCAATAGGAGATGAATCTGTGGAAAAGTCTCATTTTGTTCTCAATAATGGATTTTGAGTTGCAGTATACTATTACCTGTCTAAATATAGGTTCATGGTCAGAACAATATCTTGTCTGTGACTCTCCACCCTGCAATAATACAATGGTACCACTGAGAACTTTACCCTTTAACCTTTCACATAACCTTTGTCTGTTCTCTTGAAATAATTCTGCTGGAACAGTGAGTGTATGTGGACCTCTACAAAATGCCGGTCTGAAATGAAAAGTATATACAGTAAAATGATACAGTATTTATAAACTCAGGTAATCAATAATTAAAAACATATTAGGTAAACTTTGTTTTAAAAGTTAATTTTGTCCCAAATATCTTCTATAAAGTTGATATATCCATTCAATCTGTAAAATTGGTTAACCTTTTTCTAGGAAAATAAAGCAATCACTTTTTTGGTAGGGACTGAATACTATAGAACTCTTTTACAAGAAAACACATACCAAATGTTTTATTAGAATTTAAACAGTTATTAAAGTGAGGTTCACCCTAATTTGTACAAGTAAGATCAAACTTATTCGTAAGAATGGTGTTTGGGTATAATATTTTGGGTTTACTGCTTTAATACTTCAACAACTGTTGCCAGTGTCTGACAAACCTTCAGAATGACAGAATGTCAGGCTATTTTGACCATGTGTTGGTCTTTGTTTCTTGTCTCAGTCTGTACTTTTAGGAGGAGTCATGGTGTTTGGTGGATAATGTGATCTGTTTTTTTCATGTGTAATTCTTCTGGTGTATATTTTTTAAGGCATATTAATTATCAATAGGAACATAAACATGATAAAGAAATTCAATCTGTAAACAGTGTAAATTTACTGCCGAAATTTACCCAAAGGAACTTACTTTAAATAAATCAAATTTAAACGGTAACAACTGTCCTTTCCTAGATTTAGATATTTCGATTTTACACAGGAAACTCCACACTAAAATTTACAACAAAAGGGACGATTTTTCGTTCCCTATTGTTAATTTCCTTTTTTGGATGGTGATGTTCCTTTGGCACCATCTTACGGTGTTTATATTTCACAACTCGTTCGCTATGCCCGTGTCTGTTGTGCATTTTTGATTTTAAGGAACGTAATCTTTGTATTACTGGTAAATTATTAAGCCAGGGATTTCTTTACCACAAATTACTTAAAACCTTTACTAAATTCTTCCACAGATATAAAGATTTGGTTTTGAAGTTTGGTTGTACCTGTAGAAAACTTGTTTCAAACGGGATTGCACATCCTCATTTTTACGGCAATATTGTTTACCGTGCCCGGAAATTTAGAAACAATCCTGGTAAACTTATCGATCCTTTAAATAAACTTATTCTAAAAGGTTACCAATTCAACACTGTAATTAGATCATTAAATATTGTTTTTATTGGTACTAATATTGATTTTTTTATCAGTAAATTAAAAGCAAACTAAATATTATTGTTATATACATATAATTTAATTTTGGATGTAACACATCTTCTGATAGGCTGACGTTGTTTTGTTTATCAGCTCATAGACATAGTTTTGTCATGTGACAGTGACGTCATCAACGTTTTTTCATGGTTTACTCCGGTTTAAAATGGAATTTAGAATTAAATTATAAGGATTACTGTAATATTTTTTCTGTCTATTCGAAATAACATAAAAAAATGTGATGCACATTTTAAAATAACCCGCTATGCAGGTTATTCAGTGTGCACCACATTTTTGATGTTATTTCTTCATAGACAGAAAAAATATTACAGTCATTCCTTAAATACACATTCATGGATCTACAATCTGTTGATACCTGTATCTTGGCATTGCACAAGGTCGTGTTTTTCGCTGACTGTTTATGATGTCTTTACACTAAATCCATTGGATGTTGGATGTGTACAGATTGATAATTTAGTCTTAGATGCATGATTTTTTTTTTTTTATTAGTTGCTAGTGGCTTTGAACTAGCTGTCAGTAACTGCGAGTACTCTCAGATCTGTACTAAGTGTCTTTTTTTTGTTTGGATGTACAAGTACCCGGCCACATCCACTTGTATTTGTAGTATTTGTATTTTTATCCATCTGATCAGTTAAGCCTCTTTCAACTGATTTTTATAGTTCGTTCTTATGTTGTACTGTTACACAACTGTCCCAGGTTAGGGGGAAGGTTTGGATCCCACTAACATGTTAAACCCCGCCACATTCTGTATGTATGTGCCTGTCCCAAGTCAGGAGCCTGTAATTCAGTGGTTGTCGTTTGTTTGTGTGTTACATATTTGTTTTTCGTTCATTTTTTGTACATAAATTAGGCTGTTAGTTTTCTTGTTTGAATTGTTTTACATTGTCATTGTGGGGCTTTTTATAGCTGACTGTGCAGTATGGGCTTTGCTCATTGTTGAAGGCCATATGGTGACCTATAGTTGTTAATTTCTGTGTCATTTGGTCTCTTGTGGAGAGTTGTCTCATTGGCAATCATACCACATCTTCTTTTTTATATAATATGACCTTTAGGGAGCTACCATTTGATTTTTATGGGGGGGGGGGGGGGGGGGGGGGGGGGGGGGGGCTAGGATGAAATTTTAAAAAAATAGGCAGGACAGGAGTTTTGAGTAAAAAAAAAGGCAGGATGACAATTTATGTAAAAATAATTCAGAATAAACTATAAAAAAAAAAGGCAGGACGGAATAGAGTGAAAAATTAAAAGGCAGGACAGAGATTACAATTAAAAAAAAATGCAGGACAAAATTTTTCATCCTAGCCCCCCATAAAAATCAAATGGCAGCTCCCTTATTGATTTTTACTCAGGACATGTTTATTTATCTTTACCTGTTTCCTCATTTTAAACAATTGACAGGAATAAATGCATTACAATATGACAATAATCAGTTATATATGTTGACTCTTTTTGAAATGCAAGGGAATATGTATATACATGATATAAGATATTATTGATATTGATCTTATCACTCAAATTAAAAGCAAACATTAGTGGATGAGGAATTATCATGTTGACATTTAATTTACTCCTAGCAGTGTTTTCGTTAAGTTTTGAAATAAGGGGAAATATTTTAAGAATAGGAGGCAAAATCATTTTGGTGAGGGGTCTGGGTGCCGCTTAAGGCTCTTAATGGGTCCAGGGCTTTGCCACCAGCAAAAGAGATTTAGCAATTTTTGAAGTAATTTTTCAGGGCCTCCCTGCTCTCAAAATTGAAAAATAGTCATTTTGAGAGCAGAAAGGCCCTAAAAAATTACTTCAAAATTGCTTCTTCTGATCGGATAGGCACCTATTTAAAGTCATTTCGGCATTTAGTTGCTCAGTTTGGCACCAAATAATATTTTTCACCATTTTCTGCTTTTTAATTATTTAAAAAATTTGGGGGTTGGATTTTATTTTGTTCATTACATTGTTAAAAATAATCTTATGTTATTAAGCAGTTAGAATACACAAGTAAATTGTTTAAAGTTTTTTTTAAACTTCTATGACTGATGTTTTTTATTTGATTTGATTTGTTTTCTTTTCAATTAATTAATAAATAATTTATATCAATCAAATAATTAACATATTTGTTGTTTTAACTCTATACAGGTAGTTATTCATGTTTTTTCTTCAAAAGCTTACAATAAAAAACAATGAAGCCATTACCCAAGCTGTTGTTTAACCATGAAAAATTTAGAAGCAATAAAAGGGCAAACTATGAGTCCCTGTCATCAATATCAACTGGTTAAAACATGCATAATAAATATCCAACGTACCTTGAATACACATAAAGTAGCCCGAAGAAAATACACAAAAAAAAAAGAACTTGATAATAAACAATAATTCAGGCCATCCCCTTCTTTATGCTTAAATAACTGAAAACAATATATATTCAACAAATATTTGAATAGGTGCCGAATTTACTATACCAAGTGCCTATTTAGCCAGGTGCCGAAGTGACTAGAATTCATCAGAAGTGGACTGATTTTACCTGTTTTATTTTACTTTATACTCCTGCAATTATACAATATGATACATAAATGCACACAAGTTTAAAATACATGTAAGAAAACACTAAGCCAGCTTTCTTATCTTTGCTTTACTTTAAAGCCGGCTCACCCTGAAAGTAGTCATTGATCGTTCTCTTCATGTTTGAGTTTGTAACGAGCTGTCTAAAATATCTGTGTTAACCTCAATCTCAATTTGTACATATTTTATTGCTATGTTTCAAACTCTCAAAAGATTTGAAACTGGTTTATGTTTACTATTGTATTATTTACGACTCGGAACAGGTCAGTACAAAAAAGATGTACGACAGATCCTGACTATGCGATTTTCGCGTCATATTTTTGTCAATAAATTAATAGCCGGCGCAATATACACGAAATAAGCGGAAGATTTTGCCAGTTGCTGGCTCTTATTGAAAACACTGCTTAGATGTTTTTAAATTACTAGAAAATGTATGCATGTAACCATTTTGGTTTCAGATTCTTATGGTACAAAATACATTTGTACTTAATCCTGAACAAACATTTTTTAATGTCTTTTATACACCTTTAAAAAGGCTAGTGCATTATATACTCGTTGGCACATACATGCATTCTGGCACATTATTTTCTGTCTAGATGTGCCATATAATGAACCCCTGAGTCTGTGGGACACTAAGTCTTGGTTACCGTGGCTAAGTAATAATCATCATCAAGATTACCCTTTTGCAGTTAAAAGTACCCAAAACAATTGCATCTTATCAATAATTTATACAGCAAATACCTATCAATATCATGCATCCTTGCAATAATAAGGTAATAGTAAAATCTGAGAGGAACGAAAGACTGAGAATTCTCTGATTGCTACATTCACAGGTCAGGAATAACCACCAATTGGTGGATTTTACCTCAATTGACGTATAATCCACCAATTGACATATATTGGTATAGACCAATTGACGTATAATGCAAGTTTTTTGTTATAAAATGCTAGTGTGAGATAGAAGCATCATTTTGCAACTTACAACCTATTTTATGACCATTATTGAGTCCTCCGAAAGTTTCAGTTTTGTCAAAGCCTGCTGCATCTCTTGAGAATGCATGTGTACAATGATTCTGTTGTTGAAACATCTGTACTATTGACCATGATTGACTTTTAATAATGAAAGTCAAGTATTAACAAAGAGCTTCATTCACCTGTGGAGTTGTACTCATAATTAGAGATTAGTGGTAAATTTGCCAATCAAGAATTGACAAGATAACAATAGAAGAAACTGCAAATACAATTATTGATTAAATGCAATATGTCATGTCACTATACTAAACTAGGAATGTTTGACATGTTTTCATACAATAATATGGTTTTGAGAAAACAATGCTCCATTTTGTTTGAATAATTTGCTTTGAAAAACAAAGAATTATACGCCAATTGGTCTTTACCATTATATGTCAGTTGGTGGATTATACGTCAATTAAGGTATAATCCACCAAATGGCAGTTCTGCCAACTTTTAATAATGCAACTGTGTGAGCTTTGGCCAGAATTGTTAAGATCAAAGAGAAAAAACAATAGATCAAAGGAAAATGCCGCCAAATAAGCATGAAATGCGTGAGACTTGGCAGCCCTGCAGCAAATGGTGGTTATTCCTGACCTCTTCTTCTTCTTATGGTATCCAGTTATCCATCAGATTTTTGATGATTACTAACTGTTGCGCATGCGTAGGATAATAATAAATAAATATTTACAAAAGAATAGTGCCAAAAATAAACAAATACTAACATGACATGTGGTTAAAACTATATACATAACTACTAGGTTTACTGTTCTATATTGTAGAGAACAGTAGGTGTCAACTGTTATATTGGGAGAAAGTACTACCTTTGGAGGTAGTACATTCCATTGTGTAATAGTAAATGGAAAAAATGAATATTTGTAACAGTCTTTAAATGTAAGTAGGTGTCTGTAAGTTTGTGGATGAATTTGTCGGGTTCTATTGTCTGTTGGTATGAGTAATTCTGATGGTACAGCGACAATATGGTGAACAATTTTATAGAACATTATAAGTCTAGTTTTAAGTCTGCAGTGTTGTAAGGTAGGCCAATTTAGAGTATTGAGCATGTCTGTAACGCTACTGGTGTTGTGATAAGGATTACAGGCATACCTAGCAGCCCGACGTTGAACCATCTCAAGTTTATTGCATTGTTCAGCAGTATGAGGGTTCCAAACCGAACAAGCATATTCTAGTTTTGGTCGGACAAGTGCTAGGTACGCCTGAGACTTAATGTTTGTGATGGATGTTTTTAGATTTCTTTTTAGAAAGCCTAGGCTTTTATTAGCATTACCAATGATGTTGTTTGTATGCTGGGTCCATTTTAAGTCGGATTGCAGTGTTATAACAAGATATTTAGCGGAGGAGACAGATTCTAGGGTATGGCTGTGAAGGATGTAGTCGTGTTTAATTGTATTTTTCTTGTTTGAGGCAGTGAGAACTGTACACTTGTCAGGATGGAAAGCCATCAGCCAGTCTTCTTCCCACTTTGCAGCAGCATCAAGATCTTCCTGAAGGCTATCACAATCTTTTTTAGATTTGATGCTTTTGTAAATGATGCTGTCGTCTGCAAACAGTCTGAGTTTACTGGATTGATAATATTCTGGTAGGTCGTTTATATATACAAGAAATAGAACGGGACCCAGAACTGTTGATTAACTTGATATGATATAGGCGGCTACAGCATGCAGAATTTGGTCAAGTTTCCTCAGGAGAAACATTTTTCATATTTGTTTTACTTTTCATATTGTTGCATGCTTAAATTCCCTAGGACATGTAGGAAAGGAGATACTCAGATAACATATCCTATTAAATATCTGACAGTCTGCTGGAGGATTTACACCAGGATCAGGAATTTTCCTGAGAAATTAATACACTGGTAGAATAATGCCATTAGGAAATGACTGTCAATTCTATAAAATCAGAATCATTTTCTTACTGAGCTCGACAAGCTGCCATTTCTCTCTTGATCAAAAGTCACAAGACAACCTTAAAAGCATCTGAAAACCAACAAAAAAAATCCCTCATACTCATTTTCTTTTACATCTTTTTATAAAAACTATAATTTGTTTAAGATAAGCTAATGAAATTTTAGGCACACTTATTTGGATATCATGCATCTTTTAAATTATAAATGCAGTTTTAAACATATTTAGATTTTAATACATTGTATATTGAATCTATTCCACTTTTTGGTATTATTACAAACCTTTCTTGGGAATTAGCTAAAAAGTATAATCACCTTTCTGATTATAAAACTACCAATACTTTTTCGCTATAAATGTGCATGCATGAATACAATATTATATTTTTTTACTTTAATATATTGATTATATTTTGAAATCTTATCTACAACATAAAAGTTATGATGGTCTCAAGTTTCATTAGACGTTTTAATAATTTCATGAACATAGGTATATCCAGAAATTTAAAGATGGCTGCCCCCATAGAATAAAATTGTCCACTTCGATAAGACAAATTCTTTATAACATGGCTACTATTTTAAAACATTGGAGAGAGGCAGCTACTCTGATTATTGCTGCTAAATCGAAGAATATTGCAAACAAATACTCTTATGAAATTTTGATGCTGAAAAGAAGTGGGAAAAGCAAATTTATGCCAAGCTTGAGTGTGTTTCCAGGGGGCGTGGCAGAAGATGCTGACTTTTCCCCAGAATGGGTTGACGTCTTCTCCTCTCTTGGCAATGATGTATGGTCACAGACATTTGCCCATTTTGCTAAGGTGGGGAAAGGTCCTCCAATGTTTAGCAGACAAAGGGATGATCATTATTCGAAAATCCCAAGTGAAGTTGCCTTTAGAATCTGTGCTATAAGAGAGACATTTGAAGAATGTGGAATATTGCTAACCAGATCTTCAAATGACAATAAAATACATACCTTAACAGAATCTTCAAGTATATCAAAGAATTATGGCAAAACTGGTAATATTGCTATATCTGATTTTGAGACGTGGAGGGAGAAAGTAGATAAAGATGCAACACAATTCATCAAAATGTGCCAAGAATTTGATATGGTTCCTGATATATGGTCATTAACAGAATGGTCAAACTGGTTGACACCTGTTAGTTTGGCAAGAAGATCATCGGGAACTGATGAAGGTTCCAAAAGAAGATATGATACTGCATTCTTTCTTTGTTTATTGGACACCGTACCAGATGCTATGCATGATGATAAAGAAACTGTACATTTACAGGTTAAAATCCACCTTTTACTCTACTTTGTTTAAATGAACTAATGTGAAACTACCATTTTGTAACATTTCAAAGTCTGATAATACGTACGTACAAACGGACAAGGGTAAAACTTAATGCCCCCGGCGCTACGGCGGGGGCATAAAAAAACAGCAAGAATTGCTGTGATAATGTAATGAATCAGGCAGTCAAATATCCTCACAAAAGTATTCAATTTGATGAAATTTTAAAGATCTTATCAGACTTTGAAATGTTACAAAATGGAAGTTTAACATTAGTTTATTTACGTACATCCCAAAATTGGTTTCCGTTCTCTAACTTGAGTTTGCCTCAACCAAATGTTATGAAACTTATACACAATGCTTATTACCACAAAAACACAGATCAAGTTTGAATTTTGGTGGCATCACTTTATTTTAATCGTTCTAGAGTTATGCCCCTTTATAAATGGAAAAATTGCAAAATTATTAGTTTCCGTTCTCTAACTTAAGTTTGCCTCAACTAAATGTTATGAAACTTATACAAAATGCTTATTACCACAAAACACAGATCAAGTGTGAATTTTGGTGGCGTCACTTTAACCGTTCTAGAGTTGTGCTCCTTTATAAATGGAAAAATTGCAAAATTTTTAGTTTCCGTTCTCTAACTTAAGTTTTGCCTCAACCAAATGTTATGAAACTTATACACAATGCTTATTACCACACAACACAGATCAAGTTTGAATTTCGGTGGCGTCACTTTAACCGTTCTTGAGTTATATCCCTTTATAAATTGAAAAATTGCAAAATTTTTATTTTCTTCTAAATGTCAAGTAATTTTTAAAATTGGAGTTATCTTCCTTTGTCCATGATTGTAGTTGAATCATCTACAATCAATGCTTTATACAATGCAATGTTTAATTTTGACTTGACCAAATGTTATGAGACTTACACACAATGCTTATTACCACAAAACTCAGATCAAGTTCAAATTTGGGTAGTGTCACTTTTGCCGTTCTTCAGTTATGTCCCTTTATAATTTATTATTTAAAAATTATGTGATACAAAGTCGACATTTCAAATCATTAATTGTGTTGATGTTGTGTACATGTTCTAAATGTGGTTAGTCCAATCAAAGCAAAGTGTAGCATGTCTCATTGCTAGATAAAACAAAAATAGTGTTGCATGTAATTGTTACAGTTTTTGATTTCGGATAACATTTTTTCAGAGGCAGTCATTTTGGAATCACTTTTGTTTATATCTGCTCAAAATACAGCATGAAAATATTCAGTTGCTTTAAATTACAATTCAACCATATACATTTATGACTATATTTTTTTGGTGAATGAACAATCACCTTCAGTATGTTTACTGTTTGGTCTAAGCTTATATATCTACAACTTGCACATTATTTTTTTTTAATATTCTTTATCAATGTAACACTGTCATTTTATTTATTTATTTAATGACCATGATGACAGTTTATGACTATGGGTAATTTATAATCACAAATTTCATTGACAATTGTTATGACTTTGTTGAATATATAACACAATGGTAATTCATGTTATACTAACTAGAATATTAACAAATACAAATGTAATTAATCTAGTTTACCTTGTTTTATCTTCAGTGGTCTCCACCAGATGAGTTAATTAAAAGTCATTTAGAATCTAAAGTTAAACTGGCTCCACCACAGATTTATGAAATATGTAGATTTCTAAATTTTAAAGATATGGAGGAGTTGAATGAATTTTGCTTGACCAGAATCGACAAAAGAGTAACAAGAAATTTTCCAGTACCTGCTATCTGTGATGATGGAATCTTTGTTCTTTATCCAGGTACATGTATAGAAATTGTTGTATATTTTTGGCTTGAACAAAGTTTTGGAGTTTAAGGCAAATCTGAAGATTCTGTCTAAAATTGGATAATTCAGATATGTTGATAGTATATAGATGCATTTAGGTGTCATCCCACTTCAGAATTTAAGGTAGACATGAAGACTCAACAGGGAGATTTGAGGAATCATGATAATGCCATTCATGTGACGACAAATTTATCAACATGTCACCTTCTTGGTAACTTTTAAGAGCCTTTTTTTAATGACAAATGTTTTCTATTTTACTGTCTTGTGGTCTGCATAAATTGATAATTATAAAAAAAAGAGAACTTAAAAAATAGGAGATATAAATCTAAAATTTTATTAAAAATACTGCATTGATTTTGCATATTCTAAAACCTAATTCAAACAAAAGCCTGTTTAAATTTGCTCACAACTGTGCCATTTATCAATGAATTAGTAAAAAAAAAGTCTGCAAGTCGCACATTCCCCCTCCCCTCCCCCCAAAAAAAATTAATTTCAGGTTCGCTGATCAAGTCAGCATCATAAACAAAAATGCCATTATTCTATATTTATAGGTCACTGAATGGCCTTCAACAATGAGAAAAACTCATACAGTCAGCTATAAAAGGCCCCTACATGAAAAAATGTAAAGCATTTCAAACGAGAAAATTAACAGCCTAATTTATAATGTTAATAATACAATATAATTTACGGAAAACAAATATGACAGACATGAACCATCTATATATACGGCGGGGGCATAAAGTTTTACCCTTGTCTATCCGTAGGTATGTCCGTCTGTCCGTACGTCCCAAAGTTGGTTTCCGTTCTTTAACTTTAGTTTGCCTCTACCAAATGTAATGAAACTTATACACAATGCTTATAACCACAAAATACAGATCAAGTTTGAATTTTGATGGCGTCACTTTAACCGATCTAGAGTTATGCCCCTTTACAAATGGAAAAAATTGCTGAATTTTTCGTTTCCGTTCTCTAACTTTAGTTTGCCTCAACCAAATGTTATGAAACTAATACACAATGCATATTACCACAAAATACAGATCAAGTTTGAATTTTGGTGGCGTCACTTTAACTGTTCTAGAGTTATGCCCCTTTACAAATGAAAAAATTGCCGAAATTTTGGTTTCCGTTCTCTAACTTAAGTTAGTCTGAACCAAATGTAATGAAACTTATACACAATGCTTATTACCACAAAACACAGATCAAGTTTGAATTTTGGTGGTGTCACTTTAACGGTTCTAGAGTTACGCCCCTTTACAAATGGAAAAATTGCTGAATTTTTCGTTTTCGTTCTCTAACTTTAGTTTGCCTCAACCAAATGTTATGAAACTTATACACAATGCTTATTACCACAAAATACAGATCAAGTTTGAATTTTGGTGTTGACACTTTAATTGTTCTAGAGTTATGCCCTTTACAAATGGAAAAATTGCTGAATTTTTTGTTTCCGTTCTCTAACTTTAGTTTGCCTCAACCAAATGTTATGAAACTTATACACAATGCTTATTACCACAAAATACAGATCAAGTTTGAATTTTGGTGTTGACACTTTAACTGTTCTAGAGTTATGCCCCTTTACAAATGGAAAAATTGATGAATTTTTTGTTTCCGTTCTCTAACTTTAGTTTGCCTCAACCAAATGTTATGAAACTTATACACAATGCTTATTACCACAATTTACAGACAGTGTCTTCCCTAGAAAATTTTTCATGCATGGTGGGTCCAAGGTGAATTTGCAACGCGGCGCGCGACGCTTCTTTTTCCAGAATTAGTAACACTACATAATTTATATGTTTAAAGCCATATACCAATCTAATTGTTTTCTTTTAGGTACAGCAATTCATATAAGTCTGTCATGTATTTATTACAGATGAGAGGAAGACTTTATAAACAATAATAAAAATAATCCAGTCTGCAATAGTTATTTACAAAATAATGCCATGTAGGCCTACACATTATTTTGTTGATATCATCCTCTGTTTCAACTTTCCAAAGGTCACCACACATTTTTCAAAATCAAAATCTTTCTCCTTTGGTCCTTCAATTGATATATGCATTAAGCAATTCAGCACTTTTTGGCATAGTCTTTTTCTCAAAGGTGTTTTAACTCTGTTTAAGCATGAAAAACACCTTTCACAATCAGCTGTTGAAACTGGTAATGGAAGACTCAATACTGCATACTTAGACAGACAAGGATACAAAGTTCCAAGACTGGCAACTTTGTTCATTGTCTGCCTAAATGTCATGTCTTTACATTCTTTCACTAACAGTGTCCTCAGTTTGCTGATAGAATGGTTTCAGCATCAACAGCAAGTTGTTAAATAAAACTTTGAATGTCATCATTGCTTCACAGAGATTTTACAGGAAACAATAAAACAAAGTTTATTGTGTTTATTACAGAAGTCGTCAATAAAGAATACCTGACATACGGATGACATTGTTTGGAAGTTAAGCTGACATTTTATTTCATGACAATTTGTAACTATTTTTTTTAAATACATCTCTGTCCAATTTATTTATAACGCTTCGTAATTGTAAAAAATTCGTAAGGGTTCCGCGGAACCCAGTGTCTCGCCTACTTTTTCTGTTAATGCAGGCTCAACAAAAATGAGGAAGTAAATCAATAAAAATATTCCTCTTGATACTATCTTTTGATTGTAAGAAGCTTCTGTCCAAGTTTGGTAAAAATCCATGATAGTTTATGAATCTGATAAATGTTTAAACTGCAGACTGAATGTAATGTTAACTGGAAAAAAACAAAATTTACTTCTAGATACTAGCATTTGATCATAAACAAGCTTCTGTCCAAGTTTGGTACAAACCCAGGATAGTTTAAGAAAGTAATTAAAATTTTAAAAACTTTAACCACAGAGTGAATGTATTATTTCCCGGCAGAAAACTAAGTCCATTTATAAGTAAAATACGGAAAAAATGGAATTTTATTTTCACAAAATTTACTTCTGGATACTATCTTATGATCATAAACAAGCTTCTGTCCAAGTTTGGTAGAAATCAAGGATAGTTTAAGAAAGTTATTAAAATTTCAAAAACTTTTAACTACAGAGTGAATATTTGTGGACGCCGCCGACGACAACGACAACAACGACGACGACGCCGCGGAACGTAGGATCGCTATGTCTCGCTTTTTCGACTAAATTCGAAGGCTCGACAAAAACCTATCTTGCCGAAGAGAAAGAAATTTAGCCCCACTTGTGTAAAAAACGGCAGATGAATCCGCTACACTTAAGCTTCATGTGACCCATTCAAATAAAAGTAGAACAACACAAGTTTATTAAAAACAATATTTCCGTAAATAACTACGTATGTTTTGAAAGTTTTTCTATCAAATCTTTTAAATATTTCATAAGACACGTCTTTTTCTCGGCCCGGTGGCGGTGATGTGTATTCTTTGATATAATCAATCAACCGCGACTAATCTAAAAATAACTGATTGTTGTGACCAATCAAAAAATAATTCATCGATGTAAATATAGCTGATGAAAAAACTGCGAAAATTTATTAAAACAAAAGTTTTGTCCATTCTCGGTGAAATTACGTTAGTTTTATTTTATAATACCAGAGTACTATACCAAATTATTTTAAATTTCTACTTTTTAAAGATCACAGTAAAATAACGATGTCAAACACCCGGGGCGTGTTTTATTGGTCTCTTCGGTACATCTCCAGAATGTCTTCTGGTGAAGCGTCCAAAAAAATGAATCTGGACCTCTTCTGGAGATATTCTATGGAAGATCAATAAAATAAAAATGCAATTTGCCGCCGAATATAGCAGGTTTTTGTTATGTTGGATGACATAAATTAAGTTTACGATTTTTTTAGAAAATTAAGATACGTCCATGCAGTAGACATGACTGTAAAAGTGTTCTCTGTTCGTTACAATTTTCTTTATGCTTTCCTTTAACTCAATTTTGCTGAACAAATCAGGCTTAACCCCCACTATTAGATTTTTAAGAATAATCTTAAACTGCACAAGAGTTCTTCAATGTTTGTCTGGAATACGACTGATGAAAAAGGAAATCTTAGTCTTTCCATTTTTGTTTTTAAAGTAACCGAGCTGGATTAACAAGATATCAGTTGGTTGTGTACTGATTGATACTTAAGTCTGGGAGAACAAGATTTATTTCAGTACTAGTTGCAACTAGCTTTGAACGAACTTCTGGTAATTGCAAATACTCTTAGTTCGATGCTTTGAGTCTATTGTCTTAATGTTAGTTGTCCGGTTTCTTTTGTGTGTCTCGTACCGATCTTTTGAGTTAATCTAATTGCAACAGATTTGCGCAGGTTGTTCTTATATTGTACTGCTACACTACTGTTTCAGCTTCGGGGAGGATTGAGCGCTCACAAACAAGTTGTTGTACTGTTACATAACTGTCCCAGGTAGGGGATGGTTGGGATCCCGCTAACATGTTTAACCCCGCCACATTCTGTATGTATGTGCCTGTCCCAAGTCAGGAGCCTGTAAGTCAGTGGTTGTCGTTTGTTGCTGTGTTACTTATTTGTTTTTCGTTCACTTTATTTTGTATATTAGTTAGGCCGTTAGTTTTTACCATTGAATTGTTTTACATTTGTGATTTCGGGGCTTTTTATAGCTCACTATGTGCCAGTATGGGCTTTGCTTATTGTTGAAAGCCGTATTGTGACATATGGCTGTTAATTTCTGTATCATTTGGTCTCTTGTGAAGAGTTGTCTCATTGTCAATCATACCACATCTTCGTTTTTATATAAACCCCTGCCATATTCTTTATGAACCTGTCCCAAGTCAGGAGCCTGTAGTTTAGTGGTTGTCGTTGGTTCATGTCTCAACTCAAATTTGATATTTTGTAAATTGTTTTGTTTTGTATAATTAGGCTGTTAGTTTTATCGTTTGAATTGTTTCACACTTTTAATGGCCTTTTATAAACGGCTTTACAGTATCGGGTTTTGTCATTGTTGAAGGCCTCAAGGTTGCCTATAATTGCTTACATCCACTTTATATTAGGATAGTTGCCTCATTAGCAATCATATCACATCTCTTCGTTTTTATATAATTTACCCGACATTTTATCTCGTGTTTTCCTGAACATGCATGAAATATTTGTCATTGGGCGTTAAAAATTAGCATGATCAATTTAAACTTGTGTTTAATAAGAGAAAACCATCTGATATTTATTTATTTGTTGGGATGGGGGACAGGAGGATTTCGTATATGACTGATATGGTTGCCTGGTAAGTGCTAAAAAATAGGTATGATAAGCGACAAATTAAAATGAATAATAATGCCCTCTTTCCTTCTTCATTAATTCCTCATCTATTGATTTAAACAGGCTGACTACTAGCCCAATCATGAGTGTTGAAAGTAGCGTAAAACACCAATCAAAATCCCTTCCCTAAAATTTCAACGAATAGTTGTCCCTTAACTGTTATTGTCCGTGTAGTTCTTATATTCATCCAGCTTATCGTCCTACAGAGATGTCCTACTAAGGTTGTCATACCATAAAAACGTTTATAACACAGCTCACATTCTAATATATATTCATTCATGAATTTATTAATGTCATTTAGACTAAACGACGCCATGTTTGTTTTGTGCCTCTGCCGTCTAAACCACCTATTTAAAAAGAAGAGGTGGAAGAGAGCCAGAAGATCTTCCTAATTCAAAAAAATAGAAATGGACCTCTTCTGGCTCACTACCGAAGAACAAAAAAACACGCCCCCGTTTTAAGGTGAAATTTACACTGGAAAAGGTTAAACTTTTTATTTAGCACAGAAAGATATGCATTGGAGATTAATCTGACTATTTATTTATCAGCTAACTGGCCACTTCTATTATGTAACCGAAGTCTCGATATATAACCAACTAATCAAGAAGGTTGTAAAATCCCGGCACGCGCGACGTGATGCATCCAATTATCAGTCGGATCAGTTTAAAACACATGTGGCGTGTGGTCACTTGTCACTTCACTTTCAAAATCGATAATAAATATTTTACACAGTTATAATTTTCACACATAGCGGGATGCATTGCGGCAATGATGAAAGCATGGCGGTCGAAATTTATGCGTAGCGGTACCGCAATGCTTGAACAGCCTAGGGAAAACACTGACAGATCAAGTTTGAATTTTGGTGGCGTCACTTTAACCGTTCTAGAGTTATGCCCCTTTACAAATGGAAAAATTGCTGAATTTTTCGTTTCCGTTCTCTAACTTGAGTTTGCCTCAACCAAATGTTATGAAACTTATACACAATGCTTATTACCACAAAATACAGATCAAGTTTGAATTTTGGTGTTGACACTTTAACTGTTCTAGAGTTATGCCCTTTACAAATGGAAAAATTGCTGAAATTTTGGTTTCCGTTCTCTAACTTAAGTTAGTCTGAACCAAATGTAATGAAACTTATACACAATGCTTATTACCACAAAACACAGATCAAGTTTGAATTTTGGTGGTGTCACTTTAACGGTTCTAGAGTTACGCCCCTTTACAAATGGAAAAATTGCTGAATTTTTCGTTTCCGTTCTCTAACTTTAGTTTGCCTCAACCAAATGTTATGAAACTTATACACAATGCTTATTACCACAAAATACAGATCAAGTTTGAATTTTGGTGTTGACACTTTAACTGTTCTAGAGTTATGCCCTTTACAAATGGAAAAATTGCTGAATTTTTTGTTTCCGTTCTCTAACTTTAGTTTGCCTCAACCAAATGTTATGAAACTTATACACAATGCTTATTACCACAAAATACAGATCAAGTTTGAATTTTGGTGTTGACACTTTAACTGTTCTAGAGTTATGCCCTTTACAAATGGAAAAATTGCTGAATTTTTTGTTTCCGTTCTCTAACTTTAGTTTGCCTCAACCAAATGTTATGAAACTTATACACAATGCTGATTACCACAAAATACAGATCAAGTTTGAATTTTGGTGTTGACACTTTAACTGTTCTAGAGTTATGCCCCTTTACAAATGGAAAAATTGATGAATTTTTTGTTTCCGTTCTCTAACTTTAGTTTGCCTCAACCAAATGTTATGAAACTTATACACAATGCTTATTACCACAATTTACAGATCAAGTTTGAATTTTGGTGGCGTCACTTTAACCGTTCTAGAGTTATGCCCCTTTACAAATGGAAAAATTGCTGAATTTTTCGTTTCCGTTCTCTAACTTTAGTTTGCCTCAACCAAATGTTATGAAACTTATACACAATGCTTATTACCACAAAATACAGATCAAGTTTGAATTTTGGTGTTGTCACTTTAACCGTTCTAGAGTTATTTTTTTAACCATTAGATCAAATATCTGTTTCATTTAAAGCTGTGAAATTGAAAAAAATAAAATAAATATTGTTTTTATTTTATTTTCAGGGGATGATCTTTACCCAGAGGATCCAGATGTCTATGGTGCTAAGGAACCACTCATTATTCAAGAAACTTTGAGAGAAATTCATCTGAAATATCCACATCATAATCGTTATGTTTTAAAAGACAAAGAAAGTCACAGAGATTTTATTAACGATGTTAAATTTCTGTGTAATGTTACTCAAGGAGATGGACATGTTATACCTGTAACAGACTTGTCTTTCCTTGGAATGCCTAGGGCAAGGTTTTAAAGACTAGGGTAAGAAATGATTCATTGTTAAGGATTATATTAATATCAGAATAATTTACATAAAAAATTTGATGTGATAGATTAATACAAATGTATGTAAAAATTCAAATATATAAAATTGAGAATGTGTTTATATGAATATTATTAAGCAGCATTGAAATTTTTCAAAGATGTATGAAATTGTTAGTGTCCTGTTTACAGTATTATATATATTAAGTCAGTTTTTATATCACTTTTGTAACTTTACCAGAGAAGGACCATGATTTAAAAGTTAAGAAAAATTAGGTGATATTTCAGATTTTAATGAAATTTTGTAAAAATGTAGAACAGGTTGTACTGTTTAAATATTGCAAAAATCTGTCCAGAGTTTTGTTTTAAAATGATATGTTATTGTAAATTATATCTTTGTTTGAAACACATTTATCATAATTTATTTTTTATTGCCAGTAGTATTTTTTTTAACAAACAAACCTCAAGTCACACTCTGTTCACTAGTCTTGTTCAACATATACCTTGTTTGTTTATTATCCTCCAGATTCTGATATAGACATATGTCCAGAATCCTCTGCTTGTTTAAAAAAAAGAACAGTATATTTTACGTCCTTATTTTTATCAATACTAGGTAAAAGTGAATTACTTCTCCTGAACAACACACACACACCAAGATCTATACATGTTTGTTCTGTTTACACAGCATTTTGAATTTATGTGTAATTTTGTTAATTGTCATATCTAGGTTCATAATGTTATTCAGATAGTTTAAGAGGTTACTTTATTTATGTTCAAGATCTTATGCTATATCATTGAAATATTGATTTTAATAAATTCCTACCTCAAGAACAATTGATGCTTCTAAAATATTTATAGAAACAATCATGGTAATTGTTATGTTAATAAATTATTCATTAAACAGTTCAACATTCGTAATTTTTGCTGCCATCAATATTTATAGAGTAAAATATTCAATAGAAATAAGAAGATGTGGTATGAGTGCCAGTGAGACAATTCTCCATCCAAGTCACAATGTGTAAAAAGTAAACAATTATAGGTCAAAGTACGGCCTTCAACATGGAGCCTTAATATTCAAGCATGCAATTTGAGGTCCAATTTGGTCCTGTGACACCTTTTGAAAGAACATGCATTTCTCATAAAATGTATCCTACAATGTCATTGTATTTTATCCTAGTGACAAAAGTTTTATAGTTACTGGGAAAGTTACAACCCAACCAAAAAACTTTTAACCAAACCATGATGCATGAAAAAAAAGGTCATGCAAGGCCAGCTAGGCTAACATATTATTCTTAATAATGACCATAACATTATCAAATATCAATGACCAATCACAAATACTTTCTGCAAATAACACCAATTGAAAGTGAAAATGAAGCACAAGAAGTGTTTGGCAACTGTCAATACATGTAAATCATATTCTTCAAATTGAATTCAAACTATAAATTTATGTGGCGAGTTATATGTTACATAGGAAAAGGCCTTATCTGAATAAATTGAAATGATGTTACAGATGGTATACATTAATAAAAATCACAGCAAGACAAAAAAAAATTCTGATGACATTGTATTCAAAGCACAGATTTTCAGTTTATCCACTATTACTGAAAAGAAAACATATTCCTGTATAAAAAAAAAATTGATGTCACAGGTCGCAACTTATTTTGTTTTTACAAGCTATTTAGGTAAACTGGTGCAATCATAGTTAAGTTCCAGGGCATGAAATGTGAACATTAAATTTGTATAGAAAGCACATAACAGTGGCGGATCCAGAAATTTTCATAAGTGGGGGCCCGCTCCAGTCATGCTTCAGTGATTCCCTATATAATCAACAAAATTTTTCCCAAAAAAGGGGGGGGGGCCCGGGTCCCCTGCCCCCCCCCCCCCTAAATCCGCCTGTGCATAAAATCAGTGAAAAACCTTCTTAAATTTGTCTTAAAATCATCAAATCTCTAGTTTCTAATACATAGATTTTTCTTAAAAAATTATATGTTGTTGATACATAAATTTTCGTTTTAATGATATAGAATAATCATATGGTCACCAACTTCCTTATTTGTCTAAAAAAAAATCTGCTACCTAGTTGGTAGTGAAAAACGTCAAAAATTAACATTTTACGGCCTGCAACATGATGACGTTACAATTATTTCGATTTTTTCACCTAGAACACCACTTTGAATGATGTACACCTTAAAAAGGCAGTCGGTGACCCTGTCATTATTTTACTTTATTAAAACGGAAATTTATGTATCAACAACATATAGTTTTTAAAGAAAAATCTTTGTATTAGAAATTAGATATTTGATGATTTTAAGATAAATATAAGAAGGTTTTCGCTGATTTTATGTGCTTTCTATACAAATGTTCACCTATTTTAAAAGAATTCAATCAGTAATATTTCAGATGATAAAAGAGATAGATGCTATATTTTTTTGATTTTCAGTTAAGAGTTCAACGATCCAAAGTTGTATGCAAAATTTTAGAAATATCTGTTAAGTAGCCCATTTACTGTAACTTGACCTTAAGTAAATAGAAATCAATCAATTACGATTATGATTATGCCTTAAGTACTTCAACCTATTGTTCCTTCCACATATTTCATGACTGAGGGGGCAGGCCAAATAATCTCCATGGAAATGAGATGTGCCAATACTTATAAAACTGCCTACAAAATATCATTGACTGACCACAAGTGGTTCCCCTTAAACTGAACTAATCACAAACTAACACATTGTTAACGATGCCAACGCTGTCACAGGGAACAGCACACATAAGTCTCACTTTTTCAACTTCGTCAAGTCGAGACAGTAATCATGAGTCAAAGAAAAACTTACCTCAGAAACTAAATTACTGAGCAAACCCCCCAATGAAGAAATCTTTACATTGACCAATAACCTTCCAAAATGAGGTTTCCTCAAATAAAGAGATGTTCAAACAGGTATTTCGGGGGGAATTCCCACTGCATAAAACACATTTTGACATGTCAGAAATCTGCATGCCGTAGCAATTATTCATCATAACCAGTTAAATAAAATGCTCCACTGGGCGCAGCTTGATACAACCGCAGAGGTCGAACCCTGAACAGTTGGGGCAAGTATGGACACAACATTCAAGCTTGATACAGCACTGAATTTGGATTATGATTAAATATTTAACACAGCATAGGTTTCTGACACAGAATGAATGTGGTCTAAGAACTTAAAAAATTTTAATTTACCTATTCAAACCATATCATTATTATTTGCTTTTATATATAAATCAGAAATAACCAATTTAAAATGGAAATATTAAAGAAAAAAAGGGGAAAAAAAATCCCCCCTCAAATTTTTTGAACCCCCTTAGGATTCATCGCCCCCAAACTCAATCCCAGCCTTCCCTTTGAGGTATGGTATCTTGCAGTACAATTTCAGAGAGATCCGTACACTTGAACACAAGTTATTGTCTGGAAACTAGAAAAATGCTTGTTTTTGGCCCCTTTTTGGCCCCAAAATCCTAAACGTTTAGGGCAATTACCCCTAAACTCAAACCCAGCTTTCCCTTTGTGATATGGAACCTTGTAGTACAATTTCATAAAGATCCATACACTTACACACAAGTTATTGTCCTGAAACTAGAAAAATGCTTGTTTTTTTGCCCCTTTTTGGCCCCTAATTCCTAAAATTTTTAGGCAATTAACCCCAAAATCAATCCCAGCCTTCCCTTTGTGGTATGGTACCTTGCAGTACAATTTTAGAGAGATCCGTACACTTGAACACAAGTTATTGTCTGGAAACTAGAAAAATGCTTGTTTTTTTACCCCTTTTTGGCCCCAAATTCCTAAACGTTTAGGGCAATTACCCCCAAACTCAAACCCAGCTTTCCCTTTGTGATATGGAACCTTGTAGTACAATTTCATAAAGATCCATACACTTACACACAAGTTATTGTCCTAAACTAGAAAAATGCTTGTTTTTTTGCCCCTTATTCCTAAAATTTTGAGGCAATTACGCCCAAAATCAATCCCAGCTTTCCCTTTGTGATATGGAACCTCGTAGTACAATTTCAGAAAGATCCATACACTTACACACAAGTTATTGTCATGATACAAGAAAAATGCTTGTTTTTTGCCCCTTTTTTGGCCCCTAATTCCAAAAATTTGGAGGCAATTACCCCCAATATAAATCTCAGCATTCCCTTTGTGATATGGAACCTTGTTGTACAATATCAGAGAGATCCATACACTAACACACAAGTTATGTCTGGAAGTTACAAAAATGCTTATTTTTGGCCCCTAATTCCTTAACTGTTGGTACCATAACCCCCAAAATCAATCCCAACCTTCCTTTTGTGGTATTGAACCTTATGGTAAAGTTTCATAGAGATCCATTCACTTAAACTAAAGTTAGAGTGCGAAAAACCAATGTGTCTTCAGACAACGACGACAACAAGGCCAACGTCATACCAATATACGACCGCAAAATTTTTTTGCGGTCGTATAAAAATTATCTGCACATTTCATTTTGATATGCATAAATATCTAACACAGTAAAAAGTTTACACCAGAAAGAAGAAAAGACTTTGTATAAATAGATACTATTTTCTGGTATGTTCTCATACTGGGCCTTCCCCTTAATATGTAGATCTACAACTTAATCTTTCATGTGTTGACCTTGCCCTGTGATCTTGAAATAATTGTTTGGCTATGTAAGCTAATTTATACACAGGAAACACTACAAAATAGGAAAGACAACAGAAAGTTATTTATTTTAAACTTTTTATTTTAAAGTTAATACAAAATGCATAGAAAAAAACAACAGAGGATTGGAATCAACAAATTAATAGTCATATTGCTAAAAAAATGTCAAAAAGCAGAAAATAATAAATTACATATTTGTCATATTAACATTCACTCTTTTAATCTAACTAGGCTACCTCTCTAGGTACTTGTAAAATGTAGTTACTTAAATGTCAATAGAACCTGAATAAATTAATTAAAGTTGGAAGTCTTCATCTTAAAAATGACACTTTTTTATAAGCAGGTTTTAAGCATTTAATAGGTTGTCCAAAAATATGCAACAAAAGGTTATACTTAAAAAGCTATGAGCAAAGCTGACAAATTATACCTCCAGCCCCCTATCTGAAAATCCAGTTACAGGTATAGGAGCAGTTACAGATATAAAATGCCGGCCACCATTTTTCATGGAAATATGGTTAAGTCTATGTTTTGCTATTGGCAACCCACAAATCAACCAGCTAAAAAATAGAACAGAAGATTCGCAATTCCATAAGTTACTGATTATTTTCTAAATGTTTTAAGAAAATCCAGTCAATGGTTAAAGAGAACTACAGAACAAAGTTTAGACAGAAAAATAAACAAACACTATACACTCCCACTTTGTTTACTGGGTTTAAAAACTAAAGGTAACATTTATTTGATAAAAAGAGAGAATGTCTTTTCTGTAGCATTTAATTCTGGACACAATCAAGTACATTTATTAAAGCTATAATAAGCAGTACATCACAAAAAATAATACACCTTCATCTTAAACCCTGTGGCATTTTTTACTTTATTTTCAATAAGGGCTATTCCATTAAAATGTATGTGGGAGGGTAGGAAGGGAAGTTTAATTATTGAATGTGGGTCATGGGTCTTTTTTCAGTATGCGTCTATTACCATTATGCAAAATTATCTAAAAAATTTGTAAGGGTTCCGTGGAACCCAGTGTCTCGCCTACTTTTGCTGTTAATCGAAGGCTCAACAAAATGAGGAAAAAAAATCAATAAAAATATTCCTTTAGATAAGTACTATCTTTTGATTGTAAGAAGCTTCTGTCAAAGTTTGGTATAAATCCAGGATAGTTTATGAATCTAATAAATGTTTTAAAAACTTTAACTGCAGACTGTATTTAATGTTAACTGGAAGAAAAACTAAGTCCATTTATAAGTAAAATACGGATAAACAGGTACAAAATTTTAACAAAATTTTCTTATAGATACTAGCTTTTGATCATAAACAAGCTTCTGTCCAAGTTTGGTACAAATACAGGATAGTTTAAGAAAGTTTTTAAAATTTTAAAAACTTTAACCACAGAGTGAATGTATTGTTTCTTGGCAGAAAAATTAAGTCCATTTATAAGTAAAATACGGAAAAAATGAAAAAATTTGTTTAACAAATTTACTTCTGGATACTATCTTATGATCATAAACAAGCTTCTGTCCAAGTTTGGTACAAATCCAGGATAGTTTGAGAAAGTTATTAAAATTTTAAAAACTTTAACCACAGAGTGAATGTAATGTTTCCCGGCAGAAAAACTAAGTCCATTTACAAGTAAAATACGGAAAAACAGGAATTTTATTTTTACAAAATTTACTTCTGGATACTATCTTATGATCATAAACAAGCTTCTGTCCAAGTTTGGTAGAAATCCAGGATAGTTTAAGAAAGTTATTAAACTTTCAAAAACTTTAACCACAGAGTGAATATTTGTGGCCGCCGCCACCGACGGAATGTTTGATCGCTATGTCTCGCTTTTTCGACTACAGTCGAAGGCTCGACAAAAATGGTTCTTGGTTGTAGGGATATTTTGAAAGTCCCTTCCTACCCTCCCACACACATTTTAATGGAATAGCCCTAACCCTGTGTTAAAGTAATAAGCATTTATATTTCTAAAAAATTCAAACAATGAACAAGTTATTATTAAAAATTCCTCCACATGCATTATATTGGACTAAATACAATATCTAGACATCATTCCACACATTTGTAATCTTTAGACCATGAGATGGTTAAGGTAAATTTGCCTGTCAAAGCCCAAATTAATAATCCAAAAACTGCCCATACTTAAACAGCAAAATCACATGTTAATATACAATTCTACATAATGATTCAATTCTTTCATTAACAAATATAATAATATCCAAGTGTGTTGTAAAAGTCAATGAATAACTACTGAAGCAGAACAAATATATAAAGCTTTCGATAGTATTCACAAAACAAGTTTAACCCTGTTTTTGTTAAGTAGTGAGTTTTACTGGTCCTTTTTAATCAAACTGGTACCTACAATGAATGAGTGATTTGTTTCCCCTTATGCTGACTTTTAAAAAAAGAGAGTCAGTTGCAATAGAAGAACCAATGAAAAGCTGCAAGTATTTACACCAGTGAGTTTTATTTGACTGTAACTGAGGCCCAACATTGCTGTCAAAAAGTAATATATATTGATTCACTTTGTCAGTCCTAGATAGATTTCTATTTATGTCTTATATGCATTTTATAGAATTTTTCCTTCTTATGTTTTTACATTTTATAGGATTTATTTCCATGGTAATTGCCATGAAATATTTGACACAACTTTGTTAATCAATTTGTTTGAAAAGTAAATAGACATGATTTGTAACAAGAGCTTCTTTCCTTCTTCAAATACTCCTTAAATTTGTAATATCTGACCATTGTAAACATTAATATATTTTAGGGTCATCAAAAAAATCTTGTAATGATTAATGGGAAAGTTGAAGATGGAAACAAGTAAAACATCTTCCAAACATTTATCTTTCCAGGGTGACAACAGAAGGTACATTGTAACCTTCTAAGTCTATCCCACACACACAAAAAAAAAATGATGCAACTCTTTGAATTCAGAATACTTAAACATTGATTAAGTTATGTCAGTTCTATTCAACATCAACATTTTGAGCTTTGACTTTATGCGACATGAAGGGTTGACAGTGACTACGGGAAAAAAGGAATAGAGTGGGATGTGTGTAGCCGGGGGCTACATGTACTACATTCCATTCTTTTGTAAGTTAGGATATGTATATATTGATAATTGCATAAAGCTTATGTATATATATATTCTTTCTATACTATGTGCATGAAAATATAAATTTGAAATAAATTTTTTGCAGTTATCAAATGTATATTTAATAAAACAAAGTTCTCTTATATCATGTTAAATTTGTTCAAACACATTCTTATAAACCTACAGTAAAACACAAATTGTTTGGCACATAAAAAACAAAAATTTAATAAATGATACAATGTTTTCAACTGCATAGGTATCAAATGAGATCATGCATGTTTTGATTGACAGCTTATAATGCAAGTTTGTATGTACAACATTTTAATTCATGGATAGTCATGCATCTTTTCATATAACTGCAATTAAACGTAACCTATCAAATGATGTTTATTTTATCCATGTATTGCCTATCTGCTAATACATTCCATTGATTGAATATAAAAATGAAAAGATGTGGCATGAGACAACTCTCCACCAGAAACCAAGGAGATGTACAAGTTAACAACTATAGGTCATATGAAGGTTAATGCAATGGTTTTTCAACAAGCATATATATTAGATATTTTAAAAGAACACTTTGTGTTTGAGTTCAAATAAGATTGATTTTCAATAGAAAATCATAATTTTCTTAGTATATTTAATACTAAGTTTTAATGCTGGAATAGAAACAACATTCATTATGTCTCCCTAATAATCTATATCACTCTTTTGAATGACGTCACATCATGTGGGGTCTTTACCCTCATTATTGGGCCATATCTACTTTGTACTGAATCAGAAAAGATCCACGTTTCATAGTTTACATTTGTAAATGAGGTCATATGATATGTCAGTAACTTTTACATATTGATATTTGAAATGTAATGTACATGTTCAAGGCTACATATAAAACAAAACAATCATTTCAATTTGACACCCTTTACAATGTACAAAAATGTAGAAAAAACTAACTTTTTACATCTAACAAATATTATTATGCATGTATTTATCTCACATAGTATGTAAATTAGACAAATAGGAAGTTCAACTATTTTACAAAACATCTTTGTAGTAATTGTAAATAAACAATGTACATTTTGTACATGTATACAAGGAGTTACAGCAGAAACTAGGCATTTGTTTATCAATTGTCTTTTATCTGGTCAGTTCAATGTTAATTTTATACAGAGATATCTAAAAAATAATGTTGAAATCAGTATTGCTGAAGAGAAACAGCCTGATTCAGAAGACTTTACCTTACATATATCTCTGTTATCTTTGAACAGATTTCTTTGCAAGATTTTTGAATTTTTATTCATTCTATATTTAGGAAGAAGTAAAACTGTAACACTATTTGGTAGAAGGTGAATAAAACAAAACATAAACATTTTTATAGTACCTTAATCATAGTATGATCATGTTGGTACTTATGATGAATCATATATAAAAATTGAGTTTTATTTCATTCTGTTTATATTTTTATACATCTTATGGTATCTTAAAATGACTTTTGGATTTTTTTCTAAAAGATACATAAATTGGAACTTGAAAAGACATTTATACAAGTGGAAGCTTTGATATGCCTCATTCAAGCTGAAGAATTGATATGCTTCATAAAATTGAGGGTTTGATACATCATAAAACATAATTCAACCCACAACTGTGATTTTCAAAGTGCTTCCTCAAGGTCAGGAATTTAAAAAAAAATATAATTTTTCCGATGTTGATCATTGAAGTGATTTTTCAGTACTTGGCCTATCATGTATACATGAACATGATTTTCTTTCCTATTGATCAATACCATGATGCTTGGTATTTCTTAATTCTTAACACTTTTAAAAGCTAATGCTTCAACACTCTTTTCACCCTCCCCTCCTTGTCCCCCCCCTTTTCAAGGAAAAAAATAACAAAAAGAATCTGTAGTTTGTAAATGGTTCAATGACCAATGCCATCTTCATCAAAGACTTTTAAAAAGGACAAAATGTGTATTCAATTTCAAGAAACAGCAAACTGTTCCATTTGTATGAATGCACAATTCTTTGTTGTCAGAGTATGAATAAAGATATGTAAACCATGTCAGCAAACCAGTTTTTTTCAGGTATCAGTAAACTTAAAACACCCAATAACATTCAATAAGTATTAAAGTTAACAAAATTTATATTATGCCTTTGACTAATAATTCCAGTCTTTCTATTTGTACATTATGCTAACTTTGTAAGATATCATTTCTTTATTACATTGTACATCTTAAAGTTACCAATGTTCAAAGCCCTCTTAAAATTTCTCTGTAACATTTTTTCTAAAACTATGTAAGTAACAATATTTTACTCCATTTATCAAATATATTTTAAACATGTATAAAAATAAATTGTTTTTTTTATCATATTCACTTATTTACATTTCAATGCATATTTTAATGTTCCTGAGCCTGATCATTCCTCTGTAGTCGGACCAACATTCGTCGACACCAAAGCTGAAAATTTGGCACAAAGACATACAGTAGCATTACCACTGGTAGAAACATTTTTGCTTTTGTTGCCAAACTGGGAATCAAGATGCCAAAACTGTTCATCAAGTTCGCAGGAAGTAATAACAGAATTGTAACAATGTTCATCAAACATAGAATTGTATTGATAACTATATCTACTAAAATCCATAAAACTTCTATGGCACATCTGATCAACCCAAATACTGGACGAACAGGAATATAAAACAGACAGCGTAAAATTTCATACACAACTGTTAACATTGTCTTGCATATAGGCCATGTGACCAACTGGAAGAGTCCATTTTCATTCTGTACGTCTGCTACTAACAGGAATAATATTATGACTAAAAATACACTATACCAGAACTTCTTGTCATCATTAAGATTACTCCATCGAGTTCTCAAGTCAACTGTAAACAGAAAACATGGAATAACTTATAGCATGTATCATGCATAAACATTAAGGATATTCAATGTGTTTTTTTAGAAAGTAGTTTTGCAACTTGAAAATATTTCCTTGATTGGTTGATTGTTTGTGTTTAACGCCACATTGAGCACTCTTGGCTATATCTAGGTGGCTAGTCTGTATTGATGGAGTAAGTCGGAGTGCCCTTAGAAAACCACCCACCTTAGCAGGAAAACTTGCAATCCTAATCAATTAAGATCGGAGTCAAACAAACCTGCAGTGTGCTGGGTTCAAACTCACAACACAAGTGTTGACAGCTGACTAGTGATACTGTAGATGAACTACTTAGACCACTCAGTCACCAATAACCATTCCATTCATTAACTTAAATTTCCTTCTAGTTTAATTACAATGCTTTTGATCCAGTCCATTTTACCACTTTCTCAATATACCTCATTTGAATATCCGATATTTTTGTGTACAAGACATATTGGCCAAAATTTATAACTGTCTGTCTATGCATATTTAAGGACTGCCATTATACTCATTTGAACAAATTAAAATTTTGTACACAAAGTGTTGTAACCAACCACTAATTACTTAAATCAGTAATGCTTACCTCATGTGCATATTTTGTATTCCAAATAAGGTTTGAATTAAATTTTTGTAAAAAAGTTATAACAACAAATAAGAAAATTCGTTAAACTGGCACAGTGATAATATTCAATTACTTGCACCTAAAATTTGTTTCTAAAATTAGCTACAGGCACAGTAAAAGCATACATTAAATACATTTTTGAAACTGATTGTGGTCATGTTTGGTCAAGTGGTATCAGAGAAGATTTTATAATGATTAACAATGACTAAAGACAAGGGATACCAAGTGACTAGAAAGTGTTGACACTGGCTTCCCTAGCAATGTGAGTTTAAAACAGCTATTCATTGTTATTGATATTAATAAATAAATGCATGTTCGTAATCTTTATCATTTCCTGAACAAATACATACAACACATAATCATATCAGTTATCATTATATATTACCTATTCTGGGATGGTTGATTGCTCTTGTTTTTAAAATGTCCAAGTAAAACACAGTTTTATCCTTCAACCACTCTGCTTTATCTTCTATATCACCTTCAAAATTTTTAAGACAATCATATTTTCAGTACTTTAATTTAAAGTGCAGGTGTAAAGTTTACTAATGCACAATGTACAATTAACAAAATACAAGTGTGTAAACAAAGTTTGTTTACACACTTGTATTTTGAAAGTGATACTCATTTTAGATATGTGTTGTTTTTTTCTTGTAACAATAATCAATTTCTCTTTTACATATATCACACATTTTGATATACATGATATATCATTGTACCATTCCATAAAATTGGTCACCATTCATTACTATGTTACCGGTGTATATAAAATATTCAAAAGTATTCAAAATATCATTATTCAGCATGAAATAAAGGCATAAAGGCTATATTTTAATATGGAGACTGTTGGAGCTATGCAATTCCAGATCATTAGATTGTTTAGCGTCTTCAAAATTTTACTATCAAACCTTTACACATGGTCAATTCAATCAGACATTATAATGATTACATGTATTTAAACAACTGTCAAATGTTGAAATCAATTGCCTATTACTCAATTAAATCAACAAGCTTGATGAGATTTAACATTAAATATACCATGGTTCCACTTTAACAAATTTGGTCACAACACCTGATATTTTTAGAACAACTCTTAATTTAAATTAATTTAAACTTTTGTGTCATTCACCACTTTTATTCAATAGAATTTTATCAGAAAATTGTTCTGAAAAAAAAAGATATGTTGATGAAGAACTAGAATTAAGGATGTTTGCTGCTCTTGTTTTTTTTACTTTTGTCAGATATTCAGAATCCGCTGGTTTTACCCATGTGTTGCCATTAAAAATTTTGCCTGCTTACACATACTTTTCTATTCATAATTTTAATACATGTAGTTTAAAAAGCTATTTTTTTTTAAATCTTATAAAATTCTTGTTATTTTTCAAAGTTTTTGAAAGAAAAAAGGTACCAATGTTAAATGTAGGAAAAATCTAGAGAGATTCATTTCCAACCAAATTTTCAATGGCTTATATCTCAAAAACAAGGACATGGACCTTTCATTTTTTTTTCTGCTTTTTTTTTGCTCTGTTATTTATATACATGATATACTATCAATAAATAGTCTTTAAAAAAAAATTTTTTAAAGCTTGTTGCTTTAAAACAGAGGAGCAAAAATCTTTAAATTTCATATAGGTAAAACCTTTAATTTATTACCATCTACTCGTTGAAATTCCCCTAATAAGTGGGAACAGTGTTGGTAACCTTGTATGCATCCATCCATAAAATTTCTTGCATAGATATTGCTTTGGGTACGGTCTGAAAAAAAGATTAAAAAAATACAAAAGATTGTTAACTTGTAAAATGTAAAAAAATATTTAATGTATCAGTCACGTCAGTATTTAAAGTTATTATTAGGATACTTCAATTCAGATAAGAAATGATATCGAGACATAATAAATGATTTTTTTTTTAAATTTTTGATGTGTAAAGGTTAATATTTGAATAGAATATTATGATAATTTTATTTCACTGATTATGTTAGTATATATGCATAGTTTGACATAATTAACATATCTTTGAAAGGGTTGTATCTTGGTAGTTTTAGGGGTATAAAATTATGGCTCTAATTATATCTTTTCTTTTTTTATTGTCATAGAATCAGTTAGATGTATGAGCTGGTAGCCATCACAGAGAGCACCACTGCATGTAAATTGTGATCAAAGTCCCATAACTCCTGTAAAATTGTCAAATCAAAATGATGGTACAATATGGTCAACTGCACATGATGGCAAACAATCCTACTAAGTATAAGAGTATTCTGTCAAATCTGAAAAGGTCTCAGAGGAATTATGCTCACAAGGGTCCAAAAAAGGGCAAAGGTCTCAGAGGAATTATGCTCACAAGGGTCCAAAAGTCCAAAAAAGGGCAAAGTTACGTCACTCCAGTAAAACTGGTCAAATCAAAATGACGGTGCAATATGGTCAACTACAAATGATTGGAAACAAACCTACCAAAATTCACAAGGATCATTGCAGTATGATGGTCCAACAAAAAATGGTCAAAGTTCAAATAACTTCCTTAATAAAAATTGCTGATTCAAATTGACGGTAAAATATGGTTGACTACACATGATGGCAAACAATACTACCAAATATGAGATGTTTCTGTCAATGTGCCTCAGAGCAGTTGCATTTAGGGTGTCATGTGGTTTGTGACAAATAAACATGCAGATTACTATAGGCTTCCTCCTATTGATTGGCGGTGCCTTAATGAAAGTTTACTGTTTTTCTTTTGAATATAATGTACCTTTTACACGATCACAGACTCGCTTCACAGGACTTGTCTTCCAAATATTTAATACTGATAAAAGCATGTTGTCCCAGTCTGAATTACTCCATGGATCTTGCAAATCTTCTTCTGTTAATTCTGAAAGCAGTAAAATAATCTCTTTTGCCAATTTCAGCAGATTATAACAAAATGTATGCATTTATAGAATCTTTTCTCTTTATAATGTTTATAAATGTAAGTACTATATATTTATCTATTATTCTTGCAGTGTTATTATTCTTCATGGTCTTAGTTGTAAATTGAAATAAAAAAAGAATATCAGTTGAGATCATACCTCTTTTGTTAATCTTAAAACATATAAATCAAATATGAAATGCAATTAACAGGGATTAAAAAAAGCTCATTGAGGAGTCTCCACATGCAATAAAAAAAGTACTTTATGTATTACTCATTTACAACTAACAAAGGGAAATAACTTGCTTCAAATTTTAATGTAAAAATAAATCAAATTCCTGATTTCATGCTTTGGAAAAGGCTATATTTAATAGTGGTCATACGCTAAATTGCCACTATGACAGGTCTTAAATAGTGAAATTACTACCTTATCTCCAAAGGCTGAATTTGGGGCTGAGCATGCACTGTCAAAATATCACAATAAAGCTACATTGTACATGGTTTGGTAAGCTTATTTCATGAAAATAAGACATAACATCTACATGTACGCTCTAATACTCATACCTGCCGATTCATTGGCCTCCAGTATAACTTTCTGTATACAGTGTATAGTTCCTCTGCATTGTGGACACTTTGTATCAGGTGAACGAGATATCCAACGATGGATACACGAATAACAAAAAATATGGCCACATGGCACACAACATGTGGCTACTCTCACTAAATCTAAACACACAGAACAGTTAGGCATTTTCTTACATGACTTTTAAACTGTAAAGAAAACAAAAGAAAAGTTTAAAATATGCATGTACTAAGTGCATGAAGAAAAGCACCAACATTGTACATGTACAGTATTTTACATTTACAATGATTTAATAAAAATTCAAAACAAAAGACCTCTTTGGAAGTTGACCAAATTTTATATGATTTTACTGACTTCATAGGGCTGTTTCCAGATTTAAACTTGTGGGGGGATCGGAGGCCTTTATTTTAGACCCAAACAACCCATAATATAAAATTCTAAAAAGCAACCACCAACAACTTATTAATTTCAGTGCTTCCCATCCCACTCCCTCATGCATTTAAATCTGGAACAGCCCTCATGTGTATGCATACAGTAAATTTCTGACATTATGAAATTAATTTGTTAGGTTTTCCTGAGGTTCAAGGTTAGATAATAGATATTGTCAGTGCTGCAACATGTTTTTTTACCCACAGGTTTGACAATTCCCTATTGAATAAAATGACATAAACCCAAAACAACCAATAAAAAAATAATGTATATAAGATTAAAATATCAATCAGTATACATTCAACATTCAATGCATTTTGTCCAACATGTCCAATGGATTTCGTGTAAAGACCTCATTAAGGTTCACGTGGACCCTATGGCTAAAATGGCTGTGTTTACATCACAAAATTTACCCGAGTGCAGACAAACTTGTGCAACTGAAAAAGTTTTGAGGCATAGCATGCCCTAGATATACAAAATTAAAAACTTAACTAAATTTTGTTGTACACTTTTTCTTAGTCCATCAGAAGATGATGAAATAAACAAACACCTGAGTTCCACTTGATCCAGTCCACTCAGATACATTGTTTAAATCTCATATTGTTGTCGGTATCGGGTCCGTTCGCGCCCTACACTTTCGCCCCCTGGGTTCGTTCGCACCTTTTTTTTATTCAAAAACCTGATGAATTATATATCTTTATTTTCATAAACAATAAAATGCTCCGCAGGGCGCAGCTTGATACGACCGCAGAGGTCGAACCCTGAACAGTTGGGGCAAGTATGGACACAACATTCAAGCTTGATACAGCTTTGCATTTGGATTGTGATTAAATATTTGACACAGCATAGGTTTCTGACACAGAATGAATGTGGTCTAAGAACTTAAAAATTTTAAATTGGACATTCACCTATTATGGTCCAATATCCAAAATCTAAATATATGGTTAGATTCAGCATATCAAAGAACCCCAAGAATTCAATTTTTGATGAAATCAAACAAAGTTCAATTTTGGACCCTTTGGACCTCAATGTGGACCAATTTAAAAACGGTACCAAAAATCCAAAAACTAAATACACGGTTAGATTCAGCATATTAAAGACCCCCAAGAATTCAAGAATAAAACCCCATTGAAATTGGTCAAGAAATAAGCAACTTATACGAAGTATCTTCTTTTGCACAATACTGTGCAATTAAATATTTCTTGCTATTGCGCAATACTGTACAATTGACAATTTCTTGCTATTGCGCAATATTGTGATATTGGATATTTCTTGCTATTGCACAATACTGTGCAACTGAAGATTTCTTGCTATTGCACAATACTGTGCAATTGAAGATTTCTTGCTATTGTGCAATACTGTGCAATTGAAAATTTCTTGCTATTGCACAATACTTATTATATAATAATTTACACATCCTGTTTGGTGTGTATCTCCTACCATATCATTATTATTTGCTTTTAAATATAAATCAGAAATAACCAACTTAAAATGGAAAATTTAAAAAAGAAAAAAAAAAGGAAAAAAAGAAAAAAAAGGAAAAAAAAATATATCCCCCCCCCAAAATTTTTTGAACCCCCTTATGATTCATCACCCCCAAACTCAATCCCAGCCTTCCCTTTGTGGTATGGTACCTTGCAGTACAATTTCAGAGAGATCCATACACTTGAACACAAGTTATTGTCTGGAAACTAGAAAAATGCTTATTTTTGGCCCCTTTTTGGCCCCCAATTCCTAAACGTTTCGGCAATTACCCCCAAACTCAATTCCAGCTTTCCCTTTGTGATATGGAACCTTGTAGTACAATTTCAGAAAGATCCATACACTTACACACAAGTTATTGTCATGCAACTAGAAAAATGCTTGTTTTTTGCCCCTTTTTTGGCCCCTAATTCCTAAAATTTTGAGGCAATTACCCCCAAAATCAATCCCAGCATTCCTTTTGTGATATGGAACCTTGTGGTACAATGTCAGAGAGATCCATACACTAACACACAAGTTATGTCTGGAAGTTACAAAAATGCTTATTTTTGGCCCCTTTTTGGCCCCTAATTCCTTTACTGTTGGTACCATAACCCCCAAAATCAATCCCAACCTTCCTTTTGTGGTATTGAACCTTGTGGTAAAATTTCATAGAGATCCATTCACTTAAACTAAAGTTAGAGTGCGAAAACCAACGTGTCTTCGGACGACGCCGGCGACGCCAACGTCATACCAATATACGACCACAAAAATTTTTTTGCGGTTGTATAAAAATTGGGGAATTTCAAAATGAAACATTGTTTTAAATTGATTTGATGATTAATTATTATATGTTAATAATGTATGATTACTGTTAATATGGTGTTTACACAACAAAACTTGGTGTTATTGTTATGTGTTTGAAAATCATGATTGTTGTTTTAACTAGCTTTGATGTAAATTCTTTATGTAGTTCATGTAGTTAGCATGTATTTAGCTTGGTATGAGTAAAAATAATGAAGACTCAAAATGTTATTGTTGTTGAGTTTAATAGTGGTTTGGTATCTCAACATCAAAAAAATATTCAACACAAAAAACCTTTTTGGATAGTCACTTTATTTTGAAACAATTAAATTTTTTTTTACAGCAATACACTAACCAAAACACGATTAAAAAAATACTCAACACAAAAAAACGTCATTTCATTTTGAAACAATGAACAGTCAGAGCTCAGACATATACAAGTCGAAACATGTTTTGACCTCTACAAGTCAAAATAAGTAAAATACAAGAGTTATTTCTCTTTTTTCATGAATCACAATTCGACTTGATCAAGTCAATATTCGAAAAACCTCAATTTAAACATAAAATGACTTCTGAAAGGGGGGGCTAGTATGAAATTTGAAAAAAATAGGCAGGACAGGAGTTTGGAGTAAAAAAAAGGCAGGATGAGACACTTGCAACAAAAAAAAGTCAGGACAACAATTTAGGTAAAAAAGTCAGGATAAACTAAAAAAAAAAAAGGCAGGACCGAATAGAGTGAAAAATAAAATGGCAGGACAGAGATTACAGCTAAAAACAAAATGCAGGACAAAGTTTTTCATCCTAGCCCCCCCCCCCCCCCCCCCCCCATAAAAATCAAACGGTAGCTCCCTAAATCTTGTAAAGATTTGTACTTAAATGCAATCTTGCTCCAAGCAGAGTACTTAGTTACAAGAAAAAAATATTCATTTTCAGACTTATTCAAGTCCAAAATAAGTTATTTATAACCATATGAACAAAAGGACAAAATAGAAAATAGGAACAAAAGGTTTTGGTATTATCACAGATGATCTGATAAATCTTGTTAAAATTTGTACTTCAATGTAACCTTGTTCCAATCAGAGTTAATGTACTTACATGTACAAAAAAAAATGAAATTCACTTTTGTACTTATTCAAGTCCAAAATAACCATATGAACAAAAAGACAAAATAAAAAAAAAAGAATGAAAGCTTTTGCAATTTTTAGAATTTTCACAGTAAATCAGATTAATCTTATAAAAAATTTGACTGCAATGCAACCTTGCTCCAAGCAGAGTAAATGTACTTACAAAAAGAATAAAATTCATTTTCAGACTTATTCAAGTCCAAATAGGACAGACTTGTTATGGTATTAGTTTTTCATAACACAGAATTTCACAGGCCTCAAATCCTGTCTTTGAAATCTCAATCTCTTGCGTAAATATGTATGTTTACCCATAATTTGGACTTTAAAGATTTTTTGCAAGTCTATATAATATCGGTAGCACTATGTTAAATTGAGTATTTCTACTTAAAGTATGATACAACAATCAATGACATTATCACATGATTATCATGATTATAGCAGATCTACAATAAATGAGCAACAGACGAATATATGTTCCTTAAAGACAACATGTAGTTATTTTGTCTTTAGAATTTTAATTCAAGAGTTATGCAGGTAGATCCTTGTGTAATTTTGAAAGGTACACACAATATCACTAATTTCGACTTGATCAAGTCGATATTTCAAAAACAAAGACAGTCATGACATTTGATATTATACAGGATCCTTATTATAAATACAGTATATATCATACAAAAAATCTTTCACGGCTATTTCCATTTTTTTGAATGAATGATAGGATTTATAATCCACATCCCTTGGCTAATCATCGTTAAACATCCCTCTTTTTTCTCAACACTAGATAATATTTTACTCTCCAAGCAGAGAACTTGGTTTAAGAAAAAAATTAAATTCACTTTTCGACTTATTCGAGTCCAAAATAGCCATATAAACACAAAGATAAAAATAGAAAAACTTTTTTTGTAACCAAGTTCTCTGCTTGGAGAATAAAATATTATCTGGTGTCAAGAAAAAAGGGGAATGTTTATGAATAACCAAATGAATAAAAAAGACAAAATCTTTTGTTATTATTATTAAAGAATATTATGAATATCTGATAAATCTTGTAAAAAATATGCAACTTCTCAAGGCAGAGAAATTGGTTACAAAAAAAAGTAAAATTCATTTTCAGACTTATTCAAGTCCAAAATAACCACATGAACAAAAAGACAAGCTAAAAAATTGGAACCAAAGCTTTTGCAGTTTTTGGAATTACAAATGTATCACAGAAAATCAGATAAATCTTATAAAAATTTTGACTTCAATGTAACCTTGCTCCAATTAGAGTAGATCTAGATATACTTATAAAAAGAATTAATTCATTTTCAGACTTATTCAAGTCCAAATAGGACAGACTTGTTATAGTATTAGTTTTTCATTACACAGAATTTCACAG